CCAATACGCCATCCGTGCAGTCGATACTAATACTAGGACGTGACGTCATTCCTAGCTATTTTCAAATCATTAACTAAATTCTGAAGAACCGTACCTACATTGAACAAGGTATTTCTTTCACCCAAGAGCATCAAGTATACTATATCTAAATTGGATATGTAATGTACACGTTCATACGTCATTCACCCATATGTTTGAAGTTCACAAAGTACACAATAAATATACCCAGTTAGGTAAAGTGTATTTTATTGATCTAAGTGATTTCCTTTGTAATACAGCGATTTACTTAAAATCGTGAGTTAGATTCTATGATTTTTACTCGTGGGGTTAGAAGGTATATTCTAAAAATAAGTCGTACGCGTCGTACTAGTAGCTAATCTCACATTAAACGTGAGGTCCAAGGCCCTCTAACGGAAGTTCCGTGCTTCATACTAATGGTTCTTTTATATTTTTATTTTATTTTAGTAAGTAGTGCCTGTAATTTTGGATTCTCTAACGACATTTGACTTGATGGATATTCATGGTTCATTAGAACGTATATGAGTAGTGCTTTTCTTTAACAATAATCTTGCTTGTTTTGTATGTTTTAAGACGAGCGATGATTTAAAAGACGTACAATGAATAATTAAAAAAATACTGTGTATAGTGAAAGCGCTGTTTAATTCATACCTATATCATCTGTGATTGTTTTTCTTGGTACTTTAGAGTTTTAAAAAATGCCATGAAGTGAAAGAGTATCATTTTTTTGCAACCACTGTGTTTTTTAAATATATAATTATTGTGGTTATAATATGTTTTCTCACAGGCGTTTTTGTGTCTTTAAAGTCTGACTTTGAATTAAAAACTTTAATACCGTGAATATATTGTTTATGAAACAATTTACATTTCGTTTCACCTTACTTTGATTCTTCCACAAAAATATTTTCAGCAAAATCGTGCCAAAAACTTCGAGACACAGACAACAAAATTATTCTTTATATGTCTTTATTCAGAAATAACTTATTATTATTATATTATTTAAACTCAAAAGATCTGCACCAATTGAGCTCAAATTTAGAGACGCGATAGAACCCGCGTCAAAGATCGGTTTATCTATTTTTCGCAATGCAATACAACCACAATGTACCACAGCAAAGCGTGGCAGGGTAGGTACAGCTAATACATATATATTTTGAAATCATTACTTTTACTAAATTATACGTCTGTACCCATGACATGACGTACTCCTATAACAAAAATAGTAACTTTCGACCTTTTTCTTTGTATACAAGGTCACTTTTAAATAAATGACAAAATGTAGCAAGAACATGCGACGCATTTATAGTGCCAAAACTACGTGAAACCATTATTAAACTTTATCCTAGACAAAGAACACTCACTTATTTCAAGTCTAGATCTCACCTAGACTCATTTACGAGGTTTAGGCATTTCAGAACAATTGCAAAGGATTGAAATTTGGTTTATCAAAGTTTTATTATGATCACACACAAAAATATTAGGAAAAGCTTGTAATTTAGATTCCCTAGTAGTCGTGCCGCAGCCTTATATTTTTAATATATAATTCAGATATTTTTCTCAATGTCAGTTTACGATTAAAAAGCACCAAAGTTAGGCCTTAGAGACTGTGTAGTAATTACTATACTCTGAAAAATACTCAAATGAATCTGAATTTCAGACGACAGTGATAGCAGTTGAACAATAGACGTTCTTTGGCTGTCGTTTTAAGATGAATTGTATATAAACAGAACGCGACTGAACAATATCTAACAATTGATCAGAGTTTGAGACCAAATCAGTCTCTAATCAGTCCAATGGGCATCTTATCGCTTGGAAGCTGAAGTCGCCTTGCTTAAGGCTTATCAAATAGTATGGAGTTTCACCTTGACGTCAACAAGTCAGCTGCGTTGTCCCACAATCATGATTCAGCTACAGTTCTACATTAACGTAATATCTTTTTACTTATTGACTGACAATCGAAGTACTTTTGGAGTTAGATTGAAGGTATTTATGAATCCATTTTACTTCACAATTGTCAGTTCAAAGTCATTACATAGTACACATCAGTAAAGTTCTAAGTAGCTACGTAGTTTCTTTGTTTGTGTTGTTGATATCTTTTTACAAAGAAAGATCACGCCTTTCGATAAACTAGAAAGCAAACACTTAGCCGAAAAATCGTCGCATCTATACAAATAAATAAAATTGGAGTGTCTGTTTGTAATACTCGTAATAAAATAACCGCTTTTTAATAAATGCATATGTATGTTTACACGGTAATATGTACCGTGTAAACATAATATTTTTTTTTACAATTTTTGTCTGTCTGTCTGTCTATCTGTTTGTTCCGAGTAATCTCTGGAACGGCTGGACCGATTTCGACGGGACTTTCACTGGCAGATATCTGATGACATAAGGACTAACTTAGGCTACTTTTTTAAGACTAGCTTCGCCCCGCGGCGTTGCCCACGGTTATAACAACAAACGCGGGTAAAACCGTAGGTCTCAGCTAGTTTTTAAATAAAACTGACGCTACGTAATTAAGCCCACATAGTCACCACAGCACTCAATTGTTTATAGATTCGTGGCCTGCAAAATGATCCATGAGATATGTTCAGGCAGAAAAAATAGTTCAACATTCTGTTAATTTTTTTAAGTAAAGACAGTTTCATCTTCATATGAACAAGTGCCAAAAAAATCTAAACTTTGTGTTAAATACTTTTTGCATCAGGTAAAGTAGACATTTATGACTGACGCACTATTAGAAAGAACAATGGCGGGTCTTCATACAAAAATATTTGGAATCAAATTGCATCGTCTTGTAGTAAAAAAAAAAAATTAAAAAATCGGCCGATATTTTTAGATTCTATTTGTAAAACAACTTTGTTTGGGAAAGGCAAGGATATATTAGCATTTGAGTTTTTTGGTTATGCACTTCCTTTTTTTAAATCCGTGGATTGTTCATAAAACAGCCCACAGATAAGTCTTATAACATAAATGCATACTGTTTTTTTTTTTATCAATTTGTCTATGGCTATCGACTTTTCAAATTGTTTTTTTATTGTTTTACATAATTATTTGATAATTATAACTGTATGTGTGCAATTTAAATAAAATAAAAAAGATAATAAAGAAGTATTAAGTATAAGTCCACTAGCTTTAGAACTTTCGTAGGTTTTATTTTTATGTCACTTTTAATATGTGATGCATGAAATAATCATCTTACACTTATGGACATCTGTATATTTAATATCCAATAAGTATATTCCTTTTCCTTAATTTATTACCTATTTCAAGATGAAATGAATTGTAAATTCTAAACCTAAACTAATATAATCGGCGGCGGCCATTCGCCGCCTGTCGCGTCAGACGTTGGTCTTTATATTTAAACACAGAGCGCAAACGTCTGTTAAGAGTTGTCAAAAAACCTTTCCGTTTTTTTTAACCTGCAGTTGCCACTTAATTTTTTTACTACCTTATATTCCACTATAGGATTTTCAATTACTTAAATAATGCATTTAAAATTGCACCACAAACTACATTCTTTATTGATTCAATACTTAGAATTATAAAACTATTATCTGATTACCATATTACGATACGTTATTGGACAGTATTTCCACTACTTAAAAAAATGGCTGTAATATAGTAACACTAGACTGATAAAGGAAATTAAAATATTCAAAAAGCTTTTAATATTTTTCTTTCTTTTCCTGGAATTAATGGGGATTAGTTCCCTATGAATGTCAGTTTAAGACGCTCTAATTATACTCACCTACGAATTCGCCATTGTTCTTTTATGACTTACATAATCACTTAAAGTGGAATACTGAGATTGTGGTTCCTTCAAATTGTATGTTTTATCTTATTGTCCGAGTATCAACGACTTGACAACTCTTTAGTTCAAGAAGGTTAAAGTGATTTAAATTATAAATAAAATACAAAAACAATTTAATTAGGTAAAGAAAGTAGGACAATAGATAACTACTTATTACATACTAAGTACGTACAAGTAACTCTTAGATATTATACTGCATACTACAGCATACTGTACTAGTAGTGAGTGTGATTACGGAAAATTTCTTAACGAAGAAAAAAGAATGCAAAGGTTTTCAGACACCGATGAAAGGTTGCCAATAGACCGGACACGTTATAATATTATTTGACAAATATAATGTTACAGTTTTGGCATTTTTATTCAAAATAGATCTTAGACAGTAGTTTTGTTAATCTTTAGGTAACACGAGTGTGAAACTAAGGTAATTATATTATATTTATACAGTTGTTTTTAAACATAAATATACAAAAAAAAAGTTCAAAAACTTCCTACCTTCCTCAACTTATGTCTCATATCCCTAATTTACATGATTTTTTGACAGTATGACTAACGACTAGACCAAAAGGTGGTCTAGTCGTTAGTGATACTGACTGCTAAACCAGAGGTCGTGGGTTCAATTCCCACCCAGAGTAATTCGATAAGCGTCATGCTTATCTCAAAATTATTTATCATCATCATCATTTGTTGAGTCTGGGTGTGCTTAATCTAAAACATGTATGTATTTAGTATCTAATATATAAGTATGTTTATCAGCAGTCTTGTTACCATAGTACAGGATCTGCCTAGTTTGGGATCAGACATCCGTGTGTAAGATTTTTGAGGTTATTATTATTATATTAAGAATTAAATCGTGTTTTCCTGCAGCAATAACATAAGTCAGGCGCTTCTGAATCAGAGGCAAACTTTTCCTTTAAACAATTTGGATTATAAGTTTTAAGAATTTCCAAAAACCTATTTGAATAAAACGCATCTATTACTAAAAATAGTGTCTTAAAAAGTGGCATCAGATTTTTGTCAGTGATCTAATCTAATAGTAAAGAAAGAAATCTAATAGCTTTAATTCTTTTTTTTTATTTAAAACGCTTTTTACAATAAGCACTACACAAAGTTCCGCCCTTAGAAGGAACAAACAGTTACCATATGCTAAAGATTTTATCTTTCATTATAGATACCGGTGCCGTATTCACATTCGGCAAGTCACACTTCGCCGAAAACGAGCCGAGCCATTTCTTCATCAAGAATGACCCCATCGTCGCCATTTCGTGTGGAGACGAGCACAGTGCTGTAATATGTCGTAAGTTTTGCTATTAACAAGATATATGAGTAAATTATATAATTCTGAATGGCATCATCTATAGTAATTGATTGCACGGATGGCGTAGTGGTTTAAGCGGTCACCTCGCCGCTTCCTACTACGCCGAGTGTTGTGGGTTCAAACCCCACATGGGACGACACTTTGTGTGATCCACAAATTGTTGTTCTGAGTCTGGGTGTTCTTTGTGTCCGTTTCATGTATGTGTGTAAAGTCCCCTGCGACACAGGAATGTATTCCTAATGCGGGAGTTGTCTTTTAAAAAAAAAAAAAAAAAAAAAAGTAATTGCATTAAAAAAAAACTGAAATTGTATATTGAGACTGTCTCGTGTATGGATCTAACGACTAGTAACAATCATCAACAGCCTTTAATAGTCCACTGCTGGACATAAGCCTCTCCTGAGAAAGGAGGTTTTGGCCTATTATACCACGCTGGCCAGACGGGTTGGTAAAGGGTTTGTGTCAAGTTTTCCTTCTCTCTGCAGTGCTGTTGTCCTGCTTAGTTTTTTCCCTTAGTCGGCTCTTACGACACCCACGGGATGAATAGGGGTGGTGACACTCTGTATTCTTAATCCGTCACCACACGGACCTACGGACTAGTAACAATAGTAATCACAATAGGTGCAAATCGATTGAAACAAGGTGCAAAAAGGTATAGATTTCTATAGAATTACATAGTTTCGAAAGAGATAATATTAATAAATTATCTTTTCTAAAACTCGTCTGTGTTAAATGGCGCAATTGTTAAATTCGTTTGACCACTTCGCTTCTGGGTTCGATGCCCGCATAGATCCTAAATCTGGTTGTTCTTTGTTTATATTTTTGTAAAATCGGGCATCATTGCTAATAGTAGGTAGAGTAGTCTCCTTGAAATGCTAATTATAGAAATAAAAATAAAAAGTCCACTGGGTTGAACTTAAACTTTACAAAGAAGCGATTTAAATTCATATACCTACCTCTGGGTATATACTGTGTACGAGTATACCCTAGTTCATATGAATTAATTTTCTATATTCATATACCTCTGGGTATATCTATGGGTATATACTGTGTACGAGTACGAGTACGAGGGTATATACCCATAGATATACCCAGAGGTATATGAATATAGAAAATTAATTCATATGAACTAGGGTATACTCGTATTATATGACTCATCTTTGGATGTAAGAGTGACACTAGTCACTCTCTACCGACAGCGACTTTACAGCGTGCCAAAGAAATATACATATGTATACTCTAAAAATATACAATATATAATTAACTTCCCTCCGTCGCAGTCAGATAAAGTAGAAAAATATAAGTATTATACTTTTGTTTTGTTGCAGAGAATGGTCGAGTCTTCGTGTTCGGTGGTAATGCGTGGGGCCAGCTAGGTCTGGGGCACAAGGACGAGGTTACCAGACCCAGTTGTGTCAAGTGGCTCAAGCCACACAGGGCACTCTTCGTTGCATGTGGAAGAGCACACACTGTATTTGTCACAGGTAAGTGTGTTTTAAAGGAAACTGGACTTTATATTTACTTACAAAGAAAACTTTCAAAAAGTTTCACCGACTTCAATGAGTCCATGAAGAATACGCCCAATCCGTGTGGTGACGGATTAAGAATACGGAGTGTCACCACCTTTATACTAGGGAGCAAACTACGCAGGACAACGGCACTGCATAGAGAATGAATACTTGAAAACCCAAACCCGTCTGGCCTGCGTGGTACAGTAGGCCAAAATCTTTCTAAGGAAATGCCTTTGTCCAGTAGTCGACTATTAAAGGCTGTTGATGATGATGAGGGATCAAACTCGCAGTCAAGTACTAGAGTTTTTCAGTAGTCATAGTAATTAGGGGTACCACGGGAACATAAGAAAAACAAACTGAACCATACTAGACTGTACATACAAGTATTTATCCAAGAAAACAAATACAAGGATATAAAACACATTGTATAACCTTTATTTGTAGAAAGATAGTTGCTACGATAACAGTTTATTTGTACACATATTACAGTAGGTATCATATATAGATGTATCTAACAGATAATATGGTCAGGGCTGCGTTATTGACTAATACAATTTCTATCAGATAATCTTAATAAGAATCTAAATGATTCGATGAATTTTTATTTTTGTGTTGATCAAAATACAAGGAGTATTAAGGAAATTTGCATTATTGTTATATAAGACCGCATGCAATTTGTTCTTTCGTTTGTTAATTGGATCATCATCATTTACTATTATTTTATTAATCATTTATTATTACTAACATACCCACGCCATCGGTCATGAATCTGACCATATACGGCCAATGAATTTGGCACTTTTATACAATCTAAAGTATGCATTTGAAACTAGATTCAAACGCAATCTACACGGTGGGATGCAACGATGAAGGCCAGCTCGGAACAGGAGACATGGAACACCACACGGTGCCACAATTCGTGGAACTGGATGGTGAAGCTGGAGCTATCAGGCAGGTGTCTGCTGGAAGCAACCATACTGCTATACTAACTGGTATGTCAGCTTTGCATAGTGTAAAACAAAGCTACTTTACGTGTCAGTAGTTCACCACACTAACCTATAGTTCATTCGCGTTAAGAAAATAGTGCCGCATCAATCACAATCATTTGACTGCACGGATGGCGTAGTGGTTTAATCGATTGCCATGCTGCTTCCTACTGCGCTGAGTGTTGTGGGTTCGATCCTCACATGGGACACCACTTTGTGTGATCCACAAATTGTTGTTCTGAGTCTGGGTGTTCTTTGTGTTCGTTTCATACATGTTTGTGTTGTCGCCAGTAGACACAGGATATATATTCCTAATGCAGTTGTTTTTTTTTTAAATATAAACAAACTTTAATAGGAAACGTGGCCAGGAGCGGGAGATTGATTGTTGCGTCACTATTTTCTTAACGCGAATAGAGTATAGTATAGTTATGCTACTTTACGAATATTCTATAACACTCAGATACATACTCGTACGTACGCGTATTAAGCGCTCACATTTTGCTAACTATAATTTTAGTCCCGCTTATGTAATAGGTCTATTGCTGTCAACTGAGCATATATATTTCCAAATAAACACACTTATACATTTCTAAATACATACATAGTATAGATAATATGAAAAAAACTATCTTGTATACATAGAAAATATGTCAATTAATAGTTAACACTCACGAAGAATTATATAATATGTATATATAATTAGAATCACCGCTGTGAGAAAAACTTTACCACTCCAACACTACTTGCCATGACTTAACTACACATCATATACAAACTTAGAGCAGGGCTTTAAAGTAATTTAACATCAGTCACAGAGTCATATAGACTTCAATAGAACCCATTGAGTAATTCGCTAAGTCTGAGAATACTTTGTGTCCCTAGGTGCATGTTTACAAAGTCCCCGAAAACGTATTTTATTTTTATTTATGTACCTTAATCAAAGAGTTATATTTAATGTTCTGTCTGTTCCGTTGTTCTTTAGATGATGGCCGCGTTTTTGTCTGCGGCTCCAATACTGAGGGGCAGCTGGGTCTTGGCGAAGACACCCGCTCGTGCCTCAAGTTTACTGAACTCAAGTTCATGGAGAAGATCTCCTTTGTTGAATGTGGATATTACAACACCGTCTTTATCACTGGTACACTATTTCTCTCATTTTAGTTTTTATTTATTTAGCTATTGTCGAACGATTTCAGTGGCAAAATTTTATCAATTTCTCGTATGCGTGGTGAAGTTTTAAGTATATTGATTCAATCTCCGATATGCTATGTATTCTCAGATCAGTTAAAGTATTTGTACCACATGGAAATTTTTGATAGATTTACTCGGGGTTTACTCTGTTCATTTTATCTTAGTAATAATCTCTATAATTTGATACGAAAGCTCGAAATATATCGAATATCGCTTTTGCAAAAATGTGAACTTAATATATATTGTTAATTTCAAATTTCCTTTTTAACAGCTAAAGGCGCAGTCTTCATAACAGGCGATAATGAAAACCAGAAACTGGGGATACCAGACCAACCGTCAACAGTCTACGTCCCAGAAGTCTTGCCGATTAGCATGTCCATTAAAAGCGCCTGCTGCGGTGCTGCACACACCTTCCTATTGTCAATGGACGAGAGCAAGATCCTGGCTTTCGGTTCTAACGAGAAAGGGCAGCTGGGTTTGCCGAAGGATATCCAACATGTCACAGAACCTACTGAGATTGATATGGAGAAGATGTTTGAAGGTTTTCAACTGAAACTTGTGGCTTGTGGAGCAATGCATACTGCATTTGTTACAGGTATACCGTAGCCTTTATATATTTATGGTTAAATTTATACCTTAATTAGTCTAATCTGAAGCCTGTAGATATAAAATATAAAATAGTTGGGTGACTTTCAAATCTTCAAGATTTGAAATCGTTCGGACAGTCACAAATCTAGTAAGAGTAAGATGATTAAAATATGGATGAAAGATGGCACTTGGAGATTAAAGGTTTCAGGGTTCTCCTAATTGACAATTCCTAATTCAGTTAAAGTTTGAACGAAGCAACGCGTTCCGTCAATGTGACCCAACGCGATGCTTCGTTTGTTCATATGTCAAAATCTAGTTTTAATATCACAATATAAACACACAACAATAGCACTGAGGTAAACGAAATACTAAATAAAATGTAGAATATGTCTAGAGCACCTAGATAAAACCATACTTAGCTTAATCAAGTGTAGCTTGTTCTAAAGGTTCATCAACACGGAAAATATATCATTTCATCGATGCCAATGTAATTATTCGTACGAGTATATGTGCAAATATCGTAAATATTTGTACAATGCGCCGTCACAGGTCACGTAGTGGATTTGAACCATTCGAATTCAAACTGTACAATTGTAATGCTCTATCGCCGCGCCACATAAATCGGTAGTCGTGTGTTGGATTTTACATTTAAAAAAAAACATTATATCGTCTCGTCTCATTTTGTAATATTCACAATACAAACGATGCTTAGTATAACAGAAGAACAATTCACTTTCACCATATATCATCATTGCAAAAGACACATACACGACCCAAAAGTACCACATTGTACGAGTATGTTCTCTGTTCAGGCTAAACATTGTTAATAAACAATCAATACATATTACAAAAGCCTAACTATAGAAATAATATGCAATCGAGGAAATGACTCACCACATGTAGCTCATTCGAACCACTATACCAGTTCGTATTAAAAGCGGCAATTACTGCTGACACATATACGACATTCAATGTAATTTATTACTTTTATTATCACGGCAACATAAATAGTGACCAAATTACTTCAGTATACTGCCCCACACCTCCGTGCGGGGCAGTACGATCAGTATTCGATTACCATTTGTCGCCGGTAAACGTATAAACACGTTAAAATACATTAACGTTTCAGACAACGGGCTGCTTTATACGTGCGGCGAGTCCCGTCACAACAAACTCTGTTTAGAAGAAATCGACGATGCCGACAACGCTAACGAACCAGTTCCCAATCAATACACACCTAAGCGGGTCACCGCAATGAATGGGCACGTAGTCGACAATGTGGCGTGCGGCGGTTGCCACACTCTATTAACAGCCACCAAGGGCTCGAACGCGGATTTCACTAATAACGACTTCAATATAATCGACGAACAAACCAGACACATTTCTTTGACGGAGTTACCACCCCTACAGAAAGTACCAATCATGAACAAAACCGAAGAGCACTCGCATGTCATCGAGGACATCACGAACTCAAACGTTGAAGTGAACAATGCTGATACCGTGAATGGAAACGTTAACTCTGAGACTGGATCGATAGACTCATTAGAGGCGAACGTCAGTGGCTCCCACATAGTAAACATAAATGACCTTGAGAATGAAACTGCTAGCACGCATGGCGTAACTGATATCAACATAGACAAAATTGATTCGTCTTCCCCGATCGAAACAAAAATAGATGAATTTATTCAGAGCATGGACACAGCGAGAGATAAAGCTGACACTAAAATAGAAGAAGTTGTTACAACTGTTACTCATAAAGTTAATGAGAAAGTAGAAGTTCTTGAAGAGTATGTAAAGAAAACAGCTGTAATTTCTCCAGTACATGATGTACACGATGAGGCAAAGAAAGTGCTTGACATCCCGAATAAAATAATAGAGATAACGAATTCACCTCCCCCAAAAACACCTATTTTGCCCGAGCTTCTTCATATTCCAGATTTAACACAAATAAGTCCAGGATTAAGTAAACATAGTGACGAGAAAAGTGAGACAGGACAATCAGAGAATGAGACAATACCTTGTGGTTCCGGTAAATCTAGTCCTCAAGTAGAAAAAGTGGCAAAAACACAGGCTGTTATGCCAATAGTTCGGAGTGAAGATCACATTGATGGTGCGGAAGAGACCGAGCATAACGAAGAAAATGATGTTGTCGTTCAGAAATCACCAGAAAAGGGGCGTTTTGCGAAGATTTTTCAAACGATTAGAGACAAGGAAAACTCATGTATGGGCAAAGGGAAAGTCATAGAAGAAAAAGTTGTTGGTTTGTATTTATTTTATTAATATCTATATTACAATAGGTAAAGTATTTCATTAGCCGTATATCCTGTTTCAGAATCATTTAAAGATCATCAATCTAATTTTATACTTTTGCTATTAGTATTAAAATATAATATACTTAATTCATTCACAGTATTTCGACGATTTAGCAATAACATAACATTATTTTCTAGAAAACGTGCACAAAGGCCTAGACACAACTGAAGAAGGCATCCATAAAGTTGAAGAAACTGTTGAAACGGAGATTAGAAACCAGACAAATTCTAGAACTTGCACGATATTATAAACGTTTTTGTCTTCAATGTTTAGCTTACAAATAAAGTTTTTATTATTGCTATTATGTCTGGTATTTTGAACCTTGTCAACTGTTTGAAACCTAACTTTTTAAACAAGCTTATTTCTGAAAGAGCATAGAATATTGACACTAAGAGATTACATACGTCACAGATCTTTTCTGAAATTGATGCTTATAAACTATTAAAAAAGAGCTCTGTGTGTCGCGGGCACAGGATACATATTCCTAATGCGGGAGACGTCAATCTTAATTAAAGGAAAAATAAAAGCGTCGAATTTAGTCACTTTTAACCCGACTGCGCCATTAGTTTGTTTTTCGAGTATGTATATTTCTTAAGCACGCTCTGTACTTTAAACAGCCTGATGGATTTTGGCTAGGGAGTAGGGAGGCATCGTTAGATTCGTCTTAATTGTGAGAGTGACATTGGGAAAATTATAAAAATTAAAATCTAACGATAATTAATAATTAACTAGTTTATAAATTTTAAATGCCTATATTGCCTAATTTTCACGCAGTTGTTTTTTTTTAGTAATTAGCTTGTTATGGTAGCAATTCAATTTGTTAAATTTATTAAAATCAGTGATGTAGACAAATTCATAAACACAATATGTGTGAAATTGTATTAAAATTAATACCTATTTTAATTTTATTCCGTATTTAATTCCGTATTAGTCCATTTGGTTTCATTCGAAAAAAAAACATGAAAAATTCACAGCGTTTTTAACACTTTATGGAACATTCAAATAGTCTCTTTTTTTTACTTAGGAACAACAATGTTTAACATACGTGACGTGAAGCCTCATAATAATATATCAGAATGTGGTGTGAGCCCCGCCAACGGGTCAGCCTGCTAGCCTATAATCAGTGTTCAACTATAATTACGATAAAAGATTACACATTGTACATTGATTTTGATGTGTTGTGTTTATAGTAGTGGATTTTATTAGGGACCCTTAACTGTGTCTTTAGTTTCCTGCCGATTTCCAACGCTGCTGAAGAGTTGAAGCTGTTGGTCCATATAGCTGAAATATATAATTAAAGACGTTATTAAAAAGTAAGTCTATTGACTAGAAGGGGGCAGATCTAGACATGTGAAATAATTACGTAAGTGCCACAGAGATTTATCAGCAGAATCATTAGAAAAATACTTTACAAGTATCAGTATTATTCAATTGTATATACTTAAGTTACTGTCCGTATGGTGACGGATTAAGAATAAGACGGGTCAGCACCTCTATTCATCACGATGGAAAAGAGAGAGCTGACTAAGCAAACTACGAAAGACAACAACACTGCAAAGAGAAGGAAAACTTGACACAAAACCAATACCAACCCGTCTGGCCCGCGTGGCATAGTAGACCAAAGCAGGAGATTTTGTGGGTTTCGAAGGGGAGGCCTGTGTCCAGTAGTGGACTATTAAGGCTGTTGGTGTGATGTTTATATGCTAAGGTATTAATAGAAAATATATTAAGAATAGCACACATGTTGCTTCACAAAAGCTTTCTCATATCGATACAGGTTACTTTTTGAAACTTGAGTTAACACAAATCATGCATTTGCAAAAAAATTGATCTCTTACATTTTATTCATTTTGTCAAACGGGCAGACGTAGACGTGTCTGAAGTCCCCATGGACTCCTGTATATCAAGAGACAAGTGTGTTGAAGCACTTTTAGTGCAAGCTCCCCCAGATGTAGGGATGAGGGCGGTGACCACGGTTATTTATCACTTTAGTTCTAGTGTCTCTTAGTAAAGCCTTTCATGCAGCGGTATACAGTTGTATCTTCTAAAACTAATATCCGTCCGTGGTCCATGGTCTGTGTGGTGACGGATTAGAATACAGAGTGAGAACAACAGCACTGAAGGAAAACTTGACACTAACCCTATACCAACCCGTCTGGCCAGCGTGATATACTAGGCCAAAACCTCCTTTCTAAGGAGAGGCTTATGTCCAGCAGTGGACTGTTAAAGGTTGTTGATGATGAAACTAAGATAAACTAAACAACTAAAACACTCACATATTTTGTTTTTTTGCCGGACATTTACGACCACGCCGCAGATAATATCTGCGTTTTTGAAATTTTCACCTATCAAAAGCAGCACCTGTAATAAAATACAGTTTTATTTACTTAAAGAATTGATTGTTGAAATACAAATATAAAACAGTAATATCCCTCACACTTCACACACGCGGCATTCTGATCCCAAACTAGGCAGAGCCTGTACTATATTAACCAAATTGCTGATAAATATACTTATATAATTTTAAATACATACATACTATAGATAATGTGTATTTACCACACACAGAACATATGACCGTGCTCATCACACAATATTTGTCCTGGGTGGGAATAGAACCCACGTCCTCCGCCTTAGCAGTCAGGGTCACTAACCACTAAACTAACAGGCCCGTCGGCTTAAAAAAGGGTACTTTCAAACAAAATAAATTATTAAAACAATCCTTACTAGTTACTAATTTCAAGTTTCTTCTCATTTTCAAACGAAATATTAAAAGAAAATCATTTGGGTAAACCTCGGCCTGACGTCATAGCTATTTCCAATAAATCCCTACAGAACGTATGGTTTTGGCAAAGAGCAAATGGGTCACCGAATGTAAAGTGTCAAATTAAATTAAGAGAGTGACAGATTTGATTGATTTGACTTGATATAAGTATAAAAAACTAAGGTGCATGTTTATTCTTCGCAATCATCTGTTTTCATGATTCACAAAAACTATTTATAGAAATAAACATAAAGTTGATAAACGTTAATTGCGTACCTAACGAACAACTGAGATCTATCTGTACAATTAAAAAGTTAACGACTACTGCTACTTCTCTTTAAAACAATATGAAGAAATGAGTGTATTTATTTTAAGTTTGTAAATCATCATTTTTCATCATTTTAGCTACAGGATATCCACTGCCGGAAATAAGAAAGACTTGTAAGAAGACCAGTTGGAAGTGATCTGCATTCATCGATGACCTGCTATCTAAATAAGGTTACCGATTCAACTTGTTACTGGACTTTGTTGTTTTTTGGTGTGGAAACCTCCCCAGGCCCCTACCCCATCGGGGTTTTGCGGCGGGCGGTATATCAGAATCGAACTAACTAAAACCACATGGTAGGCAACTCTGCACCTTTTTTTTCCGTGCTGAAATCCCCTCGGATACCACCTATCGGTGGCATGTCGGACTCGAACCGACTAAAACCGCACGCCGTCTCGGGTACTAATAGCCGGGGAACCAGGTACACCCTGGAAAGGGGCAACTCTGCACCTGAAATAGGAGAGATCCAAGAACAGCTGTTATTAAGACATCCGTATCCAGGTCTTACGGCCCTATCTGCCATCCGTTCTATGAGTGCTTGTGCCCGAATTACTCGTATATCAGTCATCTTTGTTCGTCTGCATATCTAGTTATTTCTAATTCAATCGCGCATTGAACCCCGAGCACAACCCTTTACTCATTAAGACTCTAAGCTTGTTTATCAACCCAGACAAAGCTTCAGTACCATTACTTACCGTATCCAGCCAGATAGCATCCAACACGTGATACTGTAAGTCATCGAAGAGAATCTGCCATCGACCTCCCTTTTGGTTGCTCTCGTCTTCCCACATGGGCTTAATCCCCTTCTTGAATATAGCGTAGTCCTGGCCGGTATTCAACTCAGATGGTAGTTTCATGTGGTGATATAGACTGGAAGAAATATGTTTAACCTGTAAGTATACTTATGAATGAAAGTAAGTACCTGTATCTTGTCTATGAATGTAAGTGAGTTCATCTATATATTGGTATTGGTTGTGGGCTTCGGTTTTAGACTCAAGAGTGGTCCTTAATGCGTCGAGGATTGGTTAGCTAGGTAAGCCAACCAAGCTCCTTCCAGAAGCGCAGAAGCCTCCTGGGGCGTTCACAAGCTTCTAGGAGCGATTTTGTCTCATTCATCTATATATGTGTGTATGTAAGAACACCTTGAATGACTACGCTGCCACCGTGTGCCGTCTTCACCGATTAATTATGTGGTAATGGCCTGTCAAGAGTAGAGGGATTTGAATTAACGTGATATCAAAAATAACTTTATTACAGTTTTGAGCTTGCTTTGGCAATGCAGAAGATTTAACATTTATATTTATAAGTCACTCAGAGATCAATATTCAATTCGATCTTAATTTATTAATTTTGTGATAAAATAAGTAACTGTCAGAATAATAATAATAATTTTGGACATCTGACACACAACGGCATCTAGTTTCAAACTGAGCAAAGCTTGTACTATGAAAGCTAGATTGACTGCTATAATACTTATATACTTTTTTTGTAAATACATACTTATTATACATAGAAAACACCCAAACTCCGAAACAAATATTTGCAGATCATACAAAAATTTGGTCCGACCCGGGAATCGAACCCGAGACCTCAGCACAGTTTTAAGTATCAGCTGAATTAAAAAGTAAAAAAGAGTATCCTCCTCCTGGCTTACTCATTAGACCATTTAAACCAAATCTGTTCGATTAGTCAAGGAGAATCATTTGAGCTCAAGGCAAAAACACAATGTTTTTACTAGTAGCCACTTAAATAATATAATTGACCCGTGATGGCAAATTATAATATTATGAGTCGAACTACATATGTATGTGGAGAAACGGGTGTCATGTCAGTCCAACAAAAAGGGAGAATCCTCCGACCAGGCGAGATGATCATGCTTAGCTGGCCGCCGCCAAACGGTGGCTGATGGGGAGTTGTATATATATTCTAATCGGCGAGAGAATAATTCATATTATAGCGATACAGGATTAGCAGTTATTCCGTAGTTCGGTGTGTCTTCATTAGATAGCGCTCCCTCTTGAGATCAGAATGGCAAAAGTTCGACAAACTTTTAAATACCCGTTACCTATACTAGGAACCAAATAGTATAGGTATAGTGGAGGTTATCGGGAAAATGAGCTCCACCCAGTCCCAATTCGTCGCCGGCAAACTGGGAAGCGGAGGCGCGCCTTCCAGTGCCCAGGGTAAAATCTCTAATTTAGATATTTTACCCGAAGATAGTGCGCGTACTGCGGGCAGGTGCCAGAAAGGGTCCGGATGTCTTTGTTGCTGTTAAGCTGTTCCCGGATCCCTCCTATTTCTAGGTTTTAGTCGATTCGATTATTGCAAGGCCCTTGCCTTTGTTGAACTATTTTTAAAAAAGAAACACACTGCTGATCGAATATAAAAGCATAAACCGACGACAGTTTACACTGACAGTCTGTAAAAATGACAAGCGCAATGAAACACGGGAAATCCCCGAACGTAATTCGAGCGCGAGTGGCGTGACGTGATTTTTATAAAGCGAGCCGAAAGGCACGAAATTCAAATAAAAATATCTTTCTAATTAGGGTGATGGCTGAGTGCGCGAGGCCTCTGCATGAGCGAGGCCCTGGGCGGTAAGTCGCCTCTAATTTCTGTGCATCTACCATGTTTGGCTCTTCATCGCCCTAAGGTCGACTGGTAGAAAATGCCTACGTCATTAGGTCTACCCGTGCCTCATTAGTGCACAAAGATTTAATATAAAATAATTGCGATGATTTTGTTTCACTGTATTTGGAAGCCACATGTTTATGTTATACAGAGTTTCATTTCGATATGAAAATTACCGTGGCAGAGCCACACTTCGGAACAAACAGGCAGGCTCAACCGGAGTGATACCACGGCCTTACAAAAAAACGGTGTTACTGAGTGAGCTTACCGGAGCCCAAAGCCGTATGCTCCATGGCCCACATCACATCACACCTCTCATACATAGGCCGCTCCTTAAAAATGAGAGTTTGGCTTACTATACCACGCTGACCAAACGGCTTGGTATAGAGTTTGTTTCCAATTTTTTATATCTTTGCAGTGCAATTCTTGCGTAGTTAGTCGGTTCTTACAACACCCACGAGATGGGGAGGTGACACTTCGTATTCTTAATCCGTCACCACACGGACAGTTACATATAAAAGTAAAAAAAGACTGAAACTAATTTGTCTTAACCTATTTATACATAGCTAACATGGAGATAGAGAACCACTTAAATTTAACAACCTAAAACTTACCACCAATAATCTTCGACTGTTTTGAAAGTCGTTAATTCTACCAAATTAGCTGTCCATTCTTTTTCTTTATTAGTATACATCCAGAAACTCCATTCATTCTCCAACGGATGCTTCTGTTCACTCGAAATAATCATTATCACAATGACTTAATGACGTAATGTAAGTCTGAAAAAAAAATTTGAACCGACTTCAAATGATTACCCTTCAAAGAACTTATTTCTAATTTAATGCGCATAAATGAGAAAGAAAAAAGCATCTAACTAAAGAGATTTTTAATCCTCATAATTTCTACACTCGGAAGATGATGATGCTGTATACAGTACTGTCTTTACGGGGCTCGTCCTTGGGCCCCGAAAAGAAATACACAGGTACATATATTCGCTTACACTATACAATTTTTTCTATTTTAGATCGATAAAATCCGACAAAAACTACATGTAAATGGAAGCTTAGTTAGCGACTTTCTGGCAACCCTGAGCAATGACAAGTCAATGACATTGCGAAATATGACAGAAAATGTGGTATTGTCAATCTTTCCACATCAAATCGCCTTCAGAAAAATCCAGGCTATTAGATTTGTTTTGTAATTTTCAGTAACTAGATATTTATATAAAGACCTACAGCTAAAAAATTGTTTGTGAAATTGATAATATTAAAGTTATGAGAGATACTTAAAAACTACCTAGTAAGGTTTTTTTAAGTTGGCGCATGTAGGTTCCGTGGATTACCTAAGAAGTAATAATATATATTATAATATTATATAAATGCAAATCTATACAAATAAATAAAATTGGAGTGTCTGTTTGTAATATTAAAATAACCGCTTTTTACTAAATGCATATGTATGTTTACACGGTACATATGCCAAAATAACATTTTTTTACAATTTTTGTCTGTCTGTCTGTTTGTTCCGGGTAATCTCTGGAACGGCTGGACCGATTTCGACGGGACTTTCACTGGCAGATAGCTGATGACATAAAGAGTAACTTAGGCTACTTTTTTTAGACTAGCTTCGCCCCGCGGTCTTGCCCGCGGTTATTACAACAAACACGGGTAACACCGCGGGTCTCAGCTAGTAGATAAATATTTAAAAGTAAAATTAAAAGAAAGTGATATTAGTAAACCACTCCGTGGATTGTCAACGACACCGCTGGACCACACCATTTGCACTGGGATGTCGTTTACAATTTTTTATTGTACCACACCACTGCCGACTAATGATGTATAACGTATAATAACATAATTCGTTTTATTTCAATTTTTAATGCAAATGCTTAAATTGGCCGAGTTCACAACGGATTCGATTGTTATTGTTTTCATTAAAAAAAATCAAATATTTTTTCCCGATTTCATGTGTTTTCGTTGCTTGATAAATTTTATATTTATCTCACTTGTACTTATCATTTTGAGATATACAGTTATACTGTATATGGCATAACTCAAAACACTGGCAAAAAGTGCAACATATAGTATTGTCTCACATATAACATAATAACATATAGTATTTAGTATTGTATCTAAAATTCTTTATATAAAACTGAAAATACTAACAATTAATTATTATACTACAAAAATTTTTTTGTTACTAACAAAACTAATAAATTAGCATTTTCTGTAAGAAATAAAGGCTTGTTTATTTTATTTCATTTTTTATTGTCTCACATATTTAAAAATTTAAGGTTTTCTGTGTGTAGCAAAACTTTTCTGGAAATGCTTTACGGAAAGGTGAACTCCGAATGAAGGTGAAATCCGTTAAAAAAGTTCAATATTCTTAAATCTACAATACAATATTCTTAAAACTTCAATATTCTGAATCTGTAAGGTGAACTCCGATAAAAAACTTCAATATTATTAAAAATACCCAGTAAGATTAATGTACTTGAATACAGTGTGTGACGTGACGTTTTAATAATAAATAATTTTGGAAAGTGCTATTTAAGATACGTCGATTGTTTTTTTTTTTATATATCTCAAATTTACAGGCTGGGGTGGGGGAGGTGTACAATACGGTGGCACACCAGTAAAATATGGCGTCGGATTCATGACGTCATGATCACTGGCCAGTATACTGAGTTATATTTCGGAACACACAAAAAGAAAAGCGTGCATTTATGCTTATATATACTTTAGCCAAAACATTGCTAACAATCCGCACTTTTTCTTTAAGTACCTAATCAGCAATAATCATCGTAATTATTTTATTAAGTACCTACTTTACATATTATGTGTTCACAACTTAGGTAGGTCGGGATTAAGCTCGCCTTAATGTCATACCATTTCCTTGTTTTCAAGATACATCATTTAAGGTGGACAATCTACAAATACATCACCTCTTTAATTTATTGTGATGGTGGCTTAGGATAGCGACTGCATTGAATCATTATTTAGTTTTGTTGAAGTTCATTTTTTGCAAACTATTTGCACTGAGTATTAACTCAATGCATTATTGTGCCAAAAAATATTTCGCATTGCTAACTTTACACAAGCAACTTTAAAACAATTAAAGATAATAAGCAACATTGAGGGAATAACCGATAAATGTCAGTGAACTGAAACAAAAACTTGCATTACTTAACCATCACCGAAAGATTGCGATATATCTCAACATTTAATAATTAAAGATTATTAAAATTAAAAACGCTTTAAGGGCGACCAAAATTAAAAAATAATTCCACTGTGCATCTCCAATTTTATTATAATACCTTTGTTGCCAGCTGCCAAATCTGTAGGATTTGTTAAAATCAATCATATGACGCAAAACTTTAGGGGTTTACTAGTAACACCTAAAAATATCTACTCTCCGCCTCCTTCATTGCTATAACATCACAAAAGCTCCAAGACGATTGAAATTCAGGAGATAAGTATTAATAATATTGTTATCTAAACTACATACACGTACATAGTTTCATTGCGGTACGACAATCAGAGAGTAAATAAAATTTTATTCTAAAATTTGTTTACGTTCTTACATTGTTGCAAACCATGACATCATGTCATAGTCTATAACAATGTAACAACTACCAACAACGAGGAGCAGGTTATCGCTGGCAATACTGATAAACAAAAATGTAGAATATAACTATATTCATACTTATAATAGTTACGATTTTACGCCTAAACCACTAAACCGATTTTAAAATTCTTTCAAGAAAGCTACATCCAAGCTACATTATCAGCGAGTAACAGGCTACTTATTACCGCGATAACCGATAAACAAAAGCTAGTGTTGATATAAAATACAAATACGGTCAACTTAAGGAACAATATACATCTTGCTTTTTATACTAGATGGTTCGGACTTCCCGCCGGCAACTGGTTAAAGTTTTAAGTAAGTTTGCGACCTTGACTAGCTTGGACTACACTTCGCAATATAAGTATCTTGTTAAGTAATATTCCTTTTACTGCTTTCCAGTCTTTTTCTTTATACTACCAAATTGCCGGTGTTTGATTTCCAAAGTGCCTGATCGACGGCGATAGGCTTGATTCTAAATACGCCTCTGTTTGCTCCTTTATCCTAAGCAGGTTTAAATAAAATTATGTATGTATAAATATTATTTCTATTAAATAAACAAGCTGAGGAACAAAGTGTGGCCTTATCGTTACCGTAAAGCCCTATCATAGCAACCATTGAACTAAAACCAAGTTAAGATTTGACGTAAGAAAGAAACAACCGGCAAAGTGCGAGTCATAATCAAAAATTATAAAAATAAAGTACAAATTTATAATCGAAAACTATACATCATAAAAATAATTCAAAATCTGTTTAAGCTTGCGCGAATGGAGCCTTTCATACGATACTCCCCATGACACGGTTAACTCAAATCAAAATTTAGACAGCCGTTCCTTGCATAAAGATCGTATTTTTATGATTTAATTACAAATGTATACTTAGTTTGCAGAATTTTCCCCATACTTGTAGTAAAAGACGGTATTACTTGCCAAATTTCATATTTCATATTTCATTTGTATCTCAATACTATCAATATATTATAATCATAAAATCATACCCGTGGCTGATTTACAAAATCACTGCGACTTATAATTGAGTTGATACATATCAAACGTGCTTAAGTCCACTACAGTCAGTATTGAATGTTTTTGGTATACCTGATTTTGCGCGCGAAAATAAAGATTTCAGTTCAGATCAAATCAAACAAAGACCAATCTTACTCATTGAAATAAGGCTTAAAATATTAGTTTTCTTTTCAATATTGCTTAAGTCACAATGTCAGTATAAATCAAACTCACCCAAGTCCGATTCGACCAATGACAGACAGCCCTACGCAGTGTCATGGCCGCCATTGTTTTCAAAAGCTGGTGGAGTTCGTAACGGATGCTTGCATTTTTATTAAATTATGGAAACAAAAATAAGTGTTGTGAAACCGGAAGTAGCTAAAAAGAAGCCACAGTTGAGGCGCAACGAAAAACAGAAGAAAAAACAGAAGGATTTGTAAGTTTACTGTTCTAATTTCACTTTGTTTGAGGTGTGTCATGATAACGTGGTAATTCATACCATTCAAATACAGGACCGAACTGGACGTTAGAAAACAGATATCACCAACCCCGTGTTCACTGATGTATGTTTATAAGATGGAAAGTATAATTACTATTATTCTATTCTAGATAGAAATACTAATTAGGAAGTTACTTAACTTACTATTTTTAAGCAGGTTATTTTTAGTTAAGGTTTTATGGTAATTAGCGACAATATTTCGTAACTTCCACACAATTTCATGTTTTTCGTCTGCCAAAGTACCAAACCAATAAATTAAATTATTAGTTAAAATATATAGGTATATCACCTACATATTTTAACCAATAATTTATTTAATTTATATAATATAGTGTCATTAAGTTACAGAGACGTTGTCTATCCTATATACCTACCACTTACGTTTTCCCCAGGTGGTCGTGCGTTTTATATTGATAATATAATATCTGAAGTTAGTTTTTAATTGCTAATTTCAGGTACTCTGCAAAAAACCTTGCCAGAAAAACCGAAGTGTCAACACAACAAAAAGGCTGTATACAAATGTGAAACGTTAACTTCAAACGACATTTTTTACTTTCATAAAAGGTTTTACAGTCATCCTAACAAAATTAGTCAAGATAATTATATTTTGCAACATTTAGTTTTGAACCCTGTTAAAAGGAAACGCGCAAGAACAAATTCTCGAAATGGACGCACTTTTACAAAGCAGTATTTTGTTAGTAAGCACAAAAGTAAAGAAAAAGTTCCTGTCTGTCTGCCTGCATTTTGTGGCATATTAAAAATCAAACAGGGCCGTATAAAAGGGGTTTCTAATCGATACGCAGCCACAGGAGAAACCCCATCAGAAAAACGTGGTGGAGACCGAAAATACTTCGATTTCCGTTCGAAGAGAGAAGCTGTACAGAAATTTGTGATGAAAATTCAGCCGTTAGAGAGCCATTATTGCAGAGGCAAAATAAAAAGGAGAATATTTTTGGATCCAAGCCTAAACATCTCTAAATTATATAAAATGTATGAGGACCAGTCGATGCCGGGATACTCGGTGACTAAAAGTTTTTTCAGAAAGGTATTTAATACCTCCTTCAATATTGGGTTCGGTTCTCCACGCCAAGACGTGTGTTCGGACTGCCTGCAGCTGTTAGAAAAGCTAAAAATACAGCAAAGTGAAACTGAAAAACAAAAATTTCGTACGCTGTTTCGGATACACAAAATGAGAGCAAAATGCTTTTTCGAGAAATTGAAGGAAAATAATCCGGAAATCCTTATTTTGTCTTTTGATTGTCAGAAGAATTTACCTTTGCCAAAAGTAGCTGACCAATCAGCTTATTACTCTCGGCAGTTATATATTTATAACTTCACGATTGTTGAGGGAAACTCTCACGCTAACCTCGCCAAAAACAATGTTTATGCTTATGTGTGTACAGAAGACATGGCATCCAAAGGTGTTAAGAAGGTTATATACATCAGTTACAAATTGTCTATCTTTAATATGATGATGTTACCTAGCAACTGTTGTTAATTTTGTAGTCAAGAATAAATTTGTCAATAACAGAAACTTGCTTTCCATATTATGTTTTATTTTATTATATTAAAGTGGTAGCAGAGCGTAAACAATGGAGCAAGCATTAAATGCGAGTAAGATTCAAATTGGGAAACTAGATTCCAATAATTATAAAACATGGAGATTCAAAATTCTAATCGTGCTAAAGGCAATACCAGGAGGCATGTTCATCCTCGAAGGGAAGAAGGTAAGACCATCCTTGGCGCTTTCGGCTACTGGCGATGCAAAGGCTAGTTATGAAAAAGACCTCCAAAGTTTTGAAAATTTGAATAGCGCAATTTTAATTCTGTTGACAACAAACATGTCAGATGATATTTTACAAAAGTTTTTGCGATTTGATTCTGCTAAAGATATGTGGGATGAGCTAGAGCGCACCTATGGAGGTACGTGTGTAGACAAGACATACAACTTATGCCTGAAATTCTTCAGTTACAAAAAGGACCCAGAACATGACATAATTACACATGTGTCAATTTTAAAGAATATTTGGAGCGAGCTATGTACGGAATTGCAGAGTGAAACAAAATTACCTGAAATTCTTTTAATATGCAAGATACTAGATACATTACCTCCAGAATATCTTGGTTTTAAGTCCAGTTGGCTGTTGATTTCAAAAATGGAAAGATCAGTTGAAAATCTGACAAGTCAATTGTGTGCACAAGAGAGAGTCCTGCGTCAAGACACAAATGTCACAGAGGAGACTAGTGCAGAAGCTTTGTATACAAAAACAAATAAGGGTAAGAAAAAGAAGAATTTTAACGAGCCTAAATGCAATTATTGCAAGGAAAAGGGACATAGAGTTAGAAATTGTAAGCGGTGGATCCAAGATGGAAGGCCGCCCAAGGAAACCAAGACCGCAAACACGAACCTGACTGTTATGACAATAGATTCGGCTGATTTTGGAGAAAGGAAAGATTTAGAGAATTGGTTCATTGATAATGGGGCTACCAATCATGTTACCAATCGAAATGATCTCTTTCAGACCTTCAAATATTTCAAGAGCCGTCATACAGTGACTGGCGCGAATGGCCAATATATTGAAGCCCTAGGCATCGGAAATATTCTTGCAGAGGCTGATGTAAACGGAAATGCAATACCGATACTACTGAAGAATGTCTGGTACGTACCCAGCATTAGCAGGAATTTATTTTCAGTACTTGCAACCCACGACATATCTGACAACAGTGTTTTTGAATCTACCATACTAAAATGTACACTAAAGATTGATGGACAGGTAAAGCTGATTGGCACCCGCAGCAAGTTTGGAGGACTCTTTAAAATTAAAATAAGATGTCTGGAACCAACTGTACGAGTCAATCAGGTGTCCACAAACACAAATTTGTTACAGCTATATCATGAAAGATTTGGACATCAAAATACGAGTAAAAGCCATGTGAAGAAGGTGATTGAAAATGAGTTTCATATAAAAGTACCAGTAACCAAGGAACTCTGTGAAGGTTGCATCTATGGCAAATCCCATAGACTTAAGTTTGGGACCCGAGAGAAAGCAACGAGACCTGGAGAACTTGTATATGCTGATGTTTGTGGACCCTTCCCATATTCTATCACAAAGTTGCGATATTTTGTTCTCTTCAAAGATGATTATACAAGGTACAGATTTGTGTATTTTATGAGGGAAAAAGCTGAAGTACACGCGAAATTGCTACTTATGCTTACTGAAGTAAAAGCATCAGGAGTTGTCATAAAAGAACTTCTTAGCGACAACGGTGGTGAGTTTGTCAACGCGAAGGTACAAGCTACTCTCAAGAAGGAAGGTATTGTGCAAAGATTGACAATGCCCTATACGCCACAACAAAATCCAACAGAGCGAGACAACAGGACCGTTGTGGAAATGGCGCGGAGTCTAATGTACGCACATGCAAAAATTCCTCCTGCACTTTGGGCTGAAATGATATCTGCTGCGGTGTACATCTTAAACAGAACAGGCCCAACCTCTGTGGATGGAAAATCACCGTATGAGTTATGGCACCAGAAGAAACCCAGACTGAGTCATTTAAGAATAATAGGATCCATTTGTTATCCACATGTTCCCAAGCAAAGACGAAAGAAGTTAGACAAGAAGGCACACAAAGGAATATTAATTGGATATGACTCTGACAATGGCTACCGTATTTGGGACAGCAACTCTTTCAAACTGATTCGTTCCAGAGATGTCACTTTTAATGAGAATCCTTTATTGGGTCACTTTGAAGAGATTGACGAGCCTGTTGCCAATCAGAACAAAACTGCTGATAAAAATTCCAACACCCTGTTTGACTTCGTCATTCCTCGTCAGCATGAATGTTACACGCCGGCCGACACGAGCAACATCCAGCAGACATTGACAAGTCATGATGAAAGTATCGCATCGTCTTCTCAGCAAGATGAACATGCTGCTGAATCATCATGTGCAGAGATTGAAACTGCGAGTGAAGATGACGTGCCAGAGGCTGAAACATTTTTAGAGGCGGAGGAATCCTTTTACGAGCCTATACCCGAAGAAGAGGTTAGCGATGTAATCGAGACAGATCGTCAAGTCAACGATATAAATGAATCGAGGCCAGACCGTAGAGACGATTCGTCTTTATCTGCATCTGAGATCGAGGCTGAAGGCAGGATGACGCTACGAGACCGATCAAATCTCAGGCCACCGGCTAGATACAAAGACTTCATTTGCAACATTTGTATGAATGGCAATTCGATAAGCGATGAAAATCGAAAAGAGCCAAGTACATTTCAAGAAGTGATGGCATCTAAAGATTTTGATGAATGGAAAAAGGCAATGGATAATGAAATTAATTCTCTAAAAGAAAATGAAACATGGGAAATGGTAGATTTACCCAAGGGCAGAAAAGCGATCTCAAGCAAGTGGATTTTTAAGATCAAGACGAATCCTGACGGATCGATTGATAAATACAAAGCCAGACTTGTAATAAGAGGTTTTTCACAGAAGAAGGGTTTAGATTATTATGATCCACCTTACGAAGCACACCAGCGAACAAAGCATATAAGGCTTAAACATTTTTTCGTAAGGCAGTGTGTCCTAGAAAAGGATATAAAAGTTGAGAAGGTTGATACCAAGAATCAACTGGCAGACTTCTTGACAAAGCCATTATTTAAGCCTAGGCTTCTAGAACTATGTAAGCTAGCTGGAGCCTCCACTTAACCAACAGTTGCTTGAAGAGGAGACGGAATGTTAAGAAGGTTATATACATCAGTTACAAATTGTCTATCTTTAATATGATGATGTTACCTAGCAACTGTTGTTAATTTTGTAGTCAAGAATAAATTTGTCAATAACAGAAACTTGCTTTCCATATTATGTTTTATTTTATTATATTAAAGAAAGGCGCTAATGAAATTTCATCATGTTTATACCATTGCCTGAATCATTTAAATCTTGATGGCAAAAAGCGGCTAAGGCTTGTGGCTGACGGTTGCGGCGGCCAAAACAAAAATTTCATACTTCTTGGGATTGTTGCTAAATGGTTGTATGGTACACAATCTAGCATAGAACAAGTGGAGTTTGTTTTTCCTGTCACTGGGCATAGCTTTATTCCACCAGATCGGGTATTTGCTATCACCGAAAAAAATATAAGACGTCTAGAAACCATATGCAATCCTCAAACATATATTGATATCATGGCGTCAAATGCTACCATTCGACGTTTAGTAACTGAGATACCTATTTTCGATTGGAAGAGTGCGAGCAGAGATGTGCTAAAAAGCACTCAAACATTGCATTTCCAGATAAGTAAAACGAAGCGGATTATTATAGAAAGGACAGAACGCAAGAAAATCATGGTTCGAGGCGAAATTTCATATAGAAATGATATTTGCAATCCCCAGGCTATAACGAAACGTAGCAAAGCTATATCTAGAATTCAACCGGATAGAATAGAAGCATCTTTTAATGTTAAAAGTGAAAAAATAACTGACGTTAAAAAACTTCTTGAAAAGCATTTTGGTGATGCCTGGAGAGAGTTACCTGACTTAGAGTATTACAAAAATGTATTGTCTCAAAATGAAAACTTGCCACAACAAGACGATGATAATGCAGTAAATGATGATGCTGAATACCTACCAGATGAAATCTTGGATTTTATGTAATGGAAGGACGATTACCACCTCGTGCTTATTTTTATGGGTTAATTACGAGTATGTAGGTACCACTTACCTACATTTTTTTTTTGCATTGACTGCCCTGAGTTGATTAGGTTTTCTATTAAAAAAAATGATTCTATGTTGTAAAAGGGTCATGGTATCTAGGAAAATCACTTCATAACATCTATCATTCCTATGTAAAAGTAACATTTTATTGAGGAAATAATTTTGTTTTATTTCACAAACCTGTTTGGCAAATAATGTTTTAGCAGTTTTTAAGATATGCATAAATAAATTTTGTTTTGATCTATATGTGTTTTTCATCCCTAGAATCTACTCACCCGAGTACGTCCCTTTATTAGTTAGTTACATCAAAAAAGCCCAAGTCACATTGTGGTTTTTCATAGTCGCTTAAGTCCAGTGTCAGTTCCTTGCAAATGAGCTTAAATGCATATTGTAACTATCAAAGATGCTTATGTCCAAAATAAAAACCGGTTTATTTAAAAACCTGATGGTGGTTTATCTTTGCTTTTCATAGTGTTGCCCATGGATATTATTTCGAAAGTTTTGGCAGTATTGCACTCTACTTTAAATCACAAGATAACTCAGACAGCAGCAACACCGTTTTCTCAAAAGTTCACTAGCTGTGACTTAAGCGCATTTGAAGTGTATCGACTCAATTATTATTACTCGAATATGACTCCCGAAAGGTCTAAATCTAAAAAAAAAGTCGTAATCTTTGATGGCATTTCAATCTTTCAATCTTTGTCTATGACGAAATCACAATCCCAAATGGAATCGCTGTGACTAAAACTAATCATTTCATCAAATGAATATGATTTAAAAATAGCTATAACTGCCATTTCTAGTTATAAACGTCAGAAGGATCATGCACTTGTTTGAAACAAATGTGATGTGAAAAATTCTCATTAACAACAAAAATTCTTTACGAAGCAGCTTCAATCCTCATTATTTGTTATTTGAAATCCGGAGTAGAATAACAAAGCACAGAACTCGCGACCTCGATCAACCTCGATATAGCGTATGCAATTCGATGCCATAACCTTGTAGTGGCCTACGGTGTGGTGTGTGGTGACTCCCACTTGAGACTATGCTAGACTCCATAGCGAGACTGTATAGAATTACCTATTCTTCTTGCGAGATGATAAGCACCAAAGAAGTGGCGGAAATCAAACATAAGAGAACTAACATTATGCCAATAAACGTTCCGAACGATTCTGACAGTCTTTTTTTTTCGACACATAAGTAATGGAATTAAAATGTCACGACACTTGTATGAACAGAGTTAGATTTAGTAACAAAAACTCAATAACCCTCAGAAGCTTTGAAAAATAATGATTTCAATTATTTGTATATACAAATACTTATATGGTTTACGATCTGATTAGATACCGTTATTATTATAAGCTGTTTGTTATGACTAATAAATAGATAAACGAATAAAATTGTATAAATAAAGTAGGTAAGTATACGTACCACTACTCCGTCCGGATTGTTGATAAATTGTGACAGTTTACGTTTATATAGGTATATGCATCTGTGAATCACATAACAAACCACTAGACCCTATGGTAACTCCCGAAAAAACTTAATTAGTGTTGCAAGCGCTTCCAGCATAAAATTATTTAGTAGAAAGTATAACAACATGTGGATACTTTACCGAATTCGTCTACATATTAAAATAGGAATTACTAACCCGATTTCTTATCAAATGATAATTGTTGAAGATAAAACAAAAATTATATTTTAATCAGGCTTTTCTGACAATTTAAAGTCGATGTTGCCAGTTAACTAAAATTGATCCATATATGATGTATGACGCTATAGCACCAACATTCGAAAAAAAAACTATTCGAAGATGTTGTTTCATGTAAGTCGCCTTCAGGGAAAAAACATATTTTCTATAATAATTGATGAGACTACAGATGTTAGCACTGACAAAATTCTAGCTGTAGCAGTTATGTATTAGGTACTCCACACAACATGAATGTGCTGTGACAACATTTTTATTTTCTATTACTTTAAAAGTAGAATCTTCACAAGATATTTTTGATGCGCTATCGCATGGCTTAGAAAAAAATAATTTAAATGTAGCAGACGTACTTGGTTTTGCCGCGGATACAACTAATGTAATTTTTGGTACCAACAGGAGTTTGGTGTCAAAAATACAGTCTATTAATCCTCATTGCATTTTTGTAAAGTGTGTATGTCACTCTGTTGCGCTATCTGTAAGCTATGCATGTAAAGAACTGCCTCGAAATATTGACCAGATTGTTAAAGATGTTCACAACTATTTTAGTCACGGCAGTACGCGACACCGAGAATTTCCCGAATTTAAAAATTTTGTTGACACCGAAAATCACAATTTATTGCGACATTATGAGATCAGATGGCTTTCTTTACATGCCTGTGTAAATAGAATAATTGAACAATGGGACGCTTTGAAATTGTATTTTAATAATCAATATTTATTAGATCGCAATCTTAATGCTGAACTTTTAAAAGTTAATTTTGATGACAATGTATCAAAATTATACTTTTTGTTTTTAGATTATGTTTTTGTTAATAAATTTAACACAATTTTCCAATTGGCATATAGTGCCGTCCATCTATTATATAGGGATATGAGCGATATGTATAAGGCCTTACTGAGTTGTTATATGCAAAATGGATACATAACAGCGACTTCTATAGAAAATATTGATCCCAGCAGTGAAATAAATTTGCTTGATATTAATCAAATGTATTTGGGTGTAAAAGTAGCAAAATTAATTTTAAATATGGGTAGGGATCATACACAAAGAATTCAGGAGTTTTTGAGAAGGTCGCGGTTATTTCTAAATGAACATCATTTGTTTAGGGAGTTAATATTTTTAGACCCCAAAATAGCAGCGTTTGAGCAGTTTTCTAGTCTCGTATCACTGACTCAACGGTTTCCTAATTTAGTGTGTGACGAAATTACACAACAATTAATTGACGAAGAGTATCGTCAGTTAAAATATGACAATAACGTACAAAATTTACTGGCGTCGTCGGGTGACTCTGCAGTGTCACAGGATAAGTCACTGATAAGTTTTGGGCGAGCGTTCATAAATTAACAGATACTAATAATAAATTGAAATATGATAATATCTGTAAATTCGCAAAAGCGATGATTTGTTTGCCCATATCGAACGCTTCTTGTGAGCGTATATTTTCGCAAGTTAATTTAATTAAAGCTAAACATCGTAATCGGTTTTTAAATACACACATATCATCGCTTTTGCACACAAAACAAGGGATAATTGATAGTGGAAAAAATTGTACTTTAACTTTGTACCTGATTCTAATATGATTATATTAAGCAAAAATTGTAATGAAAATAAATATTCTCAATCTAATTAAAATAATAAATCATGTTTTATTTCAACCACAATGTTCAAATGCATCAAAATGTAGGTTGGTAGAATTTCGGTAGATTTTTTGTTACTTCAGTAGATTTTTGTAGAAAAAGTTGCCGAATTTAGTAGATTAGTAATATTTCATAACGGTCACACTGTAACTGAGGTATAAAGCTTTTGAAATCGGGTGATACCTGTTATCATCCTGTTATACACACTTAGCTAAAAAACTATTTCCCACAAAAAAGTACTTCCCTTCCCCACGCGCAAATAAGTGACGTGTGCCGACTGAATTATTATAATTTAAGTCCGATTTTTAATAGATTATGGTTCTGTTGATACCTAATTTGTACCTTCTTGAGAATTCCATTTTAATTTGATAATTTCGGCAATTGGTAAGTAACTTCACATTATTTAAATAGTTAATTAGACGATAATTATGTGTTATTTGTTAATTTTAATCGTTTTAGGGAGATTAGTTTCAGATAAATACTACTCGGTCACGCCCTAAAAGAGGTAATCTTAATAAAAAGTTCACGCCTGGTATAAGTACAAATTTATTACAATAACGTTCCAAACATGGAAGATTTCGGATCCCGGTTAAGAAGAAAAAGAAAGAAGAAAATAGGGCAATAAACTACCTAAGTTGCAGGTGCCCATCAGCGGCGGTGGTTACTTACCATCAGATGACACGTCTGCTCGTTTGCTCCACTATGCCATAAAAAAATATTTTATAATATCATATTTACATAAGGAAGTTACTATTTGTAGAAGAGTTTGCCGATTTTAGATTATAATGAGGTCTTCACTGACATTCTAGCACATTTCTAGCACCACTATGGTCAAATGTTTTTTGCGTGTTTCCCTGGGGTTGGTGAGAAGGGACGGAAGTGTGTAACAAAAAGTGTAATTCGCTTCCCTATTCAAAAATCAAGCCAGTTTGCAGGAAAGCAAGAGGAAAGATTACACACTAAGAAGAATAGTCAATGACAATCGACATCCTCGTAATTTCTGCCGCCTCATTCATCACTCGCCTCATTTTAGTGATATGGTTATAAAAAAACAGCAAAATACGTTTTTCTATAAAATTGTATTTAATGTTTATGGTATCATTGCATCGCTGAAATGATGTTACAAAATGACTACAACAGACAGTGTTAACATAAATCAAGCTTAAGTGTTTTATAATATTAGGTGCTAGTGTAAAAATATGTTACTTCCATTTTAATACTAATAATTTATATCCGGCAACCAGCTAGCTAGCAGTACATTTGACACGATTACGTCCACGGCCAGTGGCGCCCGCGACACTAGCGCCATCGCACGGTTCGGCCACGGTCAATATATACTAATGCACACATTTAGTACAAAAGTCAGACTTAAAATTTATAACCATGACTAACATGCACTTTATAATAAGATAAATTATGTGAGACAACTCCTTAACATCAACCTAAATTAGCAGCGGTAGCTAATCAATGTTTACACACACAACAACAAAGTACGAGATAGCCTACATATTGCTGAAACACGCAAACCTTACTTACAAATATTGTTTACGAATCACTAACCTTTTTTCGAATTCAGAAAATCGAATTAACTTAAAAAGGAGAGTAATTCAAGAGTTTTCTCGAAATATCGACAAAAATTTAAACTAATGTTTAGTCGATTTTTCCGTTCCGTACTAACGTACTGTCTAGCTCGTCTCTCATAAAACAACATTCACTTGACATTTACTTAGCTACCTCATACGTGTGTTACATTTAGTGACGAACGATATTAACTACACAGTATACAGATTCTTCGTGGCCGAACTATGCTTCACCATGGTGTCCCGATGGACTTGGAAGCCTATTTTCCCGTGGATGCCAAGCTGTTCTTTAATTTTTCTGCCAATCTCAATGTTGGCGTGCTGTTTCGACGTGTCAGCTGTCCATACTCCTGAAATATAGAATTACATAATGTCATAGATCAGTATCTACTTTATCAGACTGAACTGCATATGAAACTATAACGAAGTCATATTTACCAATTTTATCAAGTTTTGCTCTGACGTTGACAACAGCGCCGCAAATTTCTTCAGAATGATCAAAGTTTTCACCAATGAGTAGGAGAACCTATGAGGAAAAATTGTAATTATGAAATAATATTGTAAGAGTCACATGCTAAAATTAATCATGTTTAAAAAGTATAACTAACTACAAGAAAGTTTACAAAATAGTTTAAAAGAATGTTGTGCACTTATTTCACAAAATCTGTTTCAAGAAAGGCCAGACAGATTGGTATAGGGTTTGTTTCAAGTTTTCCTTCTCTCTGCAGTGCTGTTGTCCTGCATAGTTTGCTCCCTTAGTCGTCTTTTACATGAATAGGGGGGTGACACTCCGTATTCTTAATCGGTCACTACACGGACTTAAACCACCACACCATACTTGATAGTATTACACATTAAATAAAATCTTCAAAAAAAATGTTATTTGCAACTTATTCTTATATTTATTTCTTTATGATGATTGTATTGTAAAACAAATTAAAACAGACAACGCAAACATACTTAAAACCTGCCAGCCGAGTTAAGCATATAGTTGGCAATTTAAGTTTAGTAGTAGTAGTAATTTAATTTAAGAGTAACCATACATTTTGCAAATTAATTTACACTAAGCATAACATTATTTATTACACAGAATCATAGGTTACCAATTAGGCATGCATGCACCTCTATTAATCATTCTTAAAAAACTAAATGCACACTATCTACACTAACATAGGAAGGAAAAAAATAGGTAACCACATGATATTTTATAAACAGCTATTATTGACTATTTTTAATATGTATAAACACCTCTAAGTACCCTTAATCTTTCTTTATCACTGCTTGCGTAAACAGTAGCATTGGTGTTGTAAATGACAATAGCGAACTTAGTTCAGTAGTACTTATTTTAAAAAAAACCATCTAAAAATATATCTCATGTGATGTTTTTAAGTTTTTGTTTATAAGATAATTAAGAGAGGTACAGAATATAAATCCATCAGAAATAAACTTGACTTGATTAACAATGTTTATGAAGATATCTATAGATTTAGTAAAATAAAAATGGATACATTTTAATACTGTCACTTATTATATTGTGTATAATTAATACGCTTACATAGTGTTTAGAATTAAAAACTAGTAATGTAAAGATGTAAAGGTATGGAGAGGTTTATTATATAAATCAAGGAACACTCCTTAAAATATTCACAGCTTTCCTTTAGAGCAAACAAACTCTTAAAACAAGATCATTTATTAATGTAATGTACACATACATAATGTAGAATAAGTACTAGAAAATAACACATACCACATCTAACCAGAAACGGTCCAGATCAGAGTTACGCTGCTTCTTCTCAAGACTTATGAGCCACCGGCCACCCATCTTGTTTGCATCATCCTCCCACATGGGACGAATGCCTTGTTTGAAGACGGCATAGTCATGACCTTGACGCAGCTCTGATGGTAGCTTGATATGATGGTATAATCTGGAAATAAAAGTAATAATCCTTATAGTATAAACATGCACTGATTCCATTCTTCGGTAAGCAACATCCTTGAGTTCCTACTGTCATTAAACATTTCACACAAGCTTTCAGATTTAGGGAATTCTAATCTTTCTTATTAATACATTAATAATTGTTTATCTGAGTGTAATTTTCTCATAAAATGTACATTATGTTTAGAAACGTATGTGTGCGTTTAATTAGAGATATATGTTCCTGGTTCACGGCAATAGGCTTGCCACCATTTTACATAAGTTAAACAAAAAAATTATTTGGCAAACTGTGGGCATTTAACATGCCTCTGGTACTCTGGGTCCTCTCTACCCCTTCAGAGTGTATGTACGTCGTAATTGTTTGTAATAAACTTACTTTACTGATAGATTCTAATTTACAATATAGAGCCAAGAACCGGCTCATTACAGTTTTTTTTTAAAGACAACTCCTGCACTTGCATTACAACTGCAAATATACATGAAACGGATCCAAGGAACACCCAGACTCAGAACAACAACTTGTGGATCACACAAAGTGTTGTCCCATGTGGGATCGACCCCACAACACTCAACCCAGTAGGAAACAGCCAGGTGACCACTTAAACCACTACATCATCTGTGCAGTCAAGGTAAAAACATCAAGACACCACTTATTATATTTACTAGAAACAATGAGATGTGAAATCTTCAGAAAATGAAAACAATTGTTTAAATATATCAGTTTAAAAAAATCAAAGTTGGTTAATAATGATGGTGACAAAGTGTGATGAACAATTAATGTCAATAAGATTAGATTGTAAACTTAGTTCTTTTCTACTATTATAACATATATATTAAAGTATGATTTATAAGAACATCTAGGTGCCATATAATATGCCAACAATCAATAGATCACTTACATATGTTTTACTAAACAACATGTTACTCTTGTTTAATATCTGTAAGTATTGTGTTACAGATATTATTCTTTCATCTCCAGAAGTTCATGCAGTTTGTTATTATTATCTGTAAGTTACTTTTTTTGTGTTTCGGTGGCGTTTCTAATACTTCCACCAATAATATAGGTTACTTCGTTATACAGAGATATATGTTATCTCAATAGAGGGTAGTTAATAAATATTCTTGACACCAGATCAAATTACAGGCCACTATTTACTTTAATAACCTGCTTAGGCAGATTGTATTTTTAAGTATGTCTATTCTAACCTAGAAATTCATTTAACAGACCTAAAACATTTATTAATATAAATTCATTGTAGCACTAATTTACTTCAGTTCATTTAAGTAAGGTCACAGTGAAATATTTTGTAACATTTAATAACACAAACTTCAGTTTTCACATTCTATGCTTTTTAAATATAAATAGCCAACATACAATTTCAAAACTATCATAGTTCTAATCCATAGAATATATATAATATATCTCACACATCTCACATGTGGCCGTCTGATCCCAAACTATGCAGAACCTATACTATGGCAACAAGACTACTGATAAACATACTTATATATTTTTAAATATATACTATACATACATATATTAGAGATAAATTACACCCATACACAGAACAAATGACCGTGCTCATCACACTATATTTGTCCTGGTTGGGAATCGAACCCACAACCTCCGGTTTAGCAGTCAGGGTCACAAACCACTAGACCAATTTTGTGTGACATATTAACTTAAATCACTTGTACTGTTCCACAATATTAATTTACTAAGCTTTACTACTACAGCATTTTCAAAGGTATTGTGAATAATGTGTAGCAAGTCCCACCATCTGTCAACAGTGTAACTAGTTTTTTGTGTGAATTCCTATTAGTAATTTTAACTACAATAAACAAGATTCTGAATTTGACGAGCCTGTTGACCCTGACTGCTATGTACAAATATTGTGTGATGAGCATGATCATTGGTTTTGTGTCTTAGTGTAATTTAGTTATAGTATGTATGTATTTGGAAATATGTGAGTATGTTTATCAGTAGTCTGATTACCATAGTACAGGTTTTGTCAAGTTGGAATCAGACTGCTGTGTATGAGATGTGTAGAGTTATTATATATTTTTTTTTAAATCTTAAAACTTTAAAAATGAATATCTTCCACAATAAGTGTTATCTATGAAACTAAATATAGATCAAACATTTTCTGCCTTAGTTCTCCATACACATCTGACAACTTACCTCCAGAAATCCTCTACCGTGTCAAACGTAGTTAATTCAATTAGGTTCTCCTCCCAGGTCTTGTTTCTGTCATTGTCATAGAACCAGAGGCTCCAGGTGTTCTGAAGGGGATGCTTGATGAGGAATTCCGGGGGTACTTCGGCATTTGTGGTGCCCTTGGTCTCTGTAGTCGCGGACCCCTTGAATACACAAGTCATTTTACTCAAATCCTAACCTAAAAAGCTTTGCAAGATACCTAAGGATTATGCGATATAATTTGATTTCAGTACTTTTACAAGACTGTCGCAACTTTTTAGTAATGTTAAACCAGTAATCAAATAAAAACACTACAAACGCGAAACAAATGCAACAGTGAAAGTAAGTGGAGCCACATCAGCATATCCCGCAAAAAGTAAAGGAAGTACGACGAAATTATTAGCAAATACGGGTGGAGGGTGTAATTTACATCACAAGTAATTATAACTACCCACCTCTACTTCTTCAGTATTATTTCCAGCCATGTCAAAAACAACTCTCGAATCTATCTCACGATGCAATTTTTTTTACAAAAAAGAAAGACAGACGGATATAATGTTGCAATACTAGTGGATTGTTTTCGTTTTAATTTTATTGTAATGGCTTTGACAGATTACCCGCTAGTTGCAGCCAGGTACTTAAAAAGCTAACGAATTCTATTCTAGTTAATAAAAATATTCTTATTAACAAAACCGTTAGGTATGTAAAAGAAATAAAAACTGAGTTTTATATTAATTGTTTTAGTCAGTAGTTAGCCAAAATAGCTAAATAATAAATATGCGGTCATCTGCGGTTTGTGTTACATAGCAACACATCATAATAAATGTCACATGCCGTGTAAGGAATCGGATAGTATTCGGTTTTTCGGTTACAATCGGTTTTAATGACTTTCATTTTTAAGTCGTGGACAACTTTTTCATGTGTTTTTTAGTGAGTCGTGTATAAAGGAAGAATTTAAGACTAATTTAATTTAAACTTTAGTTATATGATGTCTTCTATGGCTAACATCAAAATGCCGGTAGAAAAACGAACATCAGTTTGTTAACTTTTACGGTAAATATTTTATAGCAACACTACAGCCATCAAAAATATCAAAATAGATCCTTCATTCCTTCAGATTTCAATCTTCGTAAAAGCCACTACAGAGCGGTCTAGTTGTTCAGTGTTCAGTTTGCTTTACCGGCCCGTCCAACTAGATATCTTCCTGAAACAATACAATTTTGTTTAAATCTTTAAAATGTCTGTCCAAACGTTGCTATTAGATTTTTCTATGGATCCTGCCCGCTTGGGAGACGAAAGTGGACAGAAAACTGTATTCGGTCAATTGGAAACTGTACTGCAGGAATATATTCCGAATCTTATTTTAGCCGCTGATATTAAACTTGAAGGAGGTTCATTGAAGTTGTTAACCGGCAAAAAAGGCACTTCAGTGTCTGTGAGACTGTTTGATCGGGGCCTTGTCACAGTAAACATTGAGTATTATAAGGAAGAGAATGAAGAACCATTAATTACTTTCAAGGTAAGCGCGCCGTTTATATTATGAGATTCGATAGGTAGTGAAAACTGATAGTAAACTATCTTACAGGATAGTCTACTAACCCCATGTAAGGAAATATTAGCAGTACTGAAAGAAGTTCATACTTCTTTGATTAAGTTCTATTAGCAGAATTCAATTAAAATCCAATATGTACTATTTTTCATTTAAAACTTTAGCACAACTGCTAACATTTTCATTAAAGGGTTATAACAGTATTAAGCAGTTAATGGGAAAAAAATCTAGTGATTTTTTACTTTTACTATTTAGAACAAAAAAGAAAAAAAACTACTAGATACAACACTGCATTACAGAAATATTTATATGTAATTAAACTGTACCCATTTTATTTAATATTGATTGTGGAAATGTAATGTATTGCATGATTAAAAAAATATTTTAAATAATCCACCCATTACTTTACCAGAATTTTATTTATTTTATTTTTATTTTCTTTATTAAATGCAACACACATTACAATCAATTAAAACACAAATCATAAATACATTGTTTAGATCTGGATCGTAATGTAACTTAAATGAAATTAAATGTTATTAAAAAAATACCTTCTACACTACCTTCCAGTATTTTGTCTATTATTGAAGAAAGTAAAATATTTTATAAAGCTGCTATTAATTTTGATACTAACAAAAAATAATGTTAATTCCTTCCAGCATTCATTAAGAATGATTTTTAATTGGTCCATAAATTTTATTTTTGTTTTTTATATTGCATCACATACAAACAACGCCATCTAGTCCCAAACTAAGCAAAGCTTGTACTATGGCTACTAGACAACTGATATAAATACATATATACTTTTTTTTTTTCTAAATACATTAATATTATACATAGAAACACCCAGACCAAATCAAACAATAAATGTTCATGCACACAAATGTTTGACTTGTGGGGGATTCGAACCTGCAACCTTTGGAATAGCAGTCCGTTACACAAACCACTACGACCTTCGGTCATCAATCAATTTAATACTTATAAAATTTATATGATATATTATGTAGAAACAAAATACATATGAAAGTAAATACTACAGATACCTAATTCAAGTAAATTATTAATACAAGTAAATTATCAACATATTTATATAATATAATAAATGAGTGTTGAGCTCAACATCTCGACTTTTGACGGTTTTATAAATACCCCGTCCCGTAACACACGGTAAAAAAGATATCTATGTCCCCAATAACTTCAAATTGATAAAGTTATAATATAATATTATATATATTATTATATAATATTAACATATTATATTACATAGGTATTATTAAGAAACAATTTTGGTACGAAATAGTTGACACTCAAATTGCAACTTATTTACAGTTTATAATTGATTTAATACCTAGTTTCACTTTAACATTTTTTATATTTTGTAGTGTCAGTTCAAACTTCAGGCGTATAGATAAATGTATGCAAGGCCTATTAGAAAGGTTCAATAAATATTTTAGGAAAAACCCAGTGCAATAAATAAAATATAGTAAAAGTAGTTCTTAATTAAAATTTGAATAAAATATCTACTAGGGATACTAAAATTAACATATTTATAAGTTTTTCTACTAAATTAGTAGTGTTTTGTTCAAAACTATTAGCACCACTTTCTAATTTACTAAGTCTTTTGCTTGAAGTAATTCACAAAATTCTCTTAACTTAATGCTAAATTACAAGGTAAAATACCTATTTGGGCTACACGAGAATCTTAATCACGATCAGTGCAATAAATTTGAAGCAATTAAGTTCCACCTGACACATTGCATAAGTTTTATAATCAATTATTACATCTCCACAATACAATATGCAAATGACATTGAGTCTGTTACAAAGTTGTATTTTAAATATCAGAAAAGCATGCATAAGATGTCTATGGATTATAATTCCATATATTGATAACTTTTTTACATAAATTGTTGAAGGTTGAGCGTATGTGCATTTATTTTTTAGTGCTCTAAACTACTGGAAAGTTCGGTAAGAATGTCACTGGACTGCGACCGAGTTAAATTGTTTCCAACCATCAAACGCGGTTATAAATTCGATGTATACCTTACTAGTTCAGGTTAGATATGTATATACATTGAACGTTTTAAAATACTTTCTACCTTAGTTTGATGGTTATATTTTTTACCAGGTTTAAATGTTTCATTTATTTTTGAATATTCTCATTGATACCTATTATATTTACGGTCTAAAAAGACACAACAGTTAAGGGTGCATACACATTGTTACTGATTTAATTTGTTTCTCATACCAGTTTCAGTTTGAGCCAGTACCAAAATAGGAGTACAATAAGTATATTAACCAGTAATAGTACTCTGTCTCCTACTTATCATTTTGGCCCCATTTGCAAATTGGAATACAGTAATTCTAAGACCATTCTAGAGATACCTATCGCCAAAAACAATTGTGCGTTCCTCCACCTTAGGCCGCGTTCGCTATTTCAATAGCCACGGAGCAATAGTTGCAACTGTGCTCCTTAAAATATACCGAGTCACAAAGCTAATGAACTCAAATTCTTCGAGAAGAGTTCTTTGAAATATATATTATTATTTACATTTCCGTGTGGTGACGGATTAAGAATACAGAGCGTCACCACCCCTATTCAACCCCTGGGTGCCGTAAGAGCTGACTAAGGGAGAAAACTACGTAGAACAACAGCACTGCAAAGAGAAGGAAAACTTGAAACAAACCCTATACCAACCCGTCTGGCCAGCGTGGTATAGTAGGCCAAAACCTTTCTAAGGAGAGGCCTATGTCCAGCAGTGGACTATTAAAGGCTGTTGATGTGTGATGATGATTAATATAAAAAAAATGCCCCAAATCTCGCTAAACGCATTTAATCAGCCTGGTCTTATGCTACTCAACCGTAAAGAATAGCTTCAGATTTAAAATTATTAATATTTCATCTTGGAACCATTGGACAATGCAATCCCTAATGCATCAATAAAATACGCCTCATAAGTCATTTCCCCCTCATAAGCCTGGGCAAGCTCTTGTGACTTAGAGTTGTAAATGTCTGTGGGCGGCGGTAGTCAGTCACCATCCTGGTGAGACTCCAGGTCTGCCCGTTATCCCACTTTATCATAAAAAATAGCTATGTATTAACATTATATCGATATTAATGAAAGTCCCAATAGAAAGGAGATATATTGTAGTAAAATAAATAAAGTGAAAATCGGCGAGCTTTGTGAATGCAACCATAATCTTATTATCAATATCATATTTTATTATTATAGTATTTCATTTAGTTACACGGTTTATAAATACTTTTTACATATTGCACTTTTCAATTTTGTTTATCTTTATCAGTAGTTACGAAACATACTTTAAATGTTAAATTTGTAAAAGGAACACTATACATACATATCGCATACTTAACAAATTCATGAACGTTAGCGTAACTTTTTATAGTTTACACAGACTATAAGTGTCGTACGTTTATCTTAGAGATATTAGGCTCATTAGGAATGTTAACTCTACAAACGTATGCTAAATTGAGGTGTAAACATTTTTTTTGACGTGGTTACCTTAGAACCAGAACCGGGCCAAACAAACGAGGCTAGATGATTTCAGGTTGCGATATTAGAAAATTACTTTGCTCTAACCGTAAGTGTGATATCGATTTGTCTACGAGTATACACATCACCTTATTACAGAGCCTACAAAGATTGATGTTTTAAAATGATTTAAAGCTATTTATATACGATTTTAAAAATAAAATCTGATGGTAAACGTACACAAAGGTTTTTTAAAGAATGATAACACATAAAATATTTTTTCTTAAGAAGCTCGTCGCTACAGAAAAAATAATTGTCTGACAATAACTGTAATATAATCAATTTCTTTCAGAGCAATAAGTACAATGTTTATAACAACACTGCTTTAAAAAATCAATACACACATTAGAAAAATATTAGTGCTCACCCATATTCCCTCGATACAAAAGTAACAACTGCGAAACCATGCGATTGCGACCCTCCTCAGCCTTGTCCAAGATTCGCATAATATGTGACGTGACCTGGCAGAAAATCTGTATATGATAATGCCCTAGCTCAAGAGGACTAGATCCTTCCCTAAACAAACTTGTTGCCAAAGTTTCTAGTTTCTCTAGAGCTGGGTATAACCCTCTGGCTCAAAACCTGGATCCGCCGTTGTTATCTGCATGACTATTCTCTAAATGCCACGTAGTAACCAATTAACGAATCTTCCAGTAAGGGGACGCTCAACCTTTTTAGCCTTAAACTAAATCTGCATGTTAGAGTATCCATTCATTTTTTTGGTTTGTTTTCTTCTTTATAAGTTATTTTTTCAATAGTCGGCGAGGGTATTGGAAAGCCAACTGAAAAAGTACATCAGTGTCATTAAGTCACAAGCTTACGCGCCGCTTAAACGATGCCTGTTTGGAAGGTATTATCCAAGCTCAGGTAAGTGGAATCATACTTTTACAGGTATTAAAATTGTCGATTTACGTTATTAAACCTTTGAGAATACATTTAGTCCTTTGTGGAATGCAGGATATTCCATACACTCTCTTAGTAGCCCCAGAAATAACATAATAAAAATCAAGGATGTTCATGTTATAATCATATAAACTGATCAAATCTGTTAAGAATAGATTAGAAATAATATTCGCCTATATAGATCGAGGCCTGTTTCCCTATCCATAATATTAAGTAGCAACACTAGTTAAATTACGTTCGTGACGGGAAAACGCTAGATAACGATATACAATATTTATAGTTCGTAATTACACGAAACGCCAGTAAATAGTTTAATGTTATATCAAAAAAATCGTGTCAACAAAAAAAAATTACAAAAAAATGACGGGTGATCCAAGAGTACCTAATGATAAACAAAATCTGTCGATCAAAATATAAAAAATAATAATATAATAGGTATCCCTTTTGTTGGTGATAGAATAAATCGAATAGAAAGAGTCGAAAAGATGACAAAAAATTTAATTCAAAAGTCATAGTTGCCTGAAAAAATAGCCAATTAGTTACTGGCTGAAGAGTGACAGACATTACAGGGATCTCAAATTGAATAACATATATGCTTTTTCAATGAAAATTAGCACATGAAATCGGTATCGCGGTTTGCAAGCAAGCCAGTTTGAATGAAGAAAGGGTTTCCAACGAAAGGTTGATATTTTTTGGTATTTTTTTTCGAATTATAATCATGGATGCAACCTAGATTCATCACTTTGATCCCCAGGAGAAAATTCAGGAATACAAATAGAGTTACCAAGTAATTAAGATGAAGTTGCTGACGTTCGAGTAGTTAGTTCAAACTGCTCGAACATAAATCCTATTCTAAAATCTGGTCCCAAAATTTCATTTTTTGTCCCTGTCTCAAGAAACAGATGGAGAGACGGACGGAGACAGACGAGTTGATGGCCGCTGCAGAGGCGATTGCAAGGATATAATCAACTACTGACTAAAATCAAATGTTTGACTTGTTATAAGACTATCTTAACATATACACACGCCGGTAGAATTAGCGAAACACGAAAAAAATGAGGGAATATAAAATAATAATAATAATAAATAAAATAATAATTAATTTTATTTTTAGGCAAATAATAATAAAACATGAAACAACAATTAAATTAACATGTTTTGACCGTGCTTGCCACTCCATCACTGTTACCCCAACATGGTTTAGGTATGCCTGTACTGAGCGAGCACTGTGAGCCCGAGTGTTATCCTGCATTAGAATGAAGTCGTTGCCAATAAAGGGGGCAAATGGCACAACATGTTTCTCTAAAACCTCGCTCATCATACCGATCAACAGTCAGATTCCCGCCGTCGACTACTACTAACTCCGTGCGAGCTCCTAAGTATATCCCTCCCCAGACCGTTATTGAGCCGCCGCCATATGCCACTGTAATTTCAAAATTATACTGGATATACCGCTCTCGCTTTCGCCAATTTAATTTAACAGAATTCTGCATTAATCAATGACATTGTTCACGGGAAAAGTATAGTCAGTTTGTGCGGTGGTGTCTCTCAAGTTTTGGTGCTTTGGTGGGCACAAATGAGCCTATAACGACTTCTTTGATCTTCTGCGAACTGTCCGCTCATTCACTCTTACTCCTCAAACCTCCTCTAATACATTTCGGGCCTGCACCACTGTTAGTCTCGTGTTTGTCTCACCTTGAAGTACACCTTTTAATGCCTTGTCCTCTCCCCCTCGCTAGAGAATTCGTCAATCTGTACAGTTGGATGCTACAATTAATTGTTGATAATCAATCAATCGATATGTAGAATTGACCATTTCTTCTCATTTCATCTGAAATTTACGAACTTTACGAAAACAAAAAAATCAACTTCGAAGCAGTCGATATTTATTTATTTTGTTTATTAATAGACAAGAACAGACGATAGAGATGTATGAATAAAAAAATAAAACAATCGAATGAAAAAAATGACTGTCGACTAATGTTACCCTTTCGCATTAGATCTAAAATTTAAAAAAAAAATAGCCGGCCAGAGTTACGAAAAAATACATTAATTCTTCCTTTTTTTGTGTTCCGCTAATTCTGCCGGCTTGTGTATGTAATAACAACTACTTTTGGATCACCCCTCGTCAGTATTAGGTTATCTTAATTATTTGTTTTATGTACATACAAAGTTCACCAAAGGACAGTATATATGCCATCTAAATTTTGTCGGTAAATTTCTCATGTTATATAGAGTTTGGATCGAAAAAGAAATAATGTGTTTGCCAAACGTGACAAAGTATTATTGTGCACATTAATATCTTCTAGTAATGAAACATAAAGTTGACGTTTTACTTAGCGACTTTTACACTGAATAATAATAACATTGGACTGTATGATTAAAATTTAACGAGAAGTAGGTTTATTACGACACGAGATTATGAACTCAATTTAATCAAGTAAAACTTGGTCAAATTGATTGATTGATTCAGTTTCCTAATCATAGTAGATAGATTATTTAAAGTTGTTTACTTCAACGTAGGTCAGTATTTTATATATTTCGAGTCATCTGATAACAAGCGCACAGTGTGCAGTAAAACTTCTGTAGATTATAAGTATAATAACATTTCTATTCATTGAAATAAGAAACTCGTACACAATATAAACAGTTACCAAAACCCTGAGAATTTTGTGCCTGATAAAATATATCAGGCACGAGTGCCATTTCCTTTTAGACTTTCGAAGTTATGGCCAACTCGCCTCTAATATTATTTCGGTTTTATTACACATTCAATAATTTATAAAAATGTTAGAAGCGAAACTTGTTTACTTCTGAAATATGACAGACAAGGTAGTAATAACAAATATAAATTTATAATATGTCATATATCTCATATCGATCCTGTCACAACATTGCATATGTAAATAAACCTAATTATCTTTGATATAAGGTTATCTAATGCAGATCACCATGTAACATATAATGTTTAATTATTAATTGTGCCAAATGTTCATTTACTTCAGATTTTAAATAGTCTATTCTTATTCGAAGTCCAAGTACAAAATTGCCTAAAAACTGAATAAAGAAATAAGGCAACATATACAAAAAGTCATTGTTCTTTTTTATGGTACTGGGGCAAACGAGAAAACCTCACCTGATGGTGTAACTACCGCCATCCATGGACATCTGCACCTCAAGAATCACCTTTGCCTTTGAGTGCTTCCGGCAGAACAAGAGGCGGAGGGTTGGGCCTCCTAGAACCGCACTCACTCAGTAAATTGCAATGAAACAATTGCTAAGCACCGATTTTCTTAAGGCCGTGGTATAACGTATATGCAGCCAGGCCATATGTGCCGAAATATGGCTATTCCACAGTTTGTCCTTCTTTAGCTGGCTGTGATTACTCATTTTTGCCCTATCGGCACAGTATTAGTGGCATTTGCACAGAGCGTTGTCTAGTCTACAGTGTCTTATTTCTTCTTTTTTCTTATTAAAAGACAACTCCCGCATTAGGAATATATATTCTGAGTCGCAGGGGACTTTACAAACAAACAAGAAACGGACACAAAGAACAACCAGACTCAGAACAACAATTTGCAGATAACACAAAGTGGTGTTCGATCGAATCGAATCCACAACACTCAGCGCAGTAGGAAGCGGAGTGGCGACCGCTTAAACCACTACGCCATCCGTGCAGTCAAATGTATGTGTATAACATGCATCGTGGGATTTGAACATTTACTTTTGTTTGAAAATAAATCCAAGTCTGAACAATGACAACTACTCGTATCTCAGGAGAATACAGATTTTAGTTTTATCCATAAATCATATGCAATCGTGAAGCCATTTTAACACAATGAGGCTAGAAATAATAATACTTTTTACTATACTAGATTTAATGGCATAGAAAAGTGAATACAAATCGTTTAAGGCAAATTGTTAACCTCAGTAAAATTTTGGATTCATACCTGGCAACGCTATGTAATATAACAGATAAGTAACACACCTCAAATGCTGTAATTTATGTCAAACGAAACTAGTAGGTATTACAGAAAATTTACCGAGCATCCTGTTATCATACGTCAGTAGGTGTGTTGAACTCTGCCTTCTTATCGCGTGTATTATGTAAATGGGTACTCGCCAAAAAATCTTCGTGCTTTACGGCCTAAATGAATTCGTATGTACAAAGTTATTCCTGTAGCAGTGAAGTTTATTTTAGCTTGCACAAGTTCGGCGAGAAGGCTAATGAACCTGTTAAAATAGTATTGATTCCCAACAGAATATATTTATGAATATGTATGGTAAAAACCAATGCGTTTTTACTAGGTTTTACTGGCCAAAAGTTTTTACAGGCAACCTGGTCGAAACGCCAGGCAAACAGTATTTTAATGTCTATAAATTGAAAGTTTAAAATTAAGTATAATTATACCAATGTTGAATGGATGTCCATAAACAATCTCCTTCAATTTTTAATTACTTTAATGTACAAATATATGTGTTACATTACCTGGTCCAACGGCCAAACTGTACAAACAAACGATTTGCAGACGAACGTCTTCTGGAATACGACATCGACAAAGTATTATTTGACGAGGAGTCGCAGTTTCAGAGGGTTCAAATCGTCCATTCTAAAACCCTTGGCAATATGTTGGTGCTAGATGATTTACAAAGTAAGTAATTAATTATTAACTAATGTAGCTTAGCATGGATTTTTTTTTATTTAATATTATTTATTATTGCCACACGTGTGTGCATCCTACTGTAATGTAACTGATATGCAGTCATGAGTTGACCTTATGATCATATCTTTGAAAAACAGATACCTGATGCTCGTAATATTAATCAAAGTGATATATATTCACAAGAACGTGTAAGCTTTAAAGCTAAGAAGCTATAGAACTTATTAACACTGTAAATAGTGTTCAGCTGCGCTAAACTACGCAATCATCCTAATACTGAAAGTGCTATAAACATTTTTGTACACAAACGAAAAGAGTACAAATTCTTTACCTACTTTTAATACTAAACAAGTTGATTGCTCTCACATCAGTACATATTCTTGTGAAAATAGTTCTTACTAGACCAAATATTTAATATGCAAATATTTTATAAATAACCATCTATAGATTGTTCTATGGATGGTTATTTATTAAATACTAGCTGACCCGCGCAACTTCGTCTGCGCCTCTCAATAGTAATAAATTATGTCCGTTTTTGAAACATTCTTCATTGGTGCTCCGCTCCTATTGCTCTTAGCGTGATGATATATAGCCTATAGCCTTCCTCGATAAATGGGCTATCTAACACTGAAAGAATTTTTCAAATCGGACCCGTAGTTCCTGAGATTATCGCGTTCAAACAAACAAACAAACAAACAAACTCTTCAGCTTTATAATATTAGTATAGATTTGCATTGTAGACTCTAAACGTAATAACCAAAACAAACCAAACAGCATTGTAAAGATATGGTGCACTGTCTTTAATAGGTATTTCTACTTTCTAGATATTTCTGAGGCTGATCTCATATACACCGAAACTCTAATGCAAAGAGGAAAGGAGAACTACGAGGGCAAAGAAATTGTTATTTTAGGTAAAACTATTGATTATTACTCACTATGCGGCTACGCCCGTCACTTATATGGGTCAAGGACTTACCGCAAGCACAGTACTCGATTGCTTATTAGGCCCCGTCCGCACAGCGATATTTTACGCGCGTTTTATTTCGCAAAATTCTGTAACACATGGGATCTATATAGGACTATCCGCACTGGCGGAAAAATAAACGCGCGAAAAAATCGTGTGAAAAATTTGATACAAAATGAACACGAGAATTTTGCCACAAAAAATAAACGAAATATAGCTGTGCGGATGGGACCTTGCTGTTAAAGTTATGTAGACATTTACATAATATGTTAGGTTGTTGTAAGCACTTAGTAAGGTAAAATAGAAAATAAGGTTGGTTCGTTTTATTCGTCTTGTATTTTAAGTTTTTTCGTAAATCTCATTAATTTGGCTAGACTTCAAAAATGGAAAAAAAATATCAGAAGTTGGGCATACAATGAACTTATTATAGTGAGCTTTCATTTAATTATAATTATTTTGTTTAAAACTTTACACACAATTTGTACAGAGGCAGGCTTAATGCCTGTGGCATTCTCTGCCAATTTACTTTAATTTTTTTACAGGTCAGTGTAAATAATGTTAATTTTGAGCTGCACTTTTAAACTTAAGCGTCATCATGGCGATGATGTATCCATTTTATCGCACAAAGGTCCCGGTTCAACTCCTATCTTGAGCGTTACTACTTTAATTTATCTACATATATTTAAACCTAAGTATCGAGACCTCGTCGTTCTGCGACCACCGGCGCCTGAGTCGCCTCCGGTATCTGGCCCGTTCCCGGGCCTGGCGGGCCGGGTGAGTCTAAACCTCTCCCTTCCCGCTCCGCCGTCTCCTTCGCGAGCATAACTTGCTAGCAGAAGGAGACGGCAGAGTTCCACGCACTCTCGCTCCGCACGATAGCCGCAATCAGGCTATCGAGCGAGAGAACACCCACTCCGATGGCCGCCACGAGGTTTCGCCTCTGCTCAACCCACGCCGGGCACTCTGCCAGCGTGTGGAGAGCCGTGTCCACGGTCTGGCCAATGCAGTGGTGGCACTCAGGCGTTGGCTCCTTGCGGATCAGACACAGGTGATCCCCGAAACATCCTTTCCCAGTGATCACCTGCTCAGTCGGTATGAGAGGGTCCCGTGACGCCTCTCGAGTGAATCCTCCATAACGGGACTTACCGCCGCGATGACGGCGTGCCCGACCCCATTGGCCCCTGGTGCTAGCTATAAATGCAATAATAAATTGTGAATTTATTGGATTTTATTCCGCGTAAGTATATTGTATTTGCTTAATCTAACACAAATAAGTGCAATATATCTACTTATTACCTCAACTTTAGTAATCTTTAATAAGAATCCTTAACATATTTGCAATAACTCAAACGTATTGCTCTTATAAGTAAATGAAGATCATAAACAACGAAATATGCTAATTATAAATGTAATAACTATACTTATTGCAGATATAGTTTAACTTATTCCTATCTATAGTTATGTCGGTCTTGATAAGTAAATCAAAATACAAGGACCTAGATATTGCAGTTATACTTAGTATTAAAACCTTATCTGTCATAGATATGTACAAACTGTCTAAAGAGTTTATATAGATCTCGTTTTGCTGATGCCGAATATGTACTTACTCAATTCGACCAAAAGCTCGAGTTATTGAACATATTTTTTCACTAAATTTAAATTTTTTAAGTAAAATGTAACATGGAGAAATGATTTGATTCAAATAATTAGAAATTGTAATGGTGAAAATAAAGACAACACAAATATATTTTCACCAAAATTCTAGAAAAGTTTGTTGGCAATGAAAGTATTTTTTAAACTTAGAATCTGAACATACTTTCGTCGGAATAGAACACAAAATAAGTCTTATTAGATATTTATTTTTTTATTTATTTATTCATATCGTATCGAGTAACAAAACTATGTAGCAGAAAAATATTTAATGATTCGGTTTCACCACATATCGAAATTAGAGGAAATTTCAAGAACCTCTCAGAGTAAAAAAAAAATGATCAGCATTTACGACATTAAATAGTAAAATTTCGAACAAATAAAATATTTATTGACTGTGTTTTAGGGTATAAATTCGAGTAACTTGACAACCCCAAAATTCATCCACACACACAGAGCTGCCGCCATTACAGTGCCTCAGTTTTGTGTTAGCAAGAGTTCCGTCCGACTTTTTTTATACGTCTAGGAGTGTTGCTAACAATTGTTAAACTCCCTTTCAAGAAATAACGTATAACTAAGACTTAGAAATGATTTATCTAAAAATATCGATTAAAACATTTTGTGCCTCTTAAAGTCCTCTGCTGAATTGTCCTGCTGAAGATAATACTTGTAGAGAATAATATTAGAGGTTAATTAAAGTAACAATTCATTACGCCTAATTTTTCCATTCTAAAGCATTTCACAAATCGATTTATAAATGGCAGAGTTTTGATTTAACAAACAAAAAAATACAAACGACCTGAGAACCTTCTTTTTTTGAAGTAGGCTAAAAATATGTGAGCTTGGAGTTATCTGTTAAGGTGGAGGCGATGGTGCTCTTTTATACGAATTATTGAAGGAGAAGCCCAAATACGTGTGGATGTTGGAGATTGACGAGGTTGTGATGACGGCGTGCAACAAGTACCTCAGATCAATATGCGGGGACGTGCTCGAGAGGAGAAAGGGACTCAATTATGAAGTAAGTTTTTTGTTTGGTCTGTTAGTCTAGCAGTAAGTGATTGCTTATAGTGCTTCATCGTCATCAACAGCCTTTACTAGTCCACTGTTGGACATAGGCCTCTCCTTAGAAAGGAGGTTTTGGCCTACTATACCACGCTGGCCAGACGGTTGGTATAGGGTTTGTGTCAAGTTTTCCTTCTGTTTGTAGTGCTGTTGTCCTGCGTATTTCGCTCCCTTAGTCGGCTCTTACGAAATTACCAAAATATCGGTATTAAAGATAATGTACAATTTTACAAGGTTACTACAATGTTTTAATTACTCAACATACGGAGTCTTCGTGACTCATAAAGTTGTCTAAGTATAAAGCCTGACCTTGGCTGACAATCGGGGACATAAAGCTGAAATACTATGTCTAAGTCCCACTAGTAGCAGAGTGTGCCTGTGATTTATTTAAGACGCTTATATTTATTAGGATTCTAGTGTAGCGAGTTCTATAAAAAGCCAACGTTTACGTGGTTGCCAAAAACACGTCACTTGGATAATATCATAGTTTTTTTAACACAAATGACAAAATGTTCTATTAATAATGTGATAAATTGCGTCCTTGTAAAATATTTGATCTTCTTCTTCACGTATAACTTATGACAACTTTCAGATTCACTTAATATATTCCTAGGTTTACAATTAATTATTTGGCCTGCATGATAAAATGTGACATCTTAAAGTTGTCTGAATTGGTACAACCTGGTAACCACAATAGTGGCAACTCGATGGAAGCTTCGGGTAAAGAAAAAAAGTATCGTATCTTTAGTATCTACTTTGTGATATTTTTATTATGAAATAAAAATATTCAATAGGTAATTTATATATATATAATTTAATATTTTTTTATCCTTATCATCGAGTTGCCACCATTTTGGTTACCAGTGACCACCAACCACCTGACTGACCATATCTGACTTTTAAACTTATCATCAACATCATTTCCTGGCCTTTGCCAGTTTGATTTTTGGTCCCCATATTGAATATACATAATTGCAAAAAGTTTTGGTTATCTTTAAAATGTATTTCTAATTACCACTCCTGTCATATTGTGCAACCGTTGACCGGCCTGTTGGTTATTATTTAGGGATCCTGCTAAGTCAGAGGTCGTGGGATTGATTCCCACCCAGGACAATTTTTTGTGATAAGCACAATCATTTTTCAGTCTCTGGGTTGAATCTTATATATAAAATTCTCGTGTCACAAATGTTCGTTCCCGTACTCCTCGGAAACGGCTTGACCGATTCTCATGAAATTTTGTGTGCACATCGGGTAGGTCTGAGAATCGGCCAACATCTATTTTTCATACCCCTAAATGGTAAGGGTGACCCATCCCTAATTTTTTTTTGTTTTGCAATACAACGTTTGCCGGGTCAGCTAGTTTATCTATAACATGTATGTATTTAGAAATATTTAAGTATGTTTATCAGCAGTCTGGTTACCATAGCACAAGCTCTGTCTAATTTGGGATCAGACGGCCGTGTGTGAGATGTATCAAGATAATTATGTGATTTAAATTTGCAGGTAATCGTAGAAGACTGCATGTTAACGATAAACAAGTTCATAAAGGACGGCAAGAAGGTTGACTACGTGTTCGGTGATCTCACGGACATTCCGATCTCGGAGACGGCCAGCGGCGAACTGTGGGAGTTCATGATCACTATTCTCAACTCATCGTTCAAGATCCTCAAGCCGGATGGGAAGTTTATGACCCATGTACGTATTTTACTTTTTTTGGTTCTAGGTTATGCTCTTGGCTTCGCCTGCGTCGATTTGGTCATAGAATAGGGTAAATTGCTGTTTATAATAAATTATTTTACCCGAATCATTAAATGTTACACCTTAAAGTACAGCATGAATTGTCCTCCATTATCAATGTAGTGTTTTTTTTTATTTTAAAATCAACATTAACACGACGACAGTGACTAAATATGACACCTTAGAATGCAACAAAAATTTATCGCTTCTTTTGGTTTGGATGGTCAATAGAAAGATACTAATTTATCTTGATAGTCATTTAAGACAGGTATAGTTAGCTTTATGGTCCGGAAAATTCCTATTGGAGTCAAAATAACTGAAGGAGTACACTATTCAAAAAACTAAGTGTGTATTATATGTACTTTTGTGTATATCCTTTGTTGGAGATCCAATAAATAAATAAATAAAATGATTGCAATAAAAAATTAAAAAAATGTCGAAAATGGTAAAAAACAGTTTTTCGCGACTGGAGCGAAAACTAACCGGAATGAATCCCCGGAGAGCAAAATCGGACCATCAAATCGCCCGAAATTTGCAAGAAGAGTTTTGTATAACTAGGAAAATGGATTGAGCTGAAATTTGGTTATTTTGTCAATGTTGTAGTCCAAATTGATAACTATCCGGCAACTGCCGAATACCAAATAATACCATATTGCATTATGAAGTTACTGGAAATGAAGCCCTGTTTCAAAACGACGTACTCGTACATTTTGATTTATTTAGTTATTTTATAACCTTTACTCAAATTTGCTTGGGATCAGCCCGATATACTTTATATTTTGATGCCATCATTCGACATCTTGCTCTCGTTTTAGCCACATCCCCTCTTTCTTTCACTCAGTCCATCCACCTTTTCTTTGGGTGATTTCCTACACTTCTGTCTTTCAAATTTCACACATACACGGTGTTCTTCACCATTCTTCTTTGTCACTTGTCCATATTCTTGTATAAAATGATAAGTCAGATGTTCAACATTTTTGCTCTCTATCTGTTAGCCTACTCTTATGACTCATGTGCAAAATGCAGCAATTTGCTTATTGATCAATTTAGAATCACAAGTGATAACTTTTGATTGAAAGCAATCAGCACAGGAATCAATTGAGGGCAATAGGTGAATGACTGCGATAGCACGTTTTATGTAGAAGGAAATGTTAATTTATGAAATTGAACAGAATGCCCTTCAATACCTACATATGAATTTCGAACGGTTTTGGAAATGCGTGAATGACGAAAATCAAGATTTAAAAGCAATCATATCCGACTACGTCACATATTACTTTCTTGATCTGGTAAAACGCAATAACTACCCTCATTTTGAATTTTTTTATAAATACTTTTAGTTTGCTGCTCTGTTGACATATGAATAACTGTTTTTATTTTTTAACATGGTATAGGGGCCAAATGAGCAGAGGGGTGCTCTGATGGTAAGTGACTACCGCCGCTTATAAGAGCTACAAGTGCTGGCCCCCGAAATGCAACGAAAGAATTGGTTAACTCTGTTTTAATGTGAGGCCGTGGTATGTCTCTATTCCAGCAACCCGTTTTTGTGCCTAAACATAGCTCTTCCACAGTTAAAGTGTAGTGTTAACTGTGAAATATCTCTTACAGGGCAACGGTGCTACTTCAACCGAATCTCTAGAGCTCTACGAACAAGAGCTTGCAAAACTCAAGCCTGCAGTGAAGTACACCAAGAGTAGAGCCTTCGTGCCATCCTTTCTTGAAGACTGGCTATTCTACCACATATCTTTTGGTAATGCCAACAACGGAGACGCTTAACACACCAAAGACCTCCAAATATTACATCAACTAAGTCATATTAATGCCATATTTCTAAGAGTAACTTCTCTCAGTATGTTTAAGATTTATATCAAAGGTGACCATTTTGTTCCAATACAAACTACTGCTTTTAGCGACATCACATCATTACGCCATCAGTGCGGAGTCGGACAGTTTAAGCAACCAGTTGTTTTCGACTAAGCTGTTGTTTCGTGTACAATATTTAGACAGATTGAATATGTGTGTAGGGGTGATTAACTATAGTATTATACAGTATTATAAGTCTATCGATCCTACAAAAGTAGTAGTATGCATTGGATATTTATTATAAGTTCAATTTACAAAGAATGTTTCCTAAGTTTTAGATGTGATATACTTTGCTTTTGTGATACGTCACGCATGAAGGTAGCTGTTAAACGCGCATAGCTCGTAACATTTGTACACTACATTTCTTTCCATATTATTAGTTTTAGTTGAAGTTTTACTGTTGATAAATGCTTGTTCCTTTTATTGTTTTACTAATAATAAAATTATTTTAACAATATATATGTTTTATTTTCTTTTTCAAAGGCGACGGAATAATACAAAACAAAGCCTAAAAATAGCATTTCAGAATTAAACTTAGGATGTAGATGCTGTTGAATCGTCGTCGAGTGCTGCACAAACCTAACTTGCTTTAGTTTAGTTTTTTTAATAGGTGCGCTTAAATATGGAAAAAGCAGACAAAATATTAAAAAGTAAAAGCCTAGAACTACCTTTTTTTTGTAAAACGTACGCACCTTCAAAAATTATTTTATGTTCGTCGTCATTTGTAATTATATTATTTTTGTGCTATGCCGGCTTTTGCCAGTTTGATAAACAAAGAATTAATATTTACAATCTCTACGAAAAGCAGTGTTCTTTCAAGTATTGAACTGATCGTAATTAAAATTAAAATTTCATTTTAAAAGAATTGTTTCACTTCTCTACTAAACAGCATTTTCACACCATAATAAATTTAAAATTTAATTGTCTTTATTTTTTGGATTCCCCTAAAGTAGGCAATTAAGGATATTTCAACTTCTTTCTAAGCGAAGTCTACGTCTGCGCGTCCCTTTTTCTAAGCGCTAAGTACCAAACCACGCTACAGATTTAGATATTTAAAAAAAAACATCTCGCAGTCCCCGACGAACAAAATCGTAATAGGAAAATAACAATTTTACAGGAGCAAATAAAAACTGAATATCTTGAATACTATCAAGACCAAAAAGAAGATTATTTTATCAAAAATAAGGAAATATTTTTTTGCACTAGATTTTTACTAAATTTTTATCATAAATTTTCTTTATCAGTAAGAAAATTGTGAAAATGTCCATTACTGAAATAAGCTATGGAAAAAATTAACGCAAACTAACTTTACGATAGTGTTCGACTGTAATCACAAATCGGTGTTGCTGTAGTAATCGTTCATTAAGATATTGTTCCATGGTAAATATGAATATACTTTATATTCGTAAAATGACATTGCAATCGTATTCGATGATATAACTGACTTTAATATTTCGGTAAACATAAATGACATGTTTATTCGATGATCATTTTTAGGTGTTATAACCATTTCGGTACCTATGTATAAATTCTGATTCTGATTCTGTCATTTTTCGCTCGAACAATATGGTAATAGCCGCTTACTTTAAAATGTTGACTTTTGAGATTTGGTAATAGGTTTTTGCGTTATTGATCGTGTAAATTTTTCACTTATGTTATACGTTGAACAAAAACATAAAGATCATTATTGAATGGATAAATCCAAAAGTATTCATCGCCCGATCATAAAAAAAAATCAATGATTGTAATAGGGTGTGTAGATAACGAATATCTAATAAACTCGATTCTATCGTAATAGCGATTACCATAGTGTTCGTCGGGGACTGCGATCTGTTTAAGGGGGCGAGGGGCGGCCATAGGGTCAAAAAACGCGCCAGAAAGACCACAGATGAGATGATGCGTTGGGATGTCGAAATCAAGAGGACAGCAGGGAGGAAGTGGCTCCAAATCGCACAAGATCGCGACGAGTGGCGTACGTTGAAGGAGTCTACACCCGAAGGGTCGAGACATGAAGAGAGAGAGGCAGAGGGAGAATCTGATTAAACTCAATTCCTCGCTGTAAGCTTCTTAAAGTTTTTACCTTACAAAAATGAACCGAATAAAAACTAAGAGAAATAAAAAACAATTGGTGTTTTATTTATAACTTTATAAAGATAATTTATAAAAAAAATACGATATTAATATTTTATCTTACTTATATATTATATATATGCATGTTTATCGAATTTGTGATCACAGTAATAAACTAGCATAATGGAAAAAGCTGGAAAATGAAATAAGAAGTTCAACACCCGCAATTCTGCTACATCAGTACACCTACTACACGTTATGGACTATAAGTTAACTTTGTAACACTTTTGTAACTTTGTAACATTATTGTCAAAGCTAACTTGTGTACATCCATTGGTAGTGACATCTATTATACTGTTTTGTAATTACAATATATAGAATTATAAATATGTAATAAATTGCAATATACTATATTCTTTATTCTATTTACCACCCTTAGGGGTAGTATTTTTTCTTTGAATTGGAAAGGGACCAAACAGGAAGTATACCCTTCGAAATAAAAAAATATAATTTTTCAAATCGACTAAGAAACTTTTAAAGCAAAATTAAAAACGACCATTATTGTTCTCAATTTCCTCCTTTTTAAAGTCGGTTCACTTTTAAACCGACTTTAAAAAGGAGGAGGAAATTGACCTGATTGATGGACCTTTGTCCATCATTATTGAATAGAGATATTGGGAGGTATAATGCTCAGTTCAAATTCATAAACAAGAAACAATGTACTCATATTTCACGGAGCTAATAGAAAACGGGATTGGTTTAAACTTTTTCTAAACCCAAAATCGCATGTAATATTTTTTTAGTTGTAATTTTTTTTCATATGTATTTTAGTTGTAACAGACATATCCAATCGCTTGTAATCCCACAGTCCGAAATACATACGAGATGTATTTTAATCGATTATTTTTTCAACTCACGACCCGTTATTCGTTACGATTTATTTCTTACTAAGTAATTATAAACCTATGGGAGATACAGCACTATTGTATGCTTCGAGATGCAGAACATATGAGATTCTTCATCTTTAATCGGTTGGGTTCAGAGATGGGTGTTCTGGCCCAAACGTTTTAGAGTGTTAGCTCCATGACTAAAACAAATCTCATTCTAAGGTAATGTGTGCGTGAAAACGAAGAACGCTTTTGAAAACGTACTTGTGGGGAATTATGAATTTTAATTAGGTACACATTCTAATGACAAATTTTCGTGTTCATTTGTAAATATTAGGTTTTTATCCCTTTTATGTACCCACTGCATTTTCCCAAAGATTTTTTTCAATATTTGGTGACCCCTTTGCCGTCTTAAGGATCTAGGAATACGACAAATAAAATGTTTGATGATTTTCCTGCCACGTAGATGGGGAATTACCTTAAATTATTGCTTACATAGCCATTACATTTACAATTCCATTTGATAACAATTATTGTGACGTCATGTCAACGCCCAATGAATATGCACATAGGTCTTTTAAGCTTATATCTCGATTATATTAGATACATAACATGATTCTGTACAACGGTGTTTGTTATTCAGTTTGTCGTAATCTGGCGAGTCTTTGCGTGAGCTCGTCTTGTTCCTGAGACACGACGGTGGCGGTACCGATGGATGTGCTCGGGACGCCAGACGGCAGCTCCATATTGAGTTCCAAGCTAGAATTGATAAATATAGAAATTAGAATTTAAATTAACAATACATCATTTATAGTAAATTTTGTATTTCATCAACATTTATTCTCTAACAGGACCTTTTAACCTCTCATAAGCCGAAATGTCGCTACACTGTAAAATGCTTTCTCCGGTGAGCGCTGATCATCGCAGCGGCACATGAGAGGTTAATCCATAAACCACGCATTTAGTTATCTAGCCAGATTTATTTTTCGAATGACGAAAAGCTTCCTAACTTATTGTAAGCATAGCAGTGAGTGTTGTTTGTGTCCATTTGATGTATGTTTGTAAAGTTCCCCGCGACACAGGATATATTCCCGGCACGAAAGTTGGCTTTAAAAAAAATAAAGAGGGCGCCAGATACTCACTAAACTGAAGGGAAAAGGACTCCTTATCCTATATCATGACATGCCTTTAGTTTGATAATAATCTTCGAAAACGTTTAGTTACCGAAGGCTTAAGCCCTGTATGTCTATGAACGCCAAACATTCTGGTATATTATTAAGACATTGATATGCTACAGTATTTAGGGCAACTTTTAGCTACATACCCTGCCTCATCAGCCACTTGTTGCAACAAATTATCGACGTCTCCTTGCGGCACTGTCGTGGTAGTGGTTTGTGACATTGCATTCTCCATGTACGACGACTGGACGTCCAAGTCCTCGAACTGACTTTCGAATTTGTCCATGAGTGTAGATATCTTCTCCAAGTTCATCGATTTCATTGCAGCATCCATCGCTTTCACAACACCCGCCATGGAATTTGTGACCTGTAAATTAATTTGAAAAATGTCAAATAAAACTTAAAAAAAAGGATAATTTAGTTATTTTAAAGCACACAGACCCAGAACCTTTTTTAGGACCTGAATTTGGATTACTAAAATGTAATACGTAAAAGACATAGAGAAAGGTAGAATTCACAAAATTGTGTGTTATAAAGTTAAAAATTATGAAAAAAATGGCTTTACAAAACTATAGGGTTCCAGCATATATTCTGACTTGTATAGCTAGTACAAATATATATTTTTTCGGACATCTACCACACAACGCTATCTAGTTTCAAACTAAGCAGAGCTTGTACTACGAAAGCTAGATTGAAAAAAAAGGATATAAATATTTTATATCCTTTTTTTTAAATACATATATAATAACAGTCATATGGGTAGCAATTTTAATTAGCATATTAGGTTTTTATCCCTTTTATGTGGGTACATAAAAGGGAATGAAAACTGAATTTTCCCAATGTTTTTTTTAATATTTGTTAAATCCTTTCCCGTCTAAGGGATCCAGTAATGGATGAATGTATCCAGAATGGATCCAGGATCCAGACATAACAGTCATGTAGGTACGTTTGTGTACGGGCAATGCACCCGCACAATGTCGTGTCAGCATATTACGCCAACACATACATTTTATTAATTTGCAATAATCTAACGGTTGACCTAACAAAAGTGTCATTGACCCAAATCCTTATTATTTTAGATTTAGTTAGACTTAGCTAAATACAATAAATAGTTATTACTATACTACCCATTTTACTTCTTGGTGTAAAAACCTTACAATTTGAATACTAAATAGTAACATTGTAGTGAGGTTAAGGAGGGCCAAATCTAGTCAATCATTTCATAACACATAATCTATGAGTTGGTAAATAAAAAGCTATACTGAATTTACAATTTTATCATTATTACTTCAAATCTTATTTTAGAATCAGGAGAGTTTGAGTAAATATTTTTGTAGAGCTTATATAACAAAAACTGTGATAATAATCACATAGCAATTAAAACAAAACGCAAAACCTATTACTTCAATGCCATTTCAAATATGTTTTTTTTAATTACTACATTCCATAGACTCAGGTATAACAACACAATAATAAGGTGCCAGGAACCTACGAAACCTAAATTTACATTTTAGTTTAGATTTGTATCATATCTTATCTTGAGTAAATAAATGCTACACATATGTCGCTGACAAACATACCTTTCTAGTTGTTAGAGCTGTCTGTACTCTACTCGATACAGCATCCACTCTCGCAGACATCCTAAGATAATTAAGGGCCTGATTCTTCTGTCTTATAGCATTTTCTGCATGTATTCTAGCACCTTCCATGTTACCCTTTTGTATAGCTTTCTTTGCTTTTTCCTTTTCTATTTTTTCTTCTTTTTCACATTTTTTAGAATTTCTCTCCAACTCTTTTACAGCAAATTTTAAATTAAACAGGTGCTCTGTTTATAGATTAAGGATTAATTAATAATAATTTCTTAAATAGGTTTTAATACCTCCTATAAAATTTTCATGCCTAGAGTAGAGAATTTTTTTTTGCAAAAGAAGTTATATCTTTAGACCAAAGATGAGTATTACACGCAATATTAAAACTTACCTATTATGAATTCAGTGAAAATATAATAAATGTAAAAATAATATTCCAATATCAGTATTTGAATGACTCATATCTGTAAATCTTTAGAGATAAATATTGTAACTACAATTGAAACCAGTTATAACAACATTGAAGGGACCATATAATTTCGGACGTTATATCTTCTTCTTCTTCTTCTATAAGCAATATACACAAGTATAATAGATTGTCTTATATGTACATAGAATTTTATCAATATGTAGGTAATATTCAGGTATGGGTTTAGGTTATACTTATGAACCTGTTTTTAAATTAAAAATATTGAAAAAAGAAATGATACTGTTTATTCTGAAAAAGCTTTTCAAGGTTTTGGTCTCTAGCTCAGCCTCAAACATGTTTTGCATTATATGTTTCATTCTCATCAAGATTGCTTGATTATCATATCCCACTAAATATATGTCATATGAAATGCAAGGCCAAATGGCAAAGAGCGAGCAAGGGGTTCAGAAAGGGTGGGAGAAAGTGCACAGCAGACAGCCAATTCTCGTAATAGAAGTTCGTTCTCAATTCATTTCCCATCAATTTTTGATCTCTCAACTGTCATAAAAGACAAGTTAAAAAGTATGAAACATCAAACATTGACTGTAATGTGATTTTATCATATTGTAACCGAAAATTGAATCGGTATTCTGCTGGTCTTAGTAATACTATTTTACTACGAAAATACCTTTTATGACAGACGTGAGATTGATAATTGAACAGAACTGAATTGTGACCAAACTTTTATTATGAGAATTGGCCTTCTGATCAAAATCTTCACAGATTACAATAAGTTTTAAAATTGTTCATATTGTTTTATTTTGCTAGAACAAGTAAAACAGTTAATATCAAAAGATAAATCTCAATAAAGTTTCATCATTTGAAGCTATATGTCGCTTTGTTCAATGTAGTTATAGGCAGTATGTTACTTAATTGTTTATATAGGAATCGGCCAGGGAACCTTACCATTATCATAATAACAGATATGTTGTTATAAATGATGTAGTTATATTCTGTCTCTACTGTATTTTAAATTGTTTAAAAGATATTAATATATTTTTAACACACACTGAAAAGAAAGTCAGCATAGATAATAATTTCTGACTTACTCTTGGAAAAAATCTATATCTTGGCCAGTTTTGATGTACAACACTAAGAGTAATAAATAGTCAACATGATATTCTAAACTTAATTATGATGATAACATGAATATTTGTAAGCATTATAATATTAAAAGTTATGGAATAATAAACTTAAATGAGTGATTCAATGACTAATAGTAAAACCCTGAAAATGTATGCAATATTGTGATGAAATAATAAAAGTATAAATACCGAAATATGGATCCATAGATATTTCAACACTTTATCTGAGAATTTAATGGTATAAACAAATTATTTGCGTTTGTCACTGTGATTTCTATATCCAAAAAGGAGTTGAAGGCAAGCAGTCGAATATCAAAAGGATACTTTCCATAGCAGATGAAGACATTTCGTTCCCCAGTTTGACGGCTTTAAAAACTTTTTACACAAAAATATTGTAGGTGCTAAGACCTAATCGACCTTAAGTAGGTGCGAGTAAGAAAAATTTAATATTCACTACAAAGAATAGCAAATACTTATTTATTAAGATGACTCACAGTCAGTCAAAACAATTTATTTTACTCAGCAGATGTCAAAAATAGTGTTGGACGTTGGTGTTGCACATGAAAAACATCGAGTAACATAAACTGACTTGCTCATTTTTTTGTTTTTCTCCAAGCTTTTTTCATTTCAATAAATAAGTTTTACTTTGATTTTTAAATATTTTTATTAATTTTAATTTGTTTATATAGGAAATAATAAAAGACTAATGTAAATTGTAGAAAAGTTTGCCAAATGACAAAATGTATAGTTTATGGTTAATTTCACCGTTACGTTGGCAAGCCTGTTTACAACAACAAAATGTCAAAATAAAATTGAATTGAGTGAAAAGTGTTCGCTGCTGTATTTTATTTGGAAGTGAGAGAATCGGAGAGCGTTAAATAATCTTAAATAATTATAGAAATCCTTGAAGAAAATAAATTAGAAATAATTTTATTTAAATTGTAGTGCTCGTTATATTTAGGGTTTAATATTATTTTAGATTTTTGCCGAGTTTGTGTCAAAAGCATAAATCTCTATCAGAATCGGATAGGTAGAGGACATTCGCTGGGCGTAAAAAGAAAATGGCGTGTGCGACTCTAAAAAGAAATTTGGACTGGGAGTCCATGGCACAGATGCCTGCTAAAAGGCGAAGATGTTCACCATTTGCGGCTAGCTCAAGCACAAGTCCTGGAATAAAAGTGTCTGAAACTAGACCCTCGTCATTTGGAGAGGCCGTTACGGCACCTGCGAAACTGACCCCAGGTTTGTTTATTTTTATTATTCTGGCTTGAGATACTTTTAGTAATATAATATAAGTATCTGTAAATAATTATTATGTTAATTATATTACTAATCAAGGTATATAATCTTACGCCATTGTTTCTACTGTATCATGAAATATTTTTATCGCGTTAGAGCGAGATGAGTGATCCATGAAGACCGTTGCTTGCTTTTTTTCATGTTCTTTTGTTGGTTTTTGTGTTGTATTCTGAGTTCTAGGTCTTTGTTGTGGAATGTCCCTAGTAGGGTTTTTATAGCAAATGGGTTTTTTGTTTGTAACTTTCGAGATTTAAGTTTTATATACTGCAAACTCATCCGAAATATGGGCTGTGTTGTGCAGTACGCTGTTTATCAATATCAGCGAATTATGAACTTATGTACTCATTAACACAATGACTAAACAGATTTAGCTGATTAATTATATTTTTTAGGTTTATAATTTAATAATAATTATCGTAGATTCATTTGTGCCTGTATATACACTAATTAAAAAACCTGAGATTTAAATGTAGTTACTAATGAAATATTAACACTCCTTCCATTGAGTGGTGAAATATGCCTTTATATTGAACAAAACTTATTATTTGTTTATCTTTTATGAGACAAACAAAGGTATGCAAAACAACATGGCATTTGAAGGAATCCATCCATATGTCACAAAATTATGTGACAGTGTGTAAATTTATTTGAAATAAACATACTACTTAAAATATTGATAAAATATTCATGTGTCATAGAATATTCAATTATTATAAACTCTGTTAAGTAGTGATTACAAAAACTAATAAGTAATTAAATTCAAGGAATCAATGTTAATAGTAAATGTGTTTAAATGGTCGCCGACTACGCTGAGTGTTGTGGGTCCGATCCCCACATGGGACATCACTTTGTGTGATCCACAAATTGTTGGTCTGAGTGGGTGATCTTTGTGTCCGTTTCATGTATGTTTGTAAATTCCCCCACCAACACAGGTTATATTCCTAACACGGGAGTAGTTTTTATAAGAATAAAAAAAAACAAATTTTGGGTCATTTTAAAAAACAAATTACATTGTCATGAAACCTTTTACAATTTAACCTTTTTGTTATTGACTCGGAATATTTGTAAAGAAGTGCAACAAAAAACTTTATTTCATAGCAATCAGTATGTAAATAAATGATATTACTCTGTTAAAGAGTTATTTGTACATTAACCTTTTTAATTTCAATAACAAATTGTATTCAATGTTTGGCTACCTTTTAGTTTTTACAGGTGTGTAGTAATAGATTTCTCACATTTGATTTCTTTGTGGTTTTTTGTTACAATGACAACTCTTTTCTTTTTTAACTTGTAGCTTTAAAATTCTATAGAGATATTAAACTTGTATTTTAACTAACATACAGACACTGTCTAGGGTAGACTTTCTGATAACACTATTAAACACCATTTGCCAGTGTTGTCCTACAGATAGCACTTCTTCAATGAAAGTTGACTTTTACACATGTTTAGTTTACAAAATGATTTCTTGTAGTCTGATGGACAACACTAATGGGTAGAACTGGTTCCGAACACAAAAGTAATTAGAGCAAGAGTTTAATTAGTAGATAAAACTGCATTTATTTGTTCTAACATCAGTAAAGATAACATCACTGCATCCATGTTTAATGTATACATACTATATAATAAGTCTAAATGTAAATATTTTACAAAACAGATTGTTGCTAACGTGTGTGTTGATCTATGACTTTAACTCATTACGTAAGAGACAATTTCAATTTTTATATTTTACGAATTATTATTTTATGACTTCAAAAATATAGGATATGCAATCCAATGGCTGTATACTATTTCAGAGGTGACCACAATCTTCTGAGTTCTCAGCAAAAAAATCATTTGTGACTGAAAACGGTGTGGTTTAAGTCAGTTTGAGATTGATGTAAATAATAAATAAATGAAAATTGAAAATAACAAAAAAAAAAGGATAGAATAGGTAGAATGACTTAGTGTGAATAAACCCAAATGTATATGTTAGTATGGACATGCCTTAAGGATTCTCAAGATAATTTTTAGGGATTTAAATTTTTAGCGGTTGTCACATTTATGAGATCAGAGTTCAAACTTGGCTTACGTAACTACAAAAAGGATTAAAATAGCTACACCAATATTATATTAAAATAATCTGCTCAGTCAGTCAATCAATTGTTTTTGTCCTGCGAAGTTTTCTCCCTTAGTCGGCTCTTACGACACCCATGGGATGAATAGGAATCGTCACTTCACGTAAGTGTATTATGAATGATAGTATTAAAATTCCATCATTGATAGTTTACTTAATAAGCAGCGCCGTTTATCTCCGTTTCGTATACTCTGTACTTAATACTGCAACTGATCAAAGCAGAATATCTCAAGTTATTCTGTTTCTGGGAACAATGCATGATCCTATCACAGGTAAGCCCCTTATGATCGACGTACGCACGTGCGTTACCTGCGATCAGGAGTATGACTACTGAGGGAGCCTATTCAAACCTGTATACAACTATAAACTGACTTTGGATACAGACTTCGAGATTCTTTTTTTCACACAACAGGTGGTGTAAAAAAAAACTCGAATTTTTGGTAAATTGTTGAGTGTTTCACTAGTTTGTATTCGGAAACTGAGATATTTTATGTTGAGTATATCACTTTTCACAAACATGTTTCATTAAGTTAAGTCCTGTTCCAAAAATACCATTATTTTCGGAAAGAAGGCGTGTCCATATTTGACGACCGTGATGATATGAGTATTGCCTAAAATTGCTTTTAAGGGTTCCGTACCTCAAAAGGTAAAAAGTAAACCTTATAAAATCACTTTCTTGTCCGTCTGTCCGTGTGTCACCACCGATTTTCTCAGGAACGGGTAGACCTAGCAAGTTGTAATTTATACAAGACACTGAGACAGAGACTGAGGTGTCTGAAAATCAAGGTCCTGAGTCAACACTATAAAAGTAGAAAGAAAAAAATCGAAATAAGCCCATATTTTTTTATAGTGTTGACTTAGGACCTTGATTTCGGATCGATACGGAACCCTCGGCGCACGAGTTCGACTCGTACCTGACCGGTTTTTTTTTTGGTATGTTCCAGAGCGAATGGCACAAGAGATATGTGACGAGATCAAACGTCTGCAACGTCGCCGACAGCTGCGACTGACAAACGCGGCCGCGTCGTGCTCGTCGTCCAGCGGCTCGGAGGGCGACTGCTCGCCTCCCCATCGCTCTTCACACAACATACAGAAAGTACACCATCGTGCGCTTTTTACTTTCAAACAGGTAAGTTTAAGTATTAACATTTGTTTACTTTTTTGTTGCCTGCAGTATTTCTGGACCGATAAAAACAAAGGCCGGCAACGCGCTTATGACCGCTGAGTTGCAGGCGTTCATATGTAGTGGTAGTCACTACATCAGGTTACCCGTCTGCTCGTTTGTCCTCTATATCGTAGAAAAGGCAAATGTTAGAATAAAACTGACGAGTGTATTTTTTTTAGAGTAAAGGACTTAATCAGGAATTGATCCACAAGCTAGCTAATGACGGAGATTGAAAAATGGATATCATGCTCTATGACACTTTTTACCAATTTTTATGAAACTTGCAGCAGTATTTTACTAAGAATATAACTGTTAAAAACTACAATAGAGCATTTAAAATCTGTACATTTCTGCGCGAGGCTCAAACAAAGCGAAATAGACATAAAAACTTTCGATGTACAAACACAGTTACTTTAAATCAGATAGTTTATACTAATCACTAGATATTTTACTTTAATTTCGTTTCAAAATTTATTATAAATCTTCATTAAACCAAACCTCATTACAAAAAATACATGTCTTATGTTCAACATCGGCAATAATATTTAGATCGATAGACGAACTTTTTATTGTACAAGATACAATTTTTGTAACTTAGTGTCTAAAACCAAGAAATGCTTAAATAATACTTGAATGCTCTCTTATCAAAATCTCTGCTAAAATAACGGCTTTAATTAATTTGTTGAATAGGTGCGCATGATCTGCGAGAGAATGCTTCGTGATCAAGAGGTGGCGCTGCGAACGGAATACGAGTCGGCACTCAGCACCAAGCTCGCTGAACAATACGAGGCCTTCGTGCGCTTTAACCTGGACCAGGTACTTTCTAAACCCATGTATTTAAAATGAGTTTAAATGTTTTTATTTTATATACTTATTACTAGCTGATCCTTACAATTTCAAAGACTTGCAGTATGCTATGACCTATAAAAACAGAGCAGTGACTATTATCACTGCCCTGTTTTTACTGGTCGTAGCATGCTTCTACAGTCTTAGGCCCAGTGCAGACCAAGAGGAGCGCAGCAGAAAGATTTCTTACAAAACACCCGAAAATAAACATAACAAAGTGCATACATGTTTCAACGTGACAAATAATGCTCGCGCGGTCTTGGGCCATGTATATGCAGCTGGTGCCCGCGATTTCGTTCGCGTGAAATTTGAAAAGAGCTGCTTTAGTGAGTTCGATTCCCTGACCAGGCAAATTTTTTTTTTTTCTGAGAGAAAAAATAGCCTAAGTTACTCCACTAATATAGACAGCTACTTAGTAGTAAAATATTATCAAAATCGGTCCAGCCGTTTTGAAGATTACCCAGAACAAACAAACAGGCAAATAAAAAATATTTAAACTGGTTTTTAGGCATAGGTATCGTCAAATAACCGTGTAAGTATGAAAAAAAAACTATTATTTTGACATTACAAACAGACACTTCAATTTTATTTATTTATATAGACTTCCGAGTGTCTTAAGATAATGCTCTCTGCTGCGCTCCTCTCGGTCTGCGCTGGCCTTTAATCTACCTCAGTAAATATCTTCAATACAAAATTTTTTATTCAAAACCAACTGGAATTAAGTTCGAAAGAATATTTAAAGAATAAAGCTATTTGTTAGTTGATGTTAAAGAACTTTTTTTAGTGTTGTATGTTGAAAAACCAGTTTCAAACAAGTTTTTACATAATTTTATACCTTGACCTCTCAATAATATAATCAGCCCTAAGTCTGAAATCTACTAAAAGATCTTGCAAGAACAATGGAGGTAAGTTTTAAGTGCATTGACATGGGTGTCTTAGTATACATCACGAATCCCAATCCTTTTGCTACGCCCATTGCGAATGGTTAAGCTATGTTTGGTAATCTATATATATAAGAGATTTCCACGTATATAGTCACTCATCACAATATCTCTGGAACCATTAGAGATAAAGACTTGAAATTTGGTAGGAATATTCTTTTCACCGAGTAGATGTCAGCTAAGAACGGATTTTAAGAAATTAAAAAATATATATAATTAAATAATGTAAATAGCAAAACAACGTTTGCAGGGTCAGCTAGTAATACATATACTACTTAGTAAAACTTGGAGAATCTACCATTTTATTAAATGCGGTTTATGGTAGTTTATGTTGCTAACGACTTACAGTAAATTTTTATTCCAATTTTAATCTTACAAAAGAAATTGTATCGTCTATGAAATCGTCAGTGTTGTAATTCGACACATATTAGTATGAATTGGTTCTAAGCAATTTTGAAAGTTTAGGCAAAACTCTGAAAATTTGTTTTATCAATAATTAGTGTCCTTGAAATACTGTTTTTATGTATATAATGTAAAATGAAGTGTCAGCACGAAAAGTTTTCATAATCCACAGATAATAAAGCAACGGTTACCAATCGTCGTTAGATAAGACCCATGATTAATAATTCCATGTTTGTGTGACAGGTGCAGCGCAGACCCCCGCCCGCCACGTGCATGCCGCTCGGCATGGACGCCGAGCATCACATGCATCAGGACCTCGTCCCCAGCTGTGAGTTAATTACTTATTTAAAAAAGTTTGTTTTCTTGCCCACATATAGCTTACAAAGGGATATACTGCCAGATGTTGGTGATATGAAAAAAAACTGTCAGGCAATAGAGCCATTTAGTATTCAGTTCTTTGTACGATAAAAAGTACACTGGAATGTGTTATGTTACCTTAAGTTAGTAATTTATTATCTAGCTGTCTCAGGGTGGCTGGCCCTTTCCTTCTAAATATTTTATTTTATCATTAGACAACAATTATTGCTACTTTTCAATGATATACATATGATGAAATGATTCGTATTACTCACAGTGATTTCAACTGCGATTGTTATTTGGTCATAGATTACAATAAATGTTACTGAAATCAATCAAAACTATTTTTATCAAAGATTACAACCTTGTGTTTAGATTTAGACCTATTGCTAGGGTAATAATAATAATAAGTTGTAGTGGTTAGTGATCCTGACTGCTAAGTCAGAGATTGTGGGTTTGATTCTCAATTCCCACTCAGGACAAACAAATGTGTGATGAGCATGATCATTTGTATTCTGAGTCTGGCTGTAATTTATCAATAATACATGTGAAATATATAATTTTTATTTATAGATACACATTATATTTATCAGAATTTCGTAATTACATTTTTTTTTTCTAATTTCAGATCTGTCCTAATAACGAAAGAGCAAGCTTTGCGGTATAATACTGCGATATATCAAGACAAACATATTTTGGTATATGTGAATATTATATGCGGGAGTAAAGTATCCTAATGAATCAAGACATTGTGATTGCTTGTGGAATCTCACTCGGAACAATATTGTCAAATGCAATAATATACATGGTACAGTATTATTGGTACATATATATATACGCAGTTCTCCCACCACAATTTATTTTCAGTTAAAAGTTTGATGTTATCGTAATAGGTTAACCAGTATTGCTTGTGTGAGATTCCACAGCTTAGTTGATGCCACATACACATAGTTAGCTTTTAATGCTTTAGGTAAGGTACGCTGGATAATTGTGTTCATAGACTGAGGATTGAAGGAACAGATACGATATACTTGTGCCTGGAACTTGCTGTCCACTGTAAGCCAAGTTTTCGTACTAATATATGGGTTTGCTGCAGAAATATGTCTACAAAACATGAAGCTAATAGATACAAAGCCAAGGGGAATACTTGTATTTTGTATACTTTCTAAAATAACTTTACAGAAACCTGTAATGAAATATAATCTAACAGGAATATTAAAATCACGCAGAGTGCCTCTATATAATCATTGTCCTCGAAAGTGCGATTTAGTTAGCCATAATTATTTTTGATTGATAATTATTTTTACTGTACTTTTCTTTATAGTGTTGTAGAATTATAGTTGTAGTTCGTAAATTATATATTTAATTTGATTGTATGTAAGGGCGGGGCTCTTCGCCCGCTTATGAGAGACGGCCTCTTGTATCAGCTAGTTCAGGTTATATTTAGTACTCTATCATGTATTCTTATTGATAATGGCTGCCTCTAGCCACATATTATATACTACTTACTTCCTCAAAATTAACACACTGATACATGGCTTCTTAGAGAAGGATTAATTAGCTTTATTTAAATTTTTAAGTTATTTTTTCTCAATAATGTATTAGACATAAATATGCACTACGCCGGTGTCAACGATTGCTGTGACGAAGAGAATGCTTTCACCGGAACATTATTGGGACTCGTTTTATAATTATTGTTTAGTTAATAATTTTTATTGAATACAAAAAAAACGATATTTGTTACCAAGCATTATTCAATAAAAAACATAGGATAGGACTTTTTTTAAATTGTATTATCAGCTCTTTATTGTAGGTTATTGGCGATTAAGAACTGAAAATAAATTAGCTAAACACCCATTATTTGATTTTTATTTAATCAAAACCTACACTAAAATTCTTAAGTAATTGTTAGTGATTGGTAGTCTCGTGACGGCCATCGGAGTGGGGATTCTCTCGCTCGGTAACATGTTTCGGCCATGGTACGGAGCGAGGGCGCGTGGAACTCGTCCAATTCCGGCGAGTTATACACGTGAAGGGGAGGACGGAGTGGCGGGCCCACACGGAGGGGATTAGAACTCTCCTGGCGCCACCAGGCCCGGGAACGAGCTAGCTATCGTAGGCGCCGCAGGTCGCTGAACGACCTCTGTCCTCTAAAAGCGCAGGATTGAGGGTAACAGGTGGCGCATGATGCACTCCGGGGCGTGCACGCCTTTTACAAGCAGGAAGGAATTTTCCGCCCTCTAAAATTTGACGTCCTAGGCTCCAGCCTACTCAGCCTGCTGGTAAATCCACTACTGGTGCTTTCAACATAAAAAGCGTCAACTGCCAAAATTTCAAGCTTGTAGTCCCAGCTTTTAAGGGAAACGCTACTACCAAAAATAACTAAGTTTTAGATAAATTTCCAATCCCCATTTTGCACCTTTTTAAAAATTCTACCTTTCAGGGGTAGAATTTTTAAAAATCCTTTCTTAGTGTGCACACCACGTCACCTAAGGAACATTTGTGATAAATTTCATGCTCTTAGGCTCAGAGGTTTCAGCTGGTCGTTGATATCAGACAGTGAATCAGTATGTTTCTTCTTATATGTATATAGATTCCTAGCTGACCCGCAAACGTTGTTTTGCCATATACATTATTTCTAGTAGATATTTAAAAAAAATAGGGGTGGGTTACTCTTATCATTTAGGGAATGAAAAATGACCGATTCTTAGACCTACCCGATATGTACACAAAATTTCATAGAAATCGGTCCAGCCGTTTCGGAGGAATTTGGTAACAAACACCGCGACACGTGAATTTTATAAATTAGATTCATCATCATCCAATTCTGAGTTCTGAGCCGAAGACTCTTTGTGACTTCCCGCAGATTTCCCTTTCATCTCCATTTTCACAGAGAGCAGCATTATTTTCATCTTGATTGATTGTAATTGTGTACTATTATCTTATTTTCTTCAAAATAGCATCCCAAACTGCGAAGAACTCCACCCGGGACAAATAATACCTACTCCGTAAAACTTCTTACTCCTTACTTACTAGGTACTGAATATAAAAATAGACAATATACCTAAGCTACGATTTGAAGTATAATTTAAAGGGGTATTTGGGTATACTCATAATTAGATTGTCTAAAATATCTTCATAAGACTTATTTTTCTGAATAAAACAGACACGTCTACTTTAGAATTTAATTAAACAAATATGCGACAACTTCTAGGATTTTAAAAATTATGGAAGTAATCACTTTCAACATGTTCTCCCATATTTTTTTTAAATAATTAAACACTCAGAAGTATAAAAAATAATTGAACGCAGCAAGATCTTGAAATCAACGGAGTGAAGCTTTTGATACAAATCGCATTACCCACCACTCTGAATGCTCATTACTTAATGATAAATCGAGAGTGTAAGTTTGGTTTTAAACCGAATCAAATTGATTATTTATATCGTTTGAAAAGAATGAAAAAAAATTTTAATCCGACCAATTAGAACTAAACCCGCTAAGTTCATCAATATCAGTATATCACACATATAAAAAATCTTTACACAGTTAATAGGTACTCCGTCATATCCCTACCTCTATAAAAACAAAGAAAATGTAGTTATAATTAAGAAAAACATAGTCTTCTACACCAACCGTTTTAAACCGGCCTTACATCTTTAGGCGTGTGGTTTTAGTCTGTTCGAGTCTGATAAAAACCACCACAATGGCACCAGTCCTCCAAAGTTATCCAAAGGGGCATTTCCTCACGGAAAAAAGGGTGCCTTAATCGGTATAGCAAGCGGGCGCTCAAACAACTCACGGTGGGCCTGATGGGGCAAATAACGATAAAGTTACTATGTAGATGAATTTGAATAATTTAATGTAACAAAAAATCTGAAAGTGGCTTATGTGCCATGTCTCGATAGAAATTAGGATCACTATGATAACATAGTGATCCTAATTTCTATCGAGACATGGATCTCCGCATAAATAATTGTAGACGAGCGACCATTTGCTAGGCTCATCATAAATTATAAATTACGTCACACTTAAAGGGAGGAGGGGGTCAACAATGTATGATAAGGGCCCTCCCACGTTAGTGAATCGTGACGTTATTTACAAAATCTAAAATATCCAAGTATAAAAAAGAGAAATTTGAATTCTTAACGGTAATAATTTCATTTCATTTGACGTTGACTTTATTAGAAAATATATAATGGAAATAAAACTAATTTCAAATCTGTTGTTTTTAGTAATTTAATAATTTATGGATGTTATAGATGGGACAAAGTCACAGTGAACTGTGAATAAACGGTGATTTATCATTCGTTTTTTTGTACGTAGGTTAGGGTTTACACTTTCTCACGCGTTGTTCTCAATGAGCTGTTTTCATACGATGCATAAAGATCCTATTTCGCCTATTTAACAGTAAATCTAGTGTATATTTTATTATATATAGCTACCATTCCCTACATAATAATTATTAATAGCGTCTAACCTACCTACCTACCTAGCAACCCTAACCTACGTACGCAAAACATCGAATGATAAATCACAGCATTGTGACTTTGTCCATGTCTAATGACCACCCCCCCCCCTCCCCACCCCAGCCTGTAAATTTGAGATATATAAAAAAAAATACCAATCTACGTATCTTAAATAGCACTTTCCAAAATTATTTATTATTTAAACAGCACCCTCTTAGTTTACGAGTAAAAAATAAATAAAGATACTACCTGCTACACCGTCTATATCACTTGAAATACTTCGAATTTCGTACTTTTTACACAGTGGAAAAACTGCACCCTACTCGAAACTAACTGCACTGCCGTTAGAATTTCATAAAATTCAATAGTTATTGCAAGAAAAAAAAAGGTAATCAGTCAATTGCCGAAGGCACTCGGTACGTTTGCGCATTCGCAAGCCATCCACCTAGGGTTTTATTTTCGAAGGTTCGAAGCAAGTTCCCACCCCTAACCTTATCTGCGCTTTCATTTCTGCTGTGAATGTTGATGCTCCAAAAAACAATTTGTTTAGATAGCTAAAAAGTCTCTTTGCATCTTGTACAGAGACGCAGATAAGAGTAAAAATTGTACAGCTATGTTTACCTCTTAGTGAAAGTGTTTTTTTATGTCACCGATATGAATAGCTGTGACAAAGACAAGGGTCGGGGTCAAAACACCACTACTAATCCTTGTTCAAGGTTCTGTAGTCTTAATAAGGAACCCTTAGACTCATCATGTCCATCCGGGGATTAGTTTGTAGATTTAGCACTAGAAAACTGAAAATATGCATATTTATTTTAAATACGCCAACAAAGTGGTAAATAAAGTCATCAAAAAAAGTCTTGTTAGTGTCTGAGCTTTGTTGCTGATTGTTCGTGGATTATTTTACAAAATAGTTAATGTCACAAACGTTAATAATAACACACTAACAATTATGATAGGAAAAAAGTTTGTTCATAATAGATGTGTATATTTCGTTTTCATTGGGTGCCTCGTTTATGCGATTTGCCTTCTGGTCTTGGAGCTCAATAATAACTGTAGCGGTGTCACGTAATCTTCTAAGTACTAACAAAGTATCCATTTATAATATCAAAACAGCATTATGTTAACGTAAATGTTTTTATGTTGGTAATACCAAAATAAACCGGTGATAGGAATTTCGTTACATCAAAAAAATATATACAACAATATATTGTTTTTGTTTTTTGGATCAATACACACTGCGATGTGGATGAGAGATTAGTTGCGAGAAGTGGGAATACTGGGAAGGTCTGGACTAGCCAGCATAAAGTCCAGACCTTAACCCAATAGAGTACAGCGAGAACCAGCTCTGGAGAACATGCGGCTTTTTTAGAGGAATGGATATGTACCCCAATCTACCATTAAAAAAAGGGTGGTGTGTGTTTTTAAAGCCAGAAGAGGCAATACCACTTAGTAAAGAAAGATGACATCAGCTTAACCATTCTAAATCAGTGTGAACTTGTTGTTTTCTTCATTTTTGATATTTATTGTAAATTGCTCAAAAAATAAAGTTGGTTAAGTTAAAAATGCGTTATTTCATTTAAGAATTAACATACAATCAATAAAAAAAAAGTTTTTTACTTTGAAACACAGTCACGACTACATGTTGGGTTGGTTGCCTAATTTTATTGTCCACCAGTTTTCGAACTAAAATTCTATTGACTTGACTCTCATCTCAAATTAATCTCAACTAAAGAACTCAATAATCTACTTATCATTTTTTTTACAATTATAAATTATCTGTTAACTACTCAATAAATCCATAGAGTATTTAATTCATTCATCGACTATCGAGAGTTCCTCCGTTCGACTCAACATTATTTTGTCATTGTCATTTTCATGTCATTTGTATTCTTGTGTTTGCTTGTTGTCGAAAATATTTTTATTTTTAACACGATTTCTTCTGTCTCCTACTACGAAACAGACAGACAAAAATGAGCTTCGATACGACGACAAATAATGGCAATGAGAAGGAGGAACGTAAATACTACGATCGAAACAAATCTGACGACTTACAAATCTCCAGGACTGATATGAACATGTTGATAATGAATTATTTGGTAACAGGTAAAGAAATTCATGCAGATGTAAATTTTGAGTACTGCCTGCTTAATATATTTATGTAAAGTTTTCGCTGCTATATATTTAAATAAAAAATTGAGGTATCTTTCGTAACAAAGAAATTTGCCCATACGTAATGTCTCCTTATTCTATATAATCATCATGTAGAACGTGGTGTCAATGTTTATGGTTAATCATGGTGTTAAACTGTAATAGATATGAAGGCCAACAGCAGCTTGTACTTGAAAATAACACCAAATGGAATGTAACAATTGTGCATTCATGTGGTTTTATTATAATCATGTCATACTCATGAATAGGTAATAATAATAAAAAAAAAATCACATTTACATTTAAAAAAACATCCCTCATAGTAAAGTGATTGCAAGGAGTTACATTAAGTAATCACATGTTATGATTAAAGGGCTTGAAATATCCCAGATAATAAAACTATCTAAAAAAAGCTTGTATTATAGTATTCACTTGGTTCAAACAAGTACATTAATATTCTGTAGAAGTCAACTTTTAAAGTAGAACTCCCAACTTGTATATTACTTTTGATCTGCAGAATAAAACTTTGTTCTGGATGAAAAGCACCCTGTGTCCTTTTACTGTTTCCCAGGTAATGTGTGTGTAAAACTTCATGGTGAGCAATAGAGTAGATAGAAAGAGAAAGTACTAAACATAAACAAATATGCATATTTATAATATTAGGCTTCCTTTTGTGTTTAGCTATGGTTTACAATCTTTTAGTAAAATCATTATTATCGGTGCATACATTTTTGCCACATTTCTTATTTAATTGTACTATTAAATGATAAGTTACTGATAACCTTGTGTCTGATGAAACTTATTTTTAACTAAATCTACATTACTGATACTTAATCAGAAACATTGATTTTATTATGTTTCTGGTTACCTTGAATAGTTTCTAATTTTATGATATAATGTTTATTAAGTATAAGATTATGCTCAGGGCTATGCTCACATATACCCTAATGAATTTACCATCCCGGTGCATATTTTTTAAACATAATAGATGCTCCATGACCTTTGCTGTATCCCCAGCAATGTATAAAACAGATCTGTAATGATCAAAAATAAAAACCCATTTGAGATGTGTGGTCAAACATGGCGGTCTGATATCAAACTAGGTAGAACCTGTACAATGGTATCTAGATTGTCAATAAACATAATGACATACATATTTCTAATAACATACATATCATCGGTAAATTACACCTGAGTAGTGAATCTAACACTTGAGTTAACCACTCATCTTGGTTTTATGTATCAGAACATGCAATTATTTTAATATAGTAAAATAAAGTAACATATATGGTGTAAAAAAAATTACTTTTGAGTAACTAAATTTGTCTGTGTGGTGACGGATTAAGAATACAGAGTTCCACAACCCCCTATTCATCTCGTGGGTGTCGTAAGAGCCGACTAAGGGAGCAAACTACGCATGAAAACAGCACTGTAAAGAGAAGGCAAACTTGAAACAAACCCAATACCAACTCCTCTGGCGAGTGTGCTATAGTAGGCCAAAACACCTTTTCTAAGGAGAGGCCTATGTCCAGCAGTGAACTATTAAAGGCTGTTGATGATGATGTGAACTAAATTTATCATCAACATTATCTTTTTACGTGTGTCACAAAACAATGACATAACTTTAAACATTTCAGAGGGTTTCAAAGAAGCAGCAATAAAGTTCCAGCAGGAGGCAGGACTACAGGAGCCTGCACTTTGCAGTTCTTTAGACGAAAGGATTATGATTCGTGAAGCAGTGCAGACTGGCCGTATCCCAGAAGCTATTGCCATGGTCAATGCATTGCATCCAGAGTTATTGGATAATGATAGATATCTGTATTTCCACTTACAGGTAAATTAGATTTTATTTAAACTTAGCTGGCTAAGTAAAAATTTTATGACAACATAACATTTCATGTTGAATTTATTATATATTTTCATGTCAGGCAAGGTAAGAAAAATGTGGCAGGTTATTCGTACATTTCCTTTCTAAGGAGAGGCCTATGTCCAGCAGTGGGCTAGTAAAGGCTGTTGATCATGATGATCCATACATTTTACCAACAAATCATACTGTTTATAAATGGTATTACAATGTCAATCAAGTACAGAAATATAAATGGAAGCTGGACCTTTTTTATTATTCTATATACTTATAAAACCCTAGTAAAGGATGATGGTGTGGTGACAGATTAAGAATACAGAGTGTCAGCACCCCTATTCATCCCGTGGGTGTCGTAAGAGCCGACTAAGGGAGCAAACAACGGAGGACACCAGCACTGCAGAGAGAAGGAAAACTTAACACAAACCCTATACCAACCCGTCTGGCCGGCGTGGTATAGTAGGCCAAAACCTCCTTTTTCAGGAGAGGCTTATGTCCAGCAGTGGACTATTAAAGGCTGTTGATGTGATGTGAAAGGATGATGCCTTCATTGTATCATAAAAAGTATACTAATAATAGTCACAAACAAAGTATAATTATAGGTTTTTTTTTATTAACCCGATATATTAGCATGGTATGTATGTATCTATGTAACAGAATCGATCGTGATTTTGATCCACTTCAAAACGTCGAATGAACTTGAAACTTCGCACACCTATCAAGGTGCGATGAATCTGATAAATGCAATGACGAAGGATCTTCAGGATCAACGGCTTTTACATACTTAAAAACAGGGTGTCTTTTGCAATGTACTAAGAGGCGTGTGCTGAAGCTGCTGAAGCTGTTACTTATTACTTTTTTAGTCTAAATGAGAAAGTAATCTCAAAAAGCAAAATTAATACATAAGTAAATATTAAAATTAATAAGTATATAATAGTATATATATGAGTATTAATAATTATAGTATAAAAATTAAAAAACACGTTTATGTAACTAGACGAACTAAAAAGTAGAAAATAATTTTCGTCGATAATCGTAAAAATACGTGGGGCGCTCTGAATTGTTGTAAAAATATTTTATTGACAGTAATTGGTAAAAGTAAAGTTATTATATTATTAAATATCCCTTATAGACCCCACACCCCACGCTTTTTAGGTAAATAAGTAATGGCACAGTAGTTTGTATAAGCATGCAGTTCATACTGCAGATCGATACAGTCTAATTGGCTTGGATCTCTGCAGTTGCTCTTGGGGAAGTTTCCCAGCAAAACGGGAATTACTTGCTGAAGGTTGTATTCTCATTATATGTTTTAATACAAATCACTTGCTCACTTATTAATGACCAGTATTTTTTATTATTTTATTTAAAAAAAATTAGATTAACACAGATGCATAGCCAGATATGCTACGTTAGTATTTTTTTTGTATGTGTATTGTAATATATTTGTATACTAGCTGAGACCCTCGGTGTTACCCGCGTTTGTTGTTATAACCGCGGGCAACGCCGCGGGGCGAAGCTAGTCTCAAAAAAGTAGCCTAAGTTACTCCTTGTGTCATCAGCTATCTGCCAGTGAAAGTCCCGTCGAAATCGGTCCAGCCGTTCCAGAGATTACCTGGAACAGACAGACAGACAGACAAAAATTGAAAAAATGTTATTTTGGCATATGTACCGTGTAAACATACATATGCATTTAGTAAAAAGCGGTTATTTTAATATTACAAACAGACACTCCAATTTTATTTATTTGTATAGATATATATATTTGCACCATCTTGCAAACACAATATATTAAGCTTCATTATCATCATCAACAGCCTTTAATAGTCCACTGCTGGACATAGGCCTCTCCTTAGAAAGATTTTGGCCTACTATACCACATAGGCCAGACGGGTTGGTATAGGGTTTGTTTCAAGTTTACCTACTGTTTGCAGTGCTGTTGTCCTGCGTAGTTTGCTTTACAACACCCACGGGATGAATAGGGGTGGTGACACTCTGTATTCTAAATCCGTCACCACACAGACAAGCATTTTAAGCCTATAGGGATTGATTAAAATGGACCAGAGCAGAGATTTTGAGAAGTCATACAAAACTATTCTTTCTTCTTCACAGCAACTACAACTGCTAGAACTCATACGGGCAGGAAGAGCGGAGGAAGCACTCGCATTCGCAAGCGCAACTCTGGCAGAGGCCGGCGCTAATGACCCAAATGCACTCACAGAGTTAGAACGATCACTGGCATTGCTTGCATTCCCAGACCCACATTCGTCGCCCTTTGCAGATCTTTTACTGCCCTCGCACAGTCAAAAGGTAAGACCACAAGGTTTCAAATAATTTCTGGCGCCTTCCATGTATATGCAAACAGATAACCCTATAAAACTGTTATTTAAGTAGTCCTTTCTAGTAATAGTCCATTCGCTTAAAGGAAATAGTGTCGCAGCAATCAAGTACCCTCACCAATCCAATAAAAAATCTAAAATGCAAGCTTTCGTACGAAACGATAATTTCTTGGAACCAGATGAATGCGTCACTATTTTCCACTATTTATTTATCTTATAGATGTTTTGTATTTTTACTGTTTTGCGTATTTACATAGGCTGAGGAGCTAGCTGAATTTGTAGTCTAAAACTACATCATCTCTTGTTCTTATGCTTTTTTAAATCTTCTTCATAGATTGCAAGTGAACTAAACGCAGCTATACTAAAAATGGAAAACCAAGAATACACAAATCCTAAGTTATGCAGTCTACTCCGCATGATTCTCTGGTCACAGAGTGAGCTCGACAAACACAATATCAAATACTCCAAAATGACAGATCTCGCCAACGCCACAATAGAGAAACCCAAGTAATGTGATTCTATATTCTATTATATTATAAAAATCAATCTCTTAAGTCTTATAATCCATTTTATTTAGGGTGACTATGCTACTACTCTCTTTTTAAACAAATTTAATTTAGATAATTTTTTTCATGAAAAAATATTTATTTTTAATTTTTAGTATTATACAATTATTTAGTTAGGTTATTATAAGTTATACCTGATTAGTATTCTAGTCACAAAAGTTACTAAAGACTATAAAGATTAGCCAATCATGTAAATTTACGGCAACTCTGAACACTCGGAAGAGCTTGAGTAATGATCCAAAGTAAAATTTTGTGAATAAATTACCCATGATAGTTAAAACTGTAGTAGATATAATATCAGTTTGTTCTATCTGAAACTTACGAATTTTAATGCTAGTATGATACAGGCTAGGCTAGCCTTATCTGAACATAGCTATAATACATGGACAATTCGGAGAAAGACCATAGTAAAAAAGATGTTAACACAGTACAAAAAATGGATTTAAAGACTCAAATTTATATATTATTATTTAGATTTGAATGCAATAATTTGTCTAGTTATAAAATTATTCAGATAATTAATGTATTCTAGATATTGGACAATTTTAGGCATGGCCGGAGACTGTGATGTGCAGCGTCGACCTCAGGTGACTCCAATGGAATAGAACAGGACAATCAACCTGTAGGAGAACTAACTAGTTTTCTTTTATCTGTCGTGAAAATGTGGATTTAGGACATCTTGTTTTACAAGTCAATAACGTGGAAACCTTACATTTGTAATTACTAGAGTAATCATAAAATTTATGTGTCCTATGTATAGATATTCATTGATATATAATTACCAAACTTAATTTGTAAACAAATTTAATATTTCTAACAAAAACTAATTTTCCTTCTAGTTTTGTACAAGTTGCAATCATCGTCATCTTCACCATCATGATTTGCCTGCAATTCATCCAATATTCTTTGGACTGGGCGCACTGTGTAATATTGCATATGGTTTTGGCCCCGAACTTTTATGGCCGGCCAGTTGCCTGACGCCTACCCTCTTTGGAATTTAATAATTTTCAGACGGGAAAATGGAAGAAGGTAAATTGGGATGAAGAAAAGGGATAGGGCGAGGGAATTGGTGTAAAGGATACTTCAAGTCCAAGATAGGGAAATGGGACTGGACTGAGGCCTCAATTGCGTAACTGTATACCCGTCCTGTGAGTGGTGACACCACTAGAACAGAAACCAATTGGCGATAACCAAGTTGCAATAATACCCCCTAATATTTCTTTCTTGTCTGTAATTCAGGCTTTTGTTATTATATATCAATGAAAAAAATTATGTTGTATGCTATATACAAGTTGTAAATGTATGTTTAAAGGTATTTGTTACACCTACTTTCTCATTGCTAGTGTGCTTAGTTTTTCACCTGAAAAGGAATCACAGTAATTACAAGAAAAAAAAGAAAAATCTATGTAATTAGCTATTTTATATGTAATATTTAGAAATAAAAATATTAATATTTAAGAAATAACAAGTTATTTTAATTCTTAATTTATAAAACAACTGCTTATTTCAAAAACATGCTTTCTTAATACATTTATACAATATGGATACATTTACGGAAGTATAGCGTAATTTTGATTACTTTGTACAGTCAACTGCATAAATAGGCTTCGATCATCATTGGACCAGTGCTCACATAAAAGGTTAAAATATAAAAAAAAGTGACATTTGAGTCAACACCTTAACGATTTTTTTTCTGTTGAGGGTTCTAATTATCTCCAAATTCTTCTTCTTTTAATTCAATGGCTCCATCGGATATCGATTATCTTCAAGTTAAAAGCTTGCAAAGAGCTGTTATTTTTATGATGGTGTATTCAAACATGTCAAACCTTCCGCGACAAAAAACCGAATCCTCCTTCGGTTCGTCGTTCTCAGCAGGCATATCATATAAGAAGATTATAGAGAAGAAACAACATCAAGCTGTTTTTATCAATTACATGGTAGAAGAATTATGAGATCATCTCAAGTTTAACATTTATTTATTTAATATTACTGTATAATACATATTTCATAATAGTACTCGACTGTACTTAGTAAACAAAATAGGCACAACAAAATAGTTTTGAGTCTGTTTTTTTTTAGACTTAGACAAAGGTTTCGCTTGCCTTGACCTTACAAATATACATTTCCGATTCAGTTACATTTATTTCCTTTCATGCATACATTCAGTCTGACAATAATCTACATTAATAACTATTAAAATTTTAAAACTATTAAATGTCACCAGCCTAGCACGTAATCTAACGCTTTAGAAATAAGACCGCTGGACCTCTGTGGTACAGGCGCGTTCGGAATGGGCGTTGGGCATAATGAACGAGCGCCTACTTGTCTGAAAAAAGAATGGCTGTATGAATATTCATCTGACGTATTAAAAAAAAAGAATTTATCGCCGTATATCTTTACATATATAATTCTTTTGTGGGTGTGTATGTGACCGACTTGAGGGGCCTCAACGGCTGAACCGATTTTGATTAAATTTTCGTGTGTTCAAGTGGATTCGAGAATGGTTTAGATTCATAATTAGGGCCACTACACTTTTTTTAGTAATGTTGGTTCTGGATATGGTTGACTAACACAAATGTAAAATTGTCTATTTTGTTGAAAAAATAATTTCTTGCTTACTATTTTTTCAACAAAATAGAATTTAAGTGTTTTATGATTATTCTTTTTTATGGAAGAGGAGGCAAACGAGCAGACGGGTCACCTGATGGAAAGCGACCACCGCCGCCCATGAATGCCTGCAACTCAGTAGTCACAAGCGCGTTGCAGGCCTTTGAGGAAAGAGTACGCTCTTTTCGTCGTATCGGTCCGGAAATACCACAGACTACAAGAGTGAAGCTACATCTCTAACGCCAAAGCATCGAGCGCGTCGGAGATCTTCTGGCTATAGACGATTCGAGTTGCTCTTCGTCGGATACGGCCCAGAGGGAGGAGCTGGTACTGGGGTGCTCCCGCATATAAATGAGAGTAGTATTCCATATGCGCACGGACTTGCACCTTATAGAGTTGGGAGGCGGTGAGCCGGAGTGAAATACTGCCTCCATCTGTTCGGCACACCGAGCTTCTTCGAGCCCAATTTGACCTTTCTAGAGAAGGTTCCGTGACTCCGAAACTGGACCTTGCTTGATATGTCGATACCTAGGATTCCAATACTGGCTGAGTCAGTTAGGGAGGTGCACTCGAACTGAGGCCATACGACAAACGGTATCTTTTGACTTATCTAATTAATCAGTCAAAAGACAAGCTTGTTGTCTTATACTAGGGATGAGAGAGAATTCAATAGATTTTATACCAAGTAATGACCATACTGATATTATGTATATTGTTTATCACTGACTAAGGCTGGATCGCCTTGGTGTCTGTTAACGTCACGGCACAGCTGCAGCACGCTAACTACTCGTTACCCGCGGGTGCAAGCTCGCACTTAGGTACGAGCGCCATGGGCACGCCGTCATTGCGGCGGTAAGACCCGTTATGGAGGATTGGCTCGAGAGGCGTCACGGGACCCTCTCATACCGATTGACGCAGGTGATCACTGGGAAGGGATGTTTCGGAGATCACCTGTGTCTGATCCGCAAGGAGCCAACGCCTGAGTGCCACCACTGCGATGGCCAGACCGTGGACACGGCTCTCCACACGCTGGCAGAGTGCCCGGCGTGGGTTGAGCAGAGGCGAGACCTCGTGGCGGCCATCGGAGTGGGAGTTCTCTCGCTCGATAGCCTGATTGCGGCTATCGTGCGGAGCGAGAGTGCGTGGAACTCTGCCGTCTCCTTCTGCGAGCAAGTTATGCTCGCGAAGGAGACGGCGGAGCGGGACCGGGAGAGGTTTAGAACTCTCCCGGCCCGCCAGGCCCGGGCACGGGCCAGGCAGCGCAGGCGACTCAGGCGCCGGAGGTCGCAGAACGACCTCCGTCCTCCATAAGCGCAGGCCTGGGGGTGACAGGTGAGGCCATCTGTCACCCTAGCAGAAGCAGGCCGGGGTGGCGACGAGCGTGTTGCGAAGCGCGCTCGCTTCCAGGGAGCACAGGGAACATGGGGTTCCCACACGGGGCGGGGGTCGTCTACTCGTCTGTAGATGACCCGAGGTATGTCGGGGCACCAGGGCCTTCCTTTCTAGGGTATACCTGGTTCCCCGGCTATTAGTACCCGGCGAAGGCGTGCGGTTTTAGTCGGTTCGAGTCCGACATGCCACCGACATGGTATCCGAGGGGATTTCCGCACGGAAAAAAAAAAAAAAAAAAAAAAAAGGTACGAGCGCCAGCCGTGAGCGGTCAAGTGGAAGTGGTGCGCAGGCGGTAATCCGGCGTAGTTTCGCTCAGAAGTTGTTAGTTAGCACCAAGCGCGCTGACAACCCTTGGCTTTTTGTATTGACGTTATGAAATCTATACTAATATTATAAAGCTGAAGAGTTTGTTTGTTTGAACGCGCTAATCTCAGGAACTACTGGTCCGATTTGAAAAATTCTTTCAGAGTTAGATAGCCCATTTATCGAGGAAGGCTATAGGCTATATATCATCACGCTAAGACCAATAGGAGCGGAGCACCAATGAAGAATGTTTCAAAAACGGAGAAAATTTATTACTATTGAGAGACGCAGACGAAGTTGAGCAGGTCAGCTAGTGTATTATACGACATATGATTTATTGGTTATTCAAATGACAAGTTAATCACTGCGAGCGGTGCCATGACCTTTAACATCAACTGGCTTATGTTAATGTTAACCTGTGTATATTCAACTCAAATAAATTGATGAAACAATTGACACTATCGCAAGTGCTTATTTTTGAGGTACACTGGTTTGTGTTACAATCTATAAATAATAATGCACAAGTTTTAGTTAAATATCTATCAGAAATAATGGTTACCTCTCAGGAGAAGTTATGCCAGGACTACTGACAGCAATCCTGGGTGGCTCTTTACACTCAACTACTCCAACCATCACACCAGGCAGCACCTGCCTCCCACTCAATGCTAAAGCACGCTCTTTTTCTGCTCTTGTTGCGTACCTTACATGAGCCCAATTTCCTTGTGTGGGGTATTGTTTATCTAAAAAAGGACAGAAAACTAATAACAACACAGAACAGAGAAAAAAGATCACCTGATTTAAAACAAAGATATATATTTATAAATGTTTGCTTAGTTGAAAACAGTTTTTATCACCAGTTAAATATTTTTTTAAGAGAGACAATATGTATGTAATATTGGGAAAATAAGGAGGTATTATGAAGTAGAAACAAAAACTAAGTTTCTGGGCATCGGAAAGAGACGGAGGGGTCAGTAATGCATCTCACTCTAACACATTAAGTGACTTATCTCCTTTGCTCTAACATGTTGTGTTGTTGTGAACATATTGTTAGAAAAATCTGTTAATATTGTCATTTGCTTTGTTTATATTACTCTGATTAACTGAGAACTACTTCAGATTACTATAGATATTATTTTAGTAATTTACCACTTGAATAGACTAAGTTTTGAACATAATTCTAGAACTGTCTATTTTTTAGTAGTCCGGAGTTGTTATCAAAAGCGTGATATGTATTTTACTTTTTTGCCACTATAGTATTTAAAATATTAAAGTAATCATTCGGAAATAGATACACATGTACATTACATATTAGTTACAATTCTGAATTAAATAAATTGAATTTTGAAATAACTTGTCTGTAGCCTAATAATTCACACTAAAATATATAAAATACTTCTAGGCTCAGTATGTTTGTTTGCGAGTTTACCTGCACAACATTCGGTATGCAGCCAACTTCATTGACACAGAGTTAAGTGGCACATGCTATGGGGGTTTACAATTCTAACATATTAATTAAATTTTTTAACAAATTAAGATCCTTCTGAAGATGAATGTTGTTTCAGTTTCTTTTTTTTTCAATTTCTTCCTACTTACCTATTTTTATAAAAAAGAAATCTACTATTGAACACAAATAATAAGCATTAAATACTCACCCAAAATAGCACCACAGTTGCTGAATCTAGCTAGAACTGTATTAGCAGCGTTTGGAGGAAACCCAAAAACAGTAACCCAGTATTCATCCTGCTCCTGGCATCCATCTTGCCAAGGCGTAGTCATTGACTGGTTATTAACAGACGCATTGGCATTTCCATAACCATTTTGGACCATAGAGTTATTGTTGTAGAAGCTATCTTGGAATAGAGATTTGTTTATAGATGGTTCATTACTTTTAATAGTATCAAACAAATCTTCTATAGGTGGGCCATTTGGTTTGCTCGAGTAAGAAATGTTTGGTGATGCAGGGATGTTATTAAACATGTGTGGGGATGCTGGAATGTTTGGGTATATGTTCTGATGGTTGTACAGTGCCTGCTGATGCATGGAAATGTTCTGACGATACACCTTTTGGTCTGGTGTTGATGTTTGACTAGGACTAGTTGGAGAACCTGTAAGAGATACAATATTCATTTTCGGGATAAATCATAATAAATAAAAGTTGATACCCCTTGAGATTAAGGTTTGAAGATATCGTAACAGCAGAATCATTACACAAAAGTTGTTAAAAATTAAAGTTACTCTTACCAAAAGCGAGGCTTCGGCCTTTTGTAGGTGATAAACTGTTTGTACGAGGAGTCGTCGGAGGATTTATTTCACCCAACAGAAAAGGCGGCAAATAACCCACATTAGGGCTATTAGAAGGAGAGTGCGTAGGACTACCCAAAGTCATTGGTTCCATATTACTTTCTTATATTAATTAAAGTTTACAATAAATGCCGTTATTTGATTTACAGTTCTATTTTTTTTTTTTTTATTTTTAAAAGGCTGACACGCTTTTTTGCCGTTGACAGCTTAAATCTTAAAATGTCAATTTACATGTCAAACAAGTATTGCCAACAATTAATTAAACTCTCCACCAGATTCAACATATAATATTCGCTAAATTTTAGGCTAGACTTTATTTTAGTTATTACGATAAAGTAAATAATAAATATATTAATAATTACTTTTCAGTATTATTACGTAATTCTAACATTCAATAAATCAATATGCTGATTTACTTTTTAAATCAACAAGTCACGTTCAGGAACATAAAAATATACATATCAACAGTTACTTATTTTAAATTCATTCGTTTTTAACAGATAAATAGTTTTTGTACGTACTATGATGGTCAATTTCAGATTGATACTATTCTTTGGGGTACTGATTTGTTTTGGAACGTTTATGCGAATTTCCAATTCGTAGCAAACTTTTCCCTTCCGACCTCAAATCGTAGCATATTCTTAACAAAGCAGATAAAAGACTTAATTTTTTCCTCTGTTTGTTTTTTATTACCTTTATGCTGCTAAATAGTTTCTCAGAATTGGTAAGACGACCGTTGGTTTCAATGATCTCAATCTTTATTTTCCTTCTTCTACTAACTACACCATCAAGTTGGACCCTGAACTATATCGCTAGTCTGCCCAGACCCAATATTGTCAACTTTTTTATTTTTTTTCCGGTGCCTTCTAATTCTAATTATATTATTCTAATTATAATCATTTATTTGCATGAATATGAGTACAGGGTTGGACAGTATATAATATCAATGGTTTAAAGTTCATCATATTCTACCAGGTAGGCGTGCAAAAAGTTTTCGTCAAAATCAGATACCTACAGAACATGCAATACATAAATTAAAAACAATAAAATTGATTGGTCAAATAAAATTATTTATAATAACAATGAGGTTTTTTATAACTGAAGTACTACTTAATAAATGTAGATGGTTTTCTCTTATGGCCCAGGTATTTTGTTATAAATTCTAGATGCCATGTAAAAATTTATCTGCCGCATTAGTGTAGTTTGAGCCTTTTGCATGCACAATCTATCATTATCTGTTCTGTTTCGTTTTGTCTTGAAAACGTTTAAATTTGTTAGAATTAGGCTCAATAAAAACTGCTGTTTCAAAAACATTAAATGCGGGAACAGTCAAGATTGTTGACTTTAAAAATAGTCTAGATTTTTGAAGTGTTTGTAGTCCAAACATCGCTCTTATTACTCTTTTTTTAGATTTAAAGACGAGCCCTCTATTCATTGAGTTACCTTAAAAATCAAAACAAATCTTAAAATGAATCCTGCCACACTGTGATACGCTGTTAGTAGTGCATGTTTAATTTTTATTTTTATTTTTTTTCATGTAAAAAAGCCCATGAACGCCTACAACTCAGGAGTCAGTGGCGCGGAGCCAGTTTGAATAAATCATATGCCGCAGAACTGATTCGCTTAGCAATTTGTGCCGTATGCACTTTCCAATTTAAGCGTTTATCTATTATAAGCCCTAGGAATTTAGCTGTATCTTCATTGCTTAATGTATTGTTTTCATGGTGTACATTCATATAACATGGCATTAGGGTACGTTGACTGACGAAACATTAAGGTAGTGTTTAATATTTATTTTCAGGTTATTACAGTTTAGGTAATTTATGATACTGGAAATTATCTCATTAAGTAATATCGTTTTCGTAAGTGTGTTCATTTTTACAATTTACAAATACAATACCGTCGTCGGCACCACCAGTTTTAGTCATACGACCGATACGACCTTCAAACCTTCAAGAAAAGAGCGTACCCCTTCCTAAAAGGCCGGCAATGCGTTTGTGACTCCTGAGTTGCAGACGTTTGTACATTTTATTATGTATTTGGTGGTATAATGTTTGTAAAATATTTGTTTGTAAAATGCATAACTTATGTGATAGTATGATTAAGGGGAAAATAGAACCTCCATAAGCTTTTTCTCTAAGTATTTTAATATTCAATCGAAAAATATGTAGGTTGTTGTTATTATGAAGACATTCATATTAAGGTAATTCTAATGTCTTCACCAAGTTTTCTTTTAATCTTCTACCAAACAAATAAAATTAGCTAATTTGAAGTTAAAGCTCGAAAGTATTGTTATTCGATAGATTATTAACAATGGATATGTTTAAATCCGTTTTACCATATTATGTAACATTTAAGGAAATATAGATAGATAAATTAATAATTATATTATTAACAACTCGGTATACCTACCAGTATTTTAGTAGTTTGTAATTTTTGTGTCCTGTTTGTTTACTCTAAAATTAAATTTGCTATAATCAATTGGCAATTGGCAACATTGATTTGAAATTTGTCAAAATAATTCAGTCAAACAAACGAACATGGATTCTTTGGCTGTAAAGCCTGAGGAATTTAATGGTTTTACTAGAAATGAATACGAAACAACTAATTCTAATACACCTAGAAACATGTCAGTTAACAGTAGTAATATTGTTCATAAGTTATTTAATAGAGAGGTAAGTTAAAATTACAAATTAACACTAAAGTTTAAATCTTTAATCGTGGGCCTATGGTTTTATTTTTTTATCCTATGTTCAACTATATTTTATGAACATGGCTATGCAAATGTATGATATTCGTTGGAAAGTATGTTTTTTCTTTGGTATGAAAAGAAGGACTCTTTTCGATAGCTTTTTAATTCCATTATGAAAACAAATCTGTGATTTTTTAATTAATTAATGATTCGAGATTAAATCGATTAAGATATTGATATTTGTGTAAGATATGAGACGTAAACAAGAATTCTTAGCTTAAAAGCTTGAGTTATTCACCTTTTTTTTGTAGGACTGTTGATATATATAAAAAACGTAGCAAAATTTGGATACACAATTAACTTAAGATTTTTGTGGTGTTGCTAATTGAGTTGGGAATTCTAAATGCGGATGCGGATTTTTCTTTTTACCAATTTAAATAAAATGTAATTTTTGATAGTAAGTAAACATAAAAAAAAGTGATTTGAATTTACTTTTGTACTTCTAAGTTTTAGTAACTTTACAACTAACTTTTTAACTAAAATAAAATAAAAACAAAAAGAAAAATTAATAAATTACCCATTCCTAATAAGCAAGTAAAAAAGAGTTTATAACTGAAATAGTTTTATGTATATCAATGATCTCTCTACCTAGTTACAAAATATTGCCATTGAATAACTATTTGTAAGACAGATTCTCACTGTGATTGTACAGTGTTGCGATTGATGAGTTTAGTTCGCGCCCATCACCATGCTGAACCCCGTCACCGTGACAAACCATTAGAAGTGTAAACTCACTCTTGACAATGATAGCTTACATTACATAGCTACTAGAGTAGATTATAGCAAACTCTTTTAATTACAATATTAATTTAAAAAAAAAACAATGTCTTCTCAAACCTTCCAGCTAAGCTAAGTACTTCTTGACTCACGTAAATTTTTTGGAATGCACTGCTTAATGAATAAATAATGCAAAGTGATTGCAAAAGCATTTCTTAAAAAAAAACTGTAAGGTGTTTTATGCTTAAGCAGAATGAAAATACCTAAACTCATAATACCCTCACTTTATACATAATAGCAAAATATCTGGCTCACTATTAAGCCATTTACATAAATAACAACTCTGGTTATAAATGAATAAAGTTTAATATTGATTGTGCAACACTGCTACACCACATAACAACAAATATTTCAGTGTTGATAATCACCCATGTGTGTGTGAATATCAATAATGTGCTAAGTGTAGATACATTTCGGTACTACCACACTGCCAAGATTTTGATTGGCTATAAAAATAAATGGGTAGACTGGCCCATTGGTATTATGGTTAGTGATTCTGCCTGTTAAGCCAGAGGTTGTGGGTTTGATTCCCACCCAGGTCAAATCATAGTATAATAAGCAGTTTTTTTAAATTTATTTTTATTAAAATACCACACTACTTTATTTTGATTATACAGCCATGTATGAGATGTGTAATACTATAATTAGTAAGTCCAACATTCCTAACATAGAATTACTGTTTATGTTTAAGATATATGGTTGCACATCAAGAAAAAGCAATGATAGAGGCCGCAAAGTCTTTGAACGTATCCCACCGCGGTTGCGTTTCTGCCTAATGGACATTGTGCCAATGCCTTACCTCAGGGAGCACGTGTTCATGGGTTTCTCTCAATGTGGGCAGTTTCTGCTTAGTTTCACATATAGCTGTAATACTCAAGTCTATTTTAGGGAAAGTTCTAAGTTTACGTAAGTATATTTTATTTTCAATATATGATATTAACTGTAAGTACATATTATCTGTGACTGTCCAAATACTTGAGAATGTTATAGTCCTCACCACTATTCCAGTAAATAAATGAGTAGTCATAATTGTATAATCCGGATGGTCTGTGAGGTGACGGATTAAGAACATAGAATGTCACCACCCCTATTCATCACGTGGGTGGAAGGAATACATGAAAACTTCTTCGTTTTAAAAATTGAGCTTTGATCAGCAGCAGCATTGTTTGAAAATTGTGAAGACCCATGCACTACCTGTAAATTTTACCCTATTTTATCCTCGCGTCGACTTTCTTTTATTTTACGCCTGGATTCCACCATACTTTTTTCTTTGTTTAATCATTTTCACTGTTCAATAAATTTCACTCTACTCTTTTTTATACTTTACATTATTTATTTACTGTGTACTACTAAGATCGCCAACCCTGGCCTAATCCTTTAACCTTCATTTGACGGATTCAGACTTATATAATATAACTTTTGAAGTACACACGGCAAAACGAAATATCTGGTCTACTGACCAAGAAGTACCTGTCCTTTTAAAAATAAAGTATTATTAGAGAAATTAAAACTTATGCAGAATAGTTTTGAAACAATAACAATTTGCAAATGTATGAGTGAGGAAACTAGTTTCAATTCACACACATGTAAACATATGATAACATACACATGTAAACCTGACCAGGTATTTCATTCGTACGTAGCTGTACATAACTAGTACTTCACCTTGGATTGTAGCCACTTCAAAATATCACAGCACCTAATGTACTTATTATTTCCTTTGCAGTCTCCACTTCTTGTCGTGGGTGCCTGGTCGTGTAGTGCGGCCAGTTCACAGCGTGCCGCTGTTCGGTGATGACTGCGTCGATAGTAAAGTCACGATATCAATGGCACAATGGAAGCACAATCCTGCTGTGCTAGTTGTTTATGGTATTGCGTAAGTACTCTGTAAGCTTTACTTTCTTAACGCTTTTTAAACTATTTCTGCTTAATGCAATAGTTGCTTCAAAATACTTCTGCCTTTTGTACTTTATGCTTAGTGGTAAGTACTAGGAAATATATTACAAGAGATTGCCTGGTTGTCGGCTTCGACCATAATTCATTCATTTATATAATTTATTCAATTGGCCGTTTTATTTTGCTCTAGGAATATATCCTGTGTCGCGGGGTACTTAACAGATATTAATGAATCAGACACGAATAAAACCCAGACTTAACACAATAATTTGTGGATTACACATAATATTATCCCATGTGGGGATCGAACGGTGAGGTGACCGCTGAAACCACTACGCCGACCGTGCGGTCATTAAATATCTTTTAAGAATTAGCCTCGTGTTTACTATTGCTATTGATAAAGGTTAACCCCTGTTTGAAGTTATTGGTATAGAGTAACGCGACGTATGATAATTTATACTTTTAATTGCGTTAAGTTTCGACCATATTGTACTGGCCGTGGTCACACGCTTAGTTACTACTACTTACTGTGAGATCCAGAATCCGTTAATGCCTGTATATACATAATTATAATTAGCAAACAGTCCTTATTAGAAACAATTGTTTTGACTTTTACAAGTCCACTGTTCTTCCTAACGCAGGAACTTTATTTTTATAAAGACAACTCCCGCAGTAGGAATATACTTATCTTGTGTCGCGGGGGACTTGACAAACATACATGAAACGGACACAAAGATCACCCAGACTCAGAACAACAATTCGTTCATCACAAAAAGTGTCATCCCATGTCAACCCACAACACTCACCGCAGTTAGTAAGCGGCGTGGCGACCGCTTAAACATCTACGCCATCCGTGCAGTCAAGTGAAGTGAACAACTATTGTTTTATGTACAAAATCTTTAAGAATCGGTACTTATAAAAGTGATGTTTTACAGTGATTCCTGCTCGGAACGGTCCTACCTCAGTGTTATCGGAGTACCCCGTCTTGGATGTAAGAAATGCGCCACATTTTCGAATGATGAAGGTGAGCACTAATTCACCAATGTTCATATGTGCATACGAAATTTTAGGCAAATAAACCCTTTCCTTTTTGTGAAGTCGGTTAAGTAAAGATCAGATACAGCTCTGCCGTTTTCTTTTTGTTTCAATATTCATAACTTATTTCTTAGCACCTTTCCGCTGAAATCTACATAAATTATGCTTTTATAAAAGGACCCAGGTAATAAAAGGACCCTTTCATTATAAGACATTTCAGTTTTCACAAAGCAGAGTCCTATGAAACTTAGGAATCACAATTATGTGTTTACTTTCCAGATGATTTAAACTGGGGCAAAAGATGTTTAGAACATAACTTCGCTATACACACAAAATTCTTCTGTACGTCCGATTCTAGCATGTACGAACCAGTCGTCCAGCTCGCATACTCAAATCAGATAATTATATACACAGACTTCATACATATACTCGAAATAGACTTTGTTAAGCCTGACCCAGAAAGAACTGACGTTACAGAAGACGTTAAATATTCTTTAGATAGAGAGGAAACGAATTCTGTGGACATGAACCCCAGTACACCGGCCTCAGATGTTTCGGCAGCCTTCCAATCCCCAAAATATCAGAATAATGTAGTTCAAAATATTCTAGCAGATTTTTCAGATTTAGAAATGGAACCATATCAAATGTCCAAGCCTGTACGACTTCCTGACGTCATGGGACAAGAATTATGTATCCAAGCTTCTTCAATATCTCACAATTTAGTCGAGGAATGGGAAGGACCTTCGCCTTCTATCAGAACTTTAATAAGTCCACCTTTAAGATCGCCAAGACGGCGACCTGCTGAGAGCATGTCCAGGTTTAACGAAACACATAGGACAATAGCAGAAAAAGCTTACGAATTTGTTGAAGAAACGGAGACCAAGTGTGAGAAACTTAGTATGTTCAGGAAACGAAGGTTAGCGGACAAAAAGTACGAATTTTCAGAAGACAACAACGAAAACATTGTACCGTTTAGAGTGTTGAGGAGCAATAGGAAATATTTTATCGGATCAACGAGTAAAAGTCAGTTAAGGCGACCAAAGTCACCTCCAGTAGAAAGTGTAGTTTTAAGAGCCCACAACCAGATTAGTAGACCTCCTTCACCGACGACAAGCTCCGACACAAAGAGTAATGGACTGTTGACGTTGGAATCCGACCACAATAGCGAATCTGAGTACAGAGTAATGGAAATGTTAGACGATGGCTCTCTAAAAACGGTGGCTGTGCACGATAATACCTCAAAGACATTATCAGACGTCCCTGTGAACGCTCAAGACCCTTATTTAGTGCATTCGGAAAACTCAAAGTGTAGTAAATTCTTTACAAGATTTTTCGTTGAAAGTGACGATGAGATTACGTCAATCATCACGGATTCAGAAGGTAAGCTTTTAGTTTTTGTTTATTGATAACCCTGTTTATACTGTAGTTATATGTATATGTTTATTAATCTCTAAAATATTACCGAACTTGATGTATTATATATGTGATAAAGTCGCTGTAATATTTATAAGGTAGCTCTGTTGTTTACCTGTTACCCGTTTACTCGCATCAAGAAAAAAGGTTCAAGAAAACTGCATATTATATATTAAATATGGGGTCTACCAATAAGAACGTCCTGGTTTAAAAATTGAATAAAACACACATTTTTTTATGAAAAATGCATCCGATTGATTTATTTGATAGATAATTTTATGCAATTTATGTTTTAAATAATATATCGGCCAAATGACCGCCGCGGCTCTTTTTGCAGACGGTCACCCGCTCACACCAATTTTCGATGACGCGGTGCACCATTTCGGCCGGTATATCGGCTATGGCCCGTCAAATGTTGGTTTTTAGGTCACGAATTGTAGCTGGATTATTGCTGTACACTTTAGATTTAACGTAACCCCAAAGAAAATAGTCTAAAGGTGTTAAATCACACGATCTTGGCCAACTGATCGGTCCATTTCTCGAAATAAACGACTCACCAAACTTTCCACGCAATAATTCCATGTTCACTCGAGTAATGTGAGGTGGTGCACCGTCTTGTTGAAAATAAAGGTCGTCTGCATCAATATCATCAAATTCCGGAAAGAAATATTCGGTTAACATCGAGTTATAACGCTAGCCATTCACAGTAACAGTGTTTCCTTCGTCACTTTCAAATAAGTTTTGGACAATTTCCAAGCGTTGGTTTAAAGTGAAACATGATAAAATGGCAAACCTTACTGAACACAAATGTCAAGAGATGTCAAAGATCCATCATCAACATGGCCGCTATGGCTGTCAAAACCAGGTCATCCCTATTGGTAGACCCAGTATGATGTAAATAAGTTTTGTTTTTTAGACAATAGGTTAACAATCATTACATTTTTTAAGTAGAATGTGCTAGGGCATAGGAGAACTCTCGAATTAGAAATTCTCCTACAGAAGAAATCATGCATATAGGCATTGACTAAGTAAGAACTTGTGGTCTATATATATTGACGATGCGGCACATACGTAATGTCGACTAGTGAGTAAAGACAGAGACAGAGGATCATATTGGCAAAGTGTTAGTGAACCTACATGTGTACTAAACAATAACACTGCATACTTCTATGTGCTAATTCTGTTGTTCCAAAACTCTAAACTAAACTAATCATCACTAAAAATTTGTTTAGTCCTGGTAAACAGTGTTTCGTATTCTAAAAAAGTTGTACTTGACAGGACTAAACAAATTTTTAGTGATGATTAGTTTAGTTTAGAGTTTTGTAACAACAGAATTAGCAACATTGTCTTCATTAGTTATCTATATTGTAGAAAAACATCAGCGGCTTACAAAGAAAGATAAAAAATTGAGGTCGTGTTGGTGAATTTAAAGTCGGCATTATAACTTTTAATTAACGGTAGGTACAAGCCTTTGTGCAAACTTAAGCTTAGATCAAATTTAATACATTGTTGTTTAGCGTTTCATTTTGAGTACGGTATTTGACTGTGAAGTCAAATCAGTTTATCTTTATTAGATGTCACAAATGGTATTTTCTGTAAATAATTTTATACCGTGTCATCAAATTGTTCAAATTTAATCTTTGAGTGTCTCATCTATACAAATAAACAAAATTGAAGTGTCTGTTTGTAAAGTCAAAATAATAGTTTTTCATGCTTACACGTTTATTTGCACGATATGCCTAAAAACCAGTTTAATATTTTTTGTCGTCTGTCTGTCTGTTCCGGGTAATCTTCAAACCGGCTCTACCGATTTTCATAATAATTTACTACCAAGTAGCTGTCTATATAAGGAGAAACTTAGGCTATTTTTTATCTAGAAACCCTTTAAACTTTGCCTCGAAAGAACAAACATTGCAAAATCGAACTCACTAAGGCAGCGCTTTTCAAATTCCACGCGAACGCAGTCGCGGGCACCAGCTAGTTAATAATTATTAATAATAACATACTATCGTGTTTATCACTGATTCTTCTCGACCTCCGGCTTAGCAGTCAGGGTCAGCTTAGCAACCACTAGACACACAGGCATGTTAAAAATAATGATAAAGATGAAAATAATAATTAATCTGTTTCATTCTAATTTAATACTCAATGCCATCGCCACCGGTATTCCCTGACCCATACGACATTTACCTCGAAGAACCTCGAAGAAAAGAGGGGTACTACCTTTTAGTCCCTCACATCATCTCATCAACAGCCTTTAATAGTCCTCTGCTGGACATAAGCCTCTCCTAAGAAAGGAGGTTATGGCCTTCAATACCACGCTGGCCAGACGGGTTGGTATAGGGTTTGTGTCAAGTTTTCCTTCTCTCTGCAGTGTTGTTGTTTTGCGTAGTTTTTGCCCTTAGTCGGCTCTTACGACACCCACGGGATGAATAGGGGTGGTGACACTCTGTATTCTTAATCCGTCACCACACGGACCCTTAGTCCCTCAGGATCCGGCAATGATCTTTTGACTGTTTTACAGTTGTCCATGGGCGGTAGTAATCATTTACCTTCAGGTGACCCGTCTGCAGCGGAAAAATACATACAATTCTATTAATACTTAATCAATTGTTCCCCTTTAAAAAAAGAGCTAGAAACATTTTTTTTTGTATCTTTATTATCTGTTTGCACAGCCGAGCGTGTGAATATATACTACCGATAACGATAATTTATTTATATTATCATATGAGCGTGTATAGCTGCAGTGGGGCCGGTTTACGTTCCAGATTTTTATTATCGCACTGTTGTTTGTAAACATTCGATGTCGTCACTATACTACCGTACCATTGTTAATTTTGCATTGGTTCGTTAAACTTCGTGTGTTTACAGTAAAAGTTTAATAGTTTCGTTACATTTTCACGACCCTGTTAGTGTTTAGTAACCCTACCTGCTAAGCCATGGCATGCCCTAACTGCTCTGCATTGTGTGATGAGCATTTGTTCTGTGTCTTGGTGTAATTTATTTCAGCAGTGTGGTTACCACAGTACAGGCTTTGCCTAGTTTGGGATCACATCTCTCCCATCAAACATCTGAGTTTATTGTTAATAGTACCTGGATCACCGAGCGTTGCTCAGTGTTTTTTTTTTGGTAAATTTTCTAAACATGAGACCTGGCTAGATCGAATTAATCGCCCCCGAAACCCCCTGCATACTAAATTTCATGAAAATCGTTAGAGCTGTTTCCGAGATTCAGATTATACATACTATATACAAGAAATGCTCGTTTAAAGGTATTAGATCTCTTCAAAAAAAATTTTTTTGACTGTTTGTTTAATATCTAAATTCGAATTTATATGTTTTTTTAATGTTTGGTGTGTATGTATCATTACCGATTCTAAACTGCATGTCGACGGCAGAAAGCGATTATGTCATATCTGGGAAATTGGCCTAAATTGAAACTTACTAGTATGTAAGTAATCAGAAAAAAGCCTTGACTTTCTATGACGAAAAAAGTTTATGATACATGATAGGTACATAATAACCTCCTTTCTAAGGAGAGGCTTATGTCCAGCAGTGGACTATTATAGGCTGTTGATGTGTGATATGATGTGATAGGTACATACATAAGGTATTATTTATAATACGTGATACAAATTCTATACCAACCCGTGAGACCGTGGATCACACAAAGTGTCGTCCGGTGTGAGGATCGAACCCACAGCAGCTTAGTAGGAAGCGGCGTGGTTACCGCTTAAACCACTACGCCATTCGTGCAGTCATATAGTGGTTTATATCTATATAGTATAACCTAATGTATATCTGTATAAGGTCGTTATATAAGTTTTATTAATTGTGCTGTTCTACTCAAATGGATTTTTCTAATATAAAAGTGTTAAACGTTTATCACATCACATCACACATCAACAGCCTATACTAGTCCACTGTTGGACATAGGCCTCTCCTTAGAAAGGAGGTTTTGGCCTACTATACCACGCTGGCCAGACGGGTTGGTATAGGGTTTGTTTCAAGTTTTCCTTTTCTTTGCAGTGCTGTTGTCCTGCTTAGTTTGCTCCCTTAGTCGGCTCTTACGACACCCACGGGATGAATTGGGGTGGTGACAATTTGTATTCTTAATCCGTCACCACACGGACGTTAAACGTTAATATGTGTTAAAGTCACTAATATATATAATACTACCTGCGGCCCACGGCGTTACCCGCGTATGTATATATTTCAGTTCCTTTCTCATTCCACGGGAACACTATATTTTTCAGAATAAAAAGTAGTTATGTGTTTATCCAGGGATTCAGTTAAATCCACACACAATGTTATCAAAGTCATAATATGAGTGTGTGATGTGTTCGATCAGACGACTGTATCTCTGGGTACCACGTGGCGCTGCCGCTGTCGGCGCACGGCGCGGGCTACGCGGCGCTGCAGGGCGTGGGCGCGGGCGCGTGGGAGCGCCTGTGCGGCGCCGCGCCGCCGCTGCCGCCGCTCACGCTGCGCGCGCACCAGCGCTCGCTCGACACCGAGCTGCTGTGCAACGAGGTGTGCGGCCGCCTCTGCAAGATCAACGGGAAGAAGTTCATCTACTGCTTCGACTGGGGCTGCCACGTCATCGACGTGTGCCAGTCCAGCGGGTGCTTGTCGGGGGTCAGTGTGCTAACTCTTTACTCCTTCTCTCTCTCTCTCTCTCTTCGAACAGCCTAACTAACGTAATAAACGAGTAAGTAACTTTGTAAATGCACTTTTACGTTTCGTCTTAACTACTGAAGCTTTATTTTATTTTGCATTCACATTGCCAAAGGCACGAAAAAGGATATAGGGTTTACTTTTATTCAGAAAGTACTTTGTCTATGTCACGATTCCTGAGAAATTAACAAAGTAAATTTTACGCAGCGCAGTCGCAGACGATAGCTAGTTAATAAAATATACTTATCAATAAATATAATTTATGGAATGAAATAATCAAAAAGGTTATATTGTTGTGTACAGTTGTGTGCAATGTGGATGTGGGCGAGCGAGGAGAGCGAGGCGGCGGGCGAGTGCGAGGCGTGTCGCGCCGTCAGCGCCGGCTGCTTGCTGCATCGACAGCAGTACGCCGCGGAGGTACGCAACACAACCACCAGTCATACAGCTTGTAAGGGACGGTGTAACTAATACTGAAATAGTGTATTCAGACCGTCGTTCTGAGTCGAAAGTCATTGGAATTTTCTGCCACCAAATTCATCATTTTTTTTTGTAATTTTTCATTATTCCATTTAAAAATTATATCACGATGAGTAAACAAAACAGTTTATTGATTTTTTTAATAAAAACCGCGTACGGTCAAAAACTGCAATGTAATTAATCAAAGGGCTTCCCTCCTGGCCGGCAACTTAGACAAGTTGTTGTGCGTAGAGTTTTTGCACGGAATACAAATGTAGTTATTACTTTTGTGCGATACTAACGGGGAATGGCCTTAACGTTTGACAGCTGCAACAGCAAAATTCCAATAATTTTCGACTAAGAATGATGGTCGGAATACACTATTTTAGTATTCGTTACAAGATCCCTTACACCCTGCGTATTACACGTACACTTGACTGTACGGATGGCGTAGTGAGAAGCTAAAAGCTCTGAAGATTTCAGTCAGATTCCAATTGTTCTATTTATATTAGATAGAGTAATTATTAAACACGGTTATGGCTATGTAACATGACGGTACTGCACTTAGTAGATGTCACAAATACCGCCTTTTTTGCCATGTAAATAAAAATAAAATTAATTATGGTTGGGATGTTATGTTAAAATTCGCCGTTACAGATATCAACAGCTATTTAACAACGTGGTTTACGAAATTTTCTTTTAACGCATTTATCGTCTTAATATCGCTAAGTAACAACTTAAAGTATTTAAGTTTTATACTTGTAATCACAATATTACTAGAACTAAAAATCTTAATTTATATCCACAATATACAACTTTCATTCGAGTGGCAGTGACGCGGTGCTCGGACGACGACTGCCACACGAATGAAAGTTGTATATTTACATGCCCACGCACACATAGGGCCGCGCGCACAACTGAGTTGAACTATCTATAATAGCTTGGCCATTTTATCAACCAGCTTTATAAAAGGCGGTTCTCAGTTTTTTGACATCAGTGTTAATGTTATATAATTTTTTTCTATTTAGTGTCTGTTCGTATGGGATTTAGTAAGCGGCGTGTACAGAACTGAAAGAGTCTCCATGACAGAAGATTCTAGCCAAGACTACAGTAGAGGTCAGTAATATCACTCTTCCTTATTGTAAGTTTATTAATTCCTGAATGAGCACGGTAGCGATATAAATCATGCTTCCATATCCCTCGTGCGGAGTTCCCCCCTTTTTTTTTCCGTGCGGAAATCCCCTCGGATACCACCATATCGGTGGCATTTCGGACTCGAACCGACTAAAACCGCACGCCGTCTCGGGTACTAATAGCCGGGGAACCAGGTATACCCTAGAAAGGTACCCTGGTACCCCGGATACCTCCCACTGAATAGTGGGATGGTTATGTTGAACTCGAACCGACAAAAAAAAGCCGTTCGCCATCTCGGGTACCAGTACCAGGTGTAACCTAGAAATTAAATCCCTGCTACACCAAATATACCCCTCGGTATTTTCTTAATATTCATGTTTTCATCCAACCGAACATGAAACAGATGTTGTTACCTATGATATGCATTACAGTTTCCGGAGCTGACCGAGCGCGGGAGCTCGCGAAGACACTAGGTCCTATTAACACGCCACCAGGAAATGAAAACCGATTGCTCACCACGTTAACAGGTAAGCAATATAAAATTAATTAGGGGTTATACTTGTTTATACATTAAAAAAAATTACAAAGATGGTGGTTAAAGGAAACTAAATCCTTAGAACTCCAGCGGCTCTCTCAGCTTCCTGAAGTAGAGAGCTTTCCCTATCCTACTTCTGCATATATAATAATAATATCCTCACACATCTCACACACTGCGAGTCTGATCCTAAACTAGGCAGAGCCTGTGGTATGGCAACCAGACTGCTAATAAACATACAATTTTTTTTCCAAATACATACATATTATAGTTAAATTACACGTAGCCATAGAACAAATTATCATGCTCATCACACAATTAGCTGTGTCAGAATGGGAATCGAACCCACGACCTCTGGCTTAGCAGTCAGGGTCACTAACCACTAGACAAACAGGCCCTCTCAAATATGAATCATCATCATCATCATCAGCCTATCGCAGTCCACTGCTGGACATAGGCCTCTCCCATTGCACGCCACTTAGATCGATTAAATAAATATCGATTATTATATATGAATACCACTAACCAAAGTTTTTATCCAAAATGTTGTTTGTTCACAGGGCGATCACTAAAAAGACTGACAGATGTAGACAATTGCATCGAGATAACGAAGAACCACCCAGATAGCTCGGAGTCTGAATCTTCGTCAGAGGATGACAGTGATTATGACTGATTTTATATTGCCAGCATCCGTGATGCGATCTTTTAAACTTATTTGTTTACAAACCTTCGGGGTGAATGAGACGAGAGAAAATATTTTAATATGTTCATGTAAACCTACCCTAATCTCGTTAAAAGAAGCTAACAGTGTAGCTTTTTGAACTTTGTATGAGTTCCTTAATACATGTTATTATTAGTTTCATATTAATTTGTAATTCAAAAAGGTAGGAAAAACCACAGACAAAAATGTTTGTATATATTTTTTTTGAGAGGATATAACAATCTCCCTAAAAGTTAAATACACGAATTCATTTCAAAACCAGTATAAAAAAGGGTCTACAATGGCAAATAGTAGTCAAAAACTTTCTACTAATCTAATGTTATATCTTACTAATTGCTCCCAAATAATACTACTAAAACAGTCAAGTATTTGTCTGGTATAATAAAAATGAACAATTTTGCATAATCTTATTAGTTTACTAAAAAATCTTAAAGTCCGCTGGAACCATATACTTAGAGAAATTCATTTCTAGCCATCATAATATCCACCAAACCAGATATATGTATATAAAATTTGTCCATTTATTTAAAGCCTTTAATTAGCTGAATAAAATATTATTGTCAAAGACGCCTACAACTGAATATTTGTGGTCTTTTTGTGGTCTCCAATAAACTGATATTACTTCTCGGCATGCTATTTAAATAATACATTTATAAATATTGATACAATGCTCTTACTCATGATGAATATTTTGCATTTTTCTTTTTACCACAAATTGTGAAACCTATTTTTTTTAGTAGGTATATCAATTGAGTGTTACAATTATCGGTCACAAGCTATATTTAACAACGAAAGAATTTATATTAAGAAAGTTATCAAAGACAAGATTTAGATTTAAATTTCTTTTTATAATCTTTTGACATACTCAACAAATGTTCAGGTCTTCCAGCTTTTTAATATTTATCTGAACTTTGGAATCATTTACATGTTTAAATAGTTCTTCTCTCTTTATTAAATATAAAATTAACAGTTCCCTTTTAATCATCTTGTAAATAACGAAATTGAACAAACGAAATTAATATTAAGTGTGTAAAAAGTCATTACTTTACGACATTGTCTATGGTATCATAATATCTCGTTAACCTTTATTATATTATCGTTGTTCAAATTCTAAGAAACGTAATCAAAATTTATTACTGTTTGAAACTGTGTCGCCATTTATAAATTAAAAAACAAAATAGCTTATTGTATGCTTATATTGGTATGAGTGTCACTTGCGAAATGCAATTTAAAAAAAAAACTATCAAAGGTTTCATTGATTTTAAAAATGAAAAATTAAAAGTAGATCGTAAACCAACCTTTAATTAAATAATATATTTGTTAAATATTATGATATAGGCACTTCTGAAGCCAATCCATTTCGAGTGCTTTGGTAACATTAAAATTTTTTGGTTCAGTTAGTAGTAGTCAGTTAGTAAAATTGAAATATTCTTTGAGATGTAAATAATTTAAAATCTTAAATCATTATCTTTTTTTCAATATAATATCGTCCTTTTTTATTAATGCATTAAATTATTCGTGTGAACATTTATTTAATAAATTGTAAATAGGTATTTGAAGGTTGTGTGAAATAAATTTACTGTCGTATTTTAGTCGATATCCACTAAAATGTCATTACGCTGGTCGTTTTGGCAATGATAGTAGTATACAGTTTTGTGATTTTCCTGATCTCTGATAGAAGCATTTTTATAACTGGGCTTTATTATGAACTCGAAACGTTGTTTAGCTAATAAACAGATATGAGCAGACAAATCAGATATAGTGCGATCAAATAAACTTAAAACGTATATTCACGCATGTTTCCTCAAAGGAGTAGACATATGAGTGTATTAAATAAATACATTTTGCCAATCAAAGTTGGGAAAATAAGAAATATATTGAAAGGGGAATTGGGAGACAATGGGATATTGCTCATATGGATGGATACAGTGTAAGTAAAAACACTAGTAGGTCAGGATCGCATACTAATGTCTCGGACTGGCTGTTTCTGGTCGAACCGAGCCGCCCCGAGACTCTCTAACATCTAATTGTAAATGGTAGATGATTAACAAATCAAAAATAAATATTCGACTTATAATAAGCTCATAACCGGCCAACATGACTGCCTCTTGATATTTGCATATAAATGTACATATAGATTATGAAATGTAATTATTTATCGCATGTGAATTCGATGTAGTTATTTTGAGCCTTAATGTACTGATAGAATGTTGTGAACTTGTGACCAATGGATGAAGGGTAGATTCGTATATAAATGTATTTGTGTCGTTAAGCGCACATGTTACTGTTTCAGACTTGATGAATCAGATTTTGAAACAAGTCGAGATATGTATAAAGGACTAAATAGAAAACTTCTCTGTTCCTAAGTCAGTCGCACAGATTTCTTTCTTAGTTCGTTTACTGAATTTGGAATATATAATATGGTGGAAGAGTTCATACAGTAAAACAAGTTAAACAAGTTAAACAAAAATACAGTTAAATTTTATCTTTCAAAGAGACAGTCCATACAGTCCAACAGGTGCTCTCTTAGACTGTTCGTTTAGAGAAAATATAACTTATTAAATTAATCAACTATTTTGGTGATCTTGATGAGTTAGTAATTGAAATATTTTCAATATAATTTCATCTTTGTATTGCATCTCCGTTTTCACACAAAGTAGATTGATACAATTATCAAACACATTTGAATTATTGTAATCTGTCGTCAGTTCTAAACAAAGAATTTATTATAACTATTATAAATCCTTGCAAAGAGCTTTAATGCTTGCCCAATTACTATGAGTCACAGTTACTCGAAATAAAAAAAATATTATTATTATTATTAAATCGTTAGTTGTTGCTTTTACCGTTTGACGTAACGTCAATCATCAATGTCCCTGATTCTCCTTCCAACACGACATCATCGCGCTGGTCGCTGATGTGTCCAGCCGTGTGTGTAACAAGCGTGTACGTCTGCGTGGCGTGATGGCGTATTAAACGCATAACGATTTGTATTAAGCTACGAAAACATGCGTCCAGTTTCAAAGGGTACTATAAAAACGTATTAAACTTTTTACTGGACTAAATTTGAAGTTTTTAATTTTGGTCTTGTTTCAAAATCTGGTTTCCTTCTAAATTAATAATACTTACCGAATACACACTTGAATAGTGGTGTAATTAATACCGCCTTATTGTAAAGCGTGGTCGAAAAGGACCTCAAATTTAAGAAGACACTAACAAGAGATTGTTTAAATCCCGTTCACTTTTTATGACAAGGCGGGTAATGCGTAATAGCAATACATCAGCTGACAATGTAAATATATGTATTAGATCGTTGTATTTTGACACAATATAAAACATCTTATAGCTTTGCATTTATACTGTATAGTGTAAGCAATTGTAAGATATTAATCCAACGATGATATTAATGTGTAAATGTGTCAACAACTAACAATGATTCTATTTAAATTCCGACACATTATAAAGAGGTTGTTTAAAAGTAACTCTTCCTCATAAACATGTATTTTATGTCTCTTTCGACCATATTGAAATATGTCAGGATAGAAAAAGACAAATATTTGATAACAATAGTTTAAAAGTCTTTGTGAATAGGTTCTTGTGTGCTAGAATTGGATCGTATATGAGAATCTAGGCTCATGATAAGGTTGTGATTGTTTGGACGTAGGTTTGTTAAGTGAAGTGCCTCTGCGATGCGAAGACCCTCATACGTATTTAGTGTATCGGAAAGGTGATATAGTACTCGTGGCATGTGTAGTTGATGAGCAAACATTCAGGAAAACAGCAATCTAATTACTTTTTTCCTGATGTTTTTAGACGCTCTACAGTCGGAAAAGACCGAGGTTTATACTTTTATTTTTTTCATTCATGTTTGTAAAGATCCTATATCTTCAGTGAAGTTCTAACGTTGTCTAAGTAATTTTTTTTCTAGTTTTAACATTCACTTCGATACAATGACGACCGGATGGCGTAGTGGTTTGTGTAACGGACTGCTATTTCAAAGGTCGCGGGTTCGATTCCCGCTCAAGTCAAACATTTGTGTGCATGAACATTTGATGTTTGATTTGGTCTGGGTGTTTCTATGTATAATATTTATGTATTTACAAAAAAAAGTATATATGTATTTATATCAGTTGTCAAGTACCCATAGTACAAGCTCTGCTTAGTTTGGGGCTAGATGGCGTTGTGTGTATGTGGTAGAATATTATTTATTATATTATTATTATTACAATTCGATGAAGAAAATCACGTGTGCCTCTTTTCAACTGGCCACTAATAGATAGCTAACCAATAGAGCATTTTTATGTAATACAAATAAAACTACATAAGTAAATTTGCAGTTTCAACACGACGACAAAATGTCATCTCATGGATTGTGCAGTTTAATTATTTTCATCTAAGCCAGAAGTAATAGCTCAACATAAGTTGAAACATGTTACAAAAACAATTCCATCTTCATGGGAAGAACTGTTTTGTTTTGAGGCAATCAACACTTTGCTTCACCTTCAGTGGAATATTAATTTTGCCATCTATAAAGTAGACTTGCGCATTCTTAGAACTTCCCTGACGATAGTATATTTATTCTTGACGAATCCTTAACCTTCAAAGATTTATCTCCTCCTCTGATTCGGCAGTCTGTGAAATGCGAAGAGGGTAGAGCGTATCTAACACACCTTGTTATCAAGCGTCGTATATTATATATATATATATATATCTGAAAAGTATTATTGTCATCTTTCTGAGACTTAAAATTAATTCACTCAATTTTTAAAAGTACCAAAATTTACATTTTACAGCTACACTGTGATTTATTCTCAATTTAAAGTTTCAACTATCTGTCATTTACGGATCACGGGCTAAGAGATAATGTTGCACCCGTCCATTGTGATATTATTATCGCTGCAGTAAAGAAAAGCTAAGTCAGAGGTGATAAGCGTACATTGTTTAACTGCTGTGCATCAGTACAGAGGGTCTAGTGTGATTTTATTTGATATCAACTCGATCATAACGATTGCGATTGGCCCGCACTGAAATCTTCACCAATCGCAACGCCGATCGTGCTCGCTGTACGAGTTAATGTGAAATAACTCACGCTAAGCCCTCAGAAAAGTTTTACGTAAAAGTAATTCAACTCTTAGCTTATAGTCTGTGACTTATTTGATAATATTTGGTGGGTGTATATACGTAATAGAAGCATAATGTTGGCAGCATGTATGTACTAGCGTTTAAAAAGATCTCTTATACAAATTATGGAACAGAAAAATTTAACTACAAGAACGGTTGTTTGGTATAAGGAACTGAAGTAAAACTTTTAAAAGATTATCGTTTTAGTGTTCTCCCAGTGGTTAAAATTGAATATAATCATCAATTGACTGTATCCGTTGAAAACGCTGGTCGCTACGAAATAATGTATGGTTAATCAATGTTGTCAAAGCACGCGTCAAGCGATCTAAGCACGGATTTTTTTTAGAAGTTTGTGGTCTTCATCAAAGTTTGAATATATCTAAATAGGTACTACCGTAAAAAAGTAATATTATACTATAAATGGTCCAACTTAAATAAATTTTGACAATTAAACCCCAAACTGTTTGAACTTTTAATATGGTGGTCATAAACCATTTTATTTCTATATTTATAAATGTTATACTAATTTAATTGAGTAAAACAAATAAATCTAAATATCCTACGAATACGAATCGGTTTAGGGACGGTTTTTCAATCCTCAAATAAACAGTCGTATAGCATTTACTTTGGATTTTGCAGGTGTCAGATAGCTATTATCTGAAGAATAAAGCTTAAAACCTGAGGAATAACTTAATGTGTTCTTCATTAGAATCCTATTAAGGATTCAGATAGTAATATTATCTGTATAATAGTGATTTTGATATTTGTGTATATCTTTACATTCTCTTTGTATTTGTTGTGGTAAAGTTTGTGTATGTTGTCTGAGTTTTTTTATTTTGCTTAAGTGAATATGATGTTTTTAACTCAATCGACGATTTAACTATCGAAGAAGACAATCTGATCCTAAACTTTTGGTACTATGAAAGTTACATTGATAACAATGACAAGAAATAGAAAATAATGACACAAATCTTGTCTAATAGTATGAGATCCTTATAGCTGTATCTCGCTTGCTCTTATTTACAGTGAACTTAGCTATGAAAGACCAAGTAACTTTCTGTTGGTTTACACTCGATTGAAAAACCGAAAAAGTTCATTTGCTTAAGAAACAGACAGATAAAATTCACAAGTAAGTTATCTGACAGCATAACTGAGGATTGAAAAACTGGCCTTAAATATACTAATTTTTATATGACTGTTTATTTTTTATTTGTATGTATTTAATAACTACTTATCTTTTTCTTCATGTAAACACATGAATGTGGTTCTTAATAAACCTTTATACCGAAAAATGAATAAATATGTGCATGAGGTATCGAGTGCCACATTCAAAATACATATCAAAGTATACATTTTTAGGATGCAGTGGCGGGAGGAGACCTGCCTATCTCCTCACAGTGTTTAAAGCGGCCCCAGTTTTTAAACATTTGTGCACTTATTGATGATGAACCGGTCAGTGAGAGGCTACTCAACCGTCCAACTGCCAAAGTTCGCTTTCAGGGCCACCCAGGACACACTCGGATTGGGTCTGAGTATCCTCAGACACTTACTTTGGAATCCCCACTTTAGAGAGCATGTACATCATGTTCAACTGAGAGCTTCCCCCAGTCATTCCAGCTAGAAGACACAATCTCTCTCTATGTCCCCTTAAGAGTGTTCATTTTTAGAGGCCATTCTGGGGTGGTGTGAGGGGTTTTGTTTACTGCAGTGGGCGCCCTTATCTGGATTCCCACACTGGGAGAGACTGGACGTTAACTCAAACGTGCGGGAAAAATGTCCCCCCTTGCATGCGCCACAGATCCTTGTCCTTCCCTACTGTCCCTTCCTGGCTCCCTGTCTAACATCCTATCAAGCCTGGACGAGGATATCGCACGCTTCCATAGAGAATGACCCCTCTTCACACACTCTTTATATATTCAGGGAGCTCCTGTCTCTTCAAGCTCTCTATTATGTGGCACTCTCTCTTACTGTTCCTCAGTGCAGTTTGGAGCTAGAAGACCCAGACTGGATCATCTTACCATGTGTGACACCCCCTCTGAACGTGTTGAATCCTGAGAGGGCTTCCTCATGGATTCTGCTGGGGGATAGTGTCTGTTTTGGTATCTGATCTAATGATGGCGAAATTCAAAATCTTCCCTGTGCAAGAAGATCTCTGCACCTGCCGGGATGTGGGATCTTATGTCTATAAGCTTTGGTTGCTATTTAAATTAGTACTGTTGTTAGATATCAATATCATCAGAGTAAGATACATAAAAAAGGCAATTATACCTCCACTTCTGCCAGAGAATATAGATTTTTAGGGGTTTTATTGTACAAAATTGTAGTTGTTCTCATTTGTGGCTTGTATGATCTGTATGAGATCAAGTCGTACCTAGGGCGACACCAGTGATAAGGAAGCAGAGGCATTTTGAACTGCAACTGCATTAGCAATATACTAAGGTTGTTCTTCATTACAGGTTACAAACCCTATCTCTAATAAGAAGATATCTCAAAGTCTGGTGATCATTCTCAGCTAGTCCTAACTATCCATCTCTTGTTTTTTTACAAAAAAATTGGCATGTAACTAATTGTAATGCTTCAGAGCCTTGCAATAGTCAGAGAGAAAGTTTGGGCCATAAAAAAGTTAGATTATTAGGACTGGTTGTAGATTGACTTAAACTAGTTGATAAGTTAATGCATTTAATTTTGTTCTCCGTCATAGGCATTGTCTGAATGTGTTACTTGCCATCAAATTGTATTATAGATAGGTATGAAACAATGCATGATGTAATAATAACATGAATAATGAAACACTTGTTTTATTCATAACCTCATTACCGTTTTAGTATTGCTGAACTTTAGCAAGTTATACATGTACTGTATAGTGCCTAATCTTAAAAAAATAAAATCCAAATTCAATTTACATCCTTATTTCTCTTGTTTTTCATTATGCCCTCTCACATTTATTTTAAATAACTTATTCATCTGTGTAATAAGTCACTGTAGTAAAAGTACTTGACGAGAATTGTAGAGCCTAGTTTGTTTAGCAAAATTTTACACAAATTAGAGCACATATGTCACATACATGCCTTTTGTGACTTGCAACAAAAAATTCTAAAACAATTCTGAAACTTATGTTTAAACATTTTAAACAATAGAGCATTTAATGTAGAACTACAAAACTGTACTTTTGGCTGTTTGGCGTTGTGATTGGTGGAGATTTCAGTGTGGGCCAATCGTAGTACCGAATGTGGTCACCGTGACGAGTGAGTTGATGTAACATAAACTCGCACTGGGGCCTCTGGTCTTTAAAGTTCAGACAGTATTGCCAACTGGCAAATTATTGTACCTAATAAAGAATTTAGGCTATTATGATTTAAGTTTATCATGTGGGATGATAGCTTGTTGTTATAACCACTTAAATTTTAAAATTAAATATAAATATTAAATCTTACATAACATTGCACTATATTTACATTTATGATGTTTGAAGTAAATCTAAAACTCAAATTACAACTTGTACAAAGATAACTATGCTAAAGTTCAATCAAATTTTTCTATATAATTAATATAAAGAACTTATACATAACACACACAGCAACATTAAAAGTCTTAAAATACATTTTCTCAATTTACCAGCTGCTAGACAGCTTATTGTACCGGAGTTTAAAATACAGAAAACATTAAAAACATGTGATATATTTATGTACAAGGTCACAAACTGTAAACATCATCACTTTCAGCTTCAGTTTCGATTGGTGTGCGAGCCTGTCCTGTCTCGTCCAACAAACAGTCCATAGATAACCTCTCGATATCATCCCATGACAATTTGTTCAATTTGTCTTGCACAATTTTTAGGAGGCGAATAGCTGCACATGTCGCTTCTGACTCGGTCATACCCATCTTCTTAAAATACTTCACGGAGACTTCGTACAGTCCTTCAGGTTTTTTTACAACTAAGTTTAATTTAGTTCCATCTTTTATTGTGGGGTAAGCAGCTACTGTTTTTTGGTCGACTAAAGTTCTGCCTAAAAGCAATAGCTTTTGTTCTTCTCTTGGTATTTTTAACTTTTCTTCAACTTGTCGTTTAATATCCAATATATGCGTTGTTGGAAGCACCTAAAACAAAAGTAAAGTTGAACTATGTTGTGAAGTGACTAAAATATGGACAGTGCACTTAGGTCGTTAAAAATACCTCTAAGCAACATTCACCGCCCTGTAACTTTTTTACAATTATTTTCATTTTGAATGTTGACACTATTGCTTGATTTTCGTAAAACACTGCATGAAATTACAAAAACATTAATTTATCAGCATGATATCAATGACGGACAAAACAACTGTAATAGTGTCAAATGTCATTCATTAATTGAAAACTAGGCACCATTTATTGCATTTATTCTATTGCTTGTTCGTTCGTACTTGATTACGATTTCACTTCTCTCTTTAATTAATTAAAGCCAAAATATGTCATTTTTGTCGCTAGAAGATTGGAACGCAGTCAATAGTCCACGATAGAATTCTTTGACTTCAAAGAATTGTTGCCAATTAAAAAAAGTACAGGTTTTAGAAATAAGTACTCAGAACGAATATTACATTGAAAAGTAAGCTTTTTTTGTGAGCTTTATGTTTATATTGAAATTTTCTAAAGCTAGCAGCTAGTAACATTAGTCATACATTACATACTTTTACCGCGATAACCGACATACACGCGTGAGGAGCCGCGGGTGAAAACTTGTAATAAAATAAAGGCAAATATTTTTATCATTTGTTATGATCAAGACTCGACTTCACAACCTCTGACCTCTGGCTAAGCCGTCTTTATAACTAAGCACAAAACAAACCCGTCCTGATACGAAAAGCGAATGTGCAATGTTTTTTGTACATTTGTAGATATTTTCTTAACTTTATTGGCAACTGAGTTTAGCTTACAAAAATACATGATGCTTTTCTTGTTCTACTTCTATATTGTTTATCTATACATGTTTCCATACTTCCATACTTCATATTACAAATGTGAAAGTTGGTTTGTTTGTTACGCTTTCACGACTAAACCACCAAAGGGGAGAAGGGAGAAAGAGTTTATTTTAAAAACTCTTTCTCCCAAGGGAAGCTACATTATCAGCGAATAACATACGCTATTTTTACCACGATAACCGACATACACGCTAGCGGAACCGCTGGCGAAAACTGGTATCCAATCTATATAAATATATAGATAATAATTTATACAAGTATAATTTTTACAGACATATATAATAATATTATATATGTCTGTAATGGGTGGGGTTAGACCCTGAAAGTCCGACTAGTCATTAGGTGACTTGCTATTTGTTTTGACCAATAGATAACCAATGCTCAGTTATCTATTCATCTGTCTCAAGCACACTGGACTGGACCAAACAATTTGAAACCCTCTGACTGGCCGATAAAATAAAAAGCATTTAAAGAGACAAAGTGCTTGTTTTGGCTACAAGACGAAATTTGTGTTTTTGCTGCTAGTTCAAATAGGTACGTTTGTAGATATTTGAGGTGATAGTTATTTTCTGTACGACGTAATTGCAAGTATAAAGCGGCAAATTTATCATCATAAAATATATGAATTTTATAATAAAATTTGATGATAGATTTTGGCTAATATCCATAATGCATTTATAATGAAAATGCAATCAAACAGGGATTTTAAACCTCAATTTTAACAAACTATTTTACTTATAAAAAAGTATAGCCATCTAGATCATGTTGCGCTTTTTAGAAGCCATTTAACTGAAAAAAGTATTTTTAAAATGTCATTTACGTATAGTCTTCAAATCTCGCGTAAATAAATAATTACCAAGGTGATATTGAATACTTTGCAGTTGCACGTTACTAATATTAAAAAAACTACTTGCAAGAAGTTACTTTACCTTACATATAACAAAATGAGTGAATCAAAACTAATGGAATGTACTGATGATGATGCAAATAACTCCGTCCTAATTTTTGAAGTGGACTGCTTCGAAGGTAATTAATCGAATTGCGTAAAATAAGAGTAATATGTTAACTCTCTCTTTACCCACTGGTCGATTAATATTAATTTATTTTGTGCAACATTCATAAACAGTTAATTATGAAATCTTGAATATATTCAGGACTTAGTAATTGAACTTTACCTAATGCATTTTTAAATTCTGCATTAATCTTTACTCGTAGACACCTATGTTAGTTGTACAGGGTGGTGCAGTTTCTTCAACCAGATATTTTTTAGAACTGTACCCTAACCTTACAAAAAGTACTTTTTTTAAAAGTTTAACTGTCGATAGTTAAAAATCATACCTTTCCTTTTTTCTATTAATATGCTATCAGCCTAGAAACAATATTTTCAATGATAAAATTAAAATCTTAAATGTAAAAATACTGCGTAATGTAAGTGTACACTGTACATTTACAGTCAAATTAAGAAATTTTTCAACTTCGTTAAGTTGAAAAATACTTTAATAGCTTCAAGAAATAAAACAAAACTCACGGAGTTTTTTTATTGTTCTTATTCTAAGGTAGGTTTCTTTCTTAGTGTATTTTTGGTTTCTTTTTCTTTGTTTATTTACTATTGCAACCTGTTGGAGTTGACTAAGCAACAAATGTAAATCTTTATAATTTAAATTGTATTAGGGGCCTATTCGTACACAAGTCCTAAATGAAGTTGTCTTACCAATTTATATATTTTTTTCTGCATGTTTATTCTGAAATAAGTGAGAATTTATGTGGGTGCCAAAACAATAAAAAAAATTACAAGTTAGAATTTGACTAACTTGTAGTTATCGATTTAGTTCCATACAATAGTTGAAAAAACTAAGCTGTACCCATCACTAGCTTCAGACTTGGCCGGGGTGTCCGTAGCCTAGGAAACGGGTGTAGCTACGAGACAACAACATTGATAAGTCATTTCTTATCGTGTTACATAAAAATTGGCAAACTCTACCTTGCTACATATAAAATTAGTAAAAGGGAAAACTTATTACCACTGAACTAATTGTTTTGCGGGGAAACAAAAATGATTTTGACAGTTCGAGTTATGGATGGCAGGTAGGTTTCACGTAATTTTCGAATAATTAATTACATCAATGTCATGAAAGTATGCACTGATAATGCACAGTCAACATTTAAATCATAAAATGTTTTGCAATCGTTACGCGTCCTACTCCAAGAGAGGATTGTTAGGAATGAGCTCCCCCACAATCCCGGGTGCGTATCAATTTTATCATAGTAATCGGAACGGGAGGGAGAAGTTGGCGGCGCCTGGTACGACACGTCCCACGATCGTTTTCACCTGCGGAATAATATTTCGGGATACTTATTTACTATTTTATATACAAGGGGAACAGTAAATACTCACACCTAGACATGAAAAACAAATTCCGCGAAAACAGGGATGCAAGAAAGAATTTCTTAACTTGAAAATACAAACCTAAATTATTTTTAATCATTTAAATTAGAAAAGAATCGTTTTCTTTTCTAATTTAAATGATTAAAAATAATTATTTCTGAAAAGTCCTAATATTTTATCTACATATTTTATCTCAAAAAGATTATAAATATGTTTTTTCACTGCTAAAACAATAAAACTTGATAACAAAAATGTTCAAATAAATTTTTCAAAGCATTACAGATTATAGGTTACACAGAAGCTTATTGCACAATGTAAAATGACTATGTTATTTATATACCTACACAGTAGAATAATTACATAAACAGTAGAAACTTACACTCATGCATTACCAATAGTGGCACATGGCAGGTGGTGTCACTCAACCGTAACAAGGCACCTGCAACCACCCCTCTCTGACCCTATGATAAAATTACACTCACACATTCTCCACGGGCCAACACCATAATACATTAAAAACAAATTCACAGAAACAATAGCCAACATGTCTGACAAATCAGTTACTACAGAGATACTGTTGTTTAATCAATACTTGATGTCATGTGTACCAGTGTAAATTCAGAATAATGTGTAACTGTTGTGTTGAAGTGATATTTTCCAGTTAAAAATATTTCTAATTCAAAATGTCGGAGATGGGGTTCGAGAATGTGTTTTATTTAGAGAGTGAGTGTTATTGTATAGATGTTTATTGAGAGTGAAGGTGCGGAGGGATGGATGAGGTGTTGCCAGGTAACGGTCCCATGGATACTCTCCGCCCCTGATCCCGGCAGATCAATAACATCTCTATCACCTGGGATAGTGTTATGCAACATCTGAGATGAATAATTCTGTTTGTGTATTAAAAAAAATATTAATGAAGTAATTAAATGAATAATCTTAGTCAAATAATTAAAAGAATAAGACATGACAATTTTTACATAACTTTCTTCATGTTTATTATGTTCATGTTGTACTTATTCTTTGTCTTATGAATTGAAAATTGTGAAGTCTGATTGGTGCTTTTAGATGATTCTAGAACATTAATCATTTCTCTTTATTTATTCTCTCTTTATTAGTAATATACAACTTCACAAATTCAGCCTAAAACTTAACATATGTGTCTATGTATGTATGTATGTATATTTTATTTACCTATACATTTATTTCTTAACTAAAAATGTATTACTTTTAATACAACATGTAACAATTATTCTCAACGGAGTATTTAATTGCAAAAACTTATGCAAGGGGTGAGCCACCCCACTTTGAAATGTTACTAATTACTTGGCAGGTATTGCTTTCAATATAGTTACATGATTGTAATGCTAGTCGAGCAATGCACTTTATATACATCGTACCTTATATACATTTTTTTTTAAATTTGCTATGTAACATTGTTTTTTATTTTTCTTTTGCTGTTATTATAATGATATGTTAAGAGTTTTGACTTGTTTAATATTTTTTCGTCCATTAATACTACATAGTACTTAGTGCTAAAGGAAATAATTTAGTAAAATACATAACATATCACCTTCAGATTTTGAGTGCGCCGGAGACGAAGTGTTAGTTGAATCTTCGCCGCCTGCCTCACCTGATATGGCAGCGAGGCTCGCGACCCAAGCCCAGGTATGTATGCATATTTTCAAAATAATTTTAGGTTTATACTTATCTGTGAATATACATGGGGGAGGCACACTTCGACGAATGGGCCAGCTCGACCAAAGTGACACCACGGCCTCATAGGCTACTTACGCGATTCTTTAGTAGCTTTTAACCGAATGTGTCAGGTAATCTGAGCCCCCACGCCTACCCCTAATATAGGGGGGCGCACACAGAGGACGACAACGCATTCGAGTCTCTTAAGATGCAGGTGTTTACGGCTGTTGGGAGTCACTTATCATCAGGTTTTACAATACCTACATACTGTAACTGTGATATAGATTTCGCTTTGAAATTAAACTATTACATCACAGTAATCACTAGGAAACTGAGCCAATAATTAAAAAAAAATGTAAAAGAAAAGAAAATCGAAATATTTTTTTTTATTAACAAAGTTATAAGAAAATAAAGAAGGTCACTTCTTAATTTTCCATAGGTATAGGTAATTTGCGAAATTTAGAACTTATATTTAAATTTAATTATCATAGGAGAGTATACAGTCTTACACTGTATACTCTCTCTTTATAAACATAAAATTTGAAATACAGTTGAGTATTTTTAGAAAAAAATCATTAATAGTTTCGTCAATTTATTGAAAGGTTAAAGGTCAAGGTTAGACAGATAATTATAGGTATATTTAATTAATAAATTAAATCCTTGGATATAAATCTTAAAAAAACTAACATTGTCTTACTGAAATAGTAGTCACTTGTGATTCTAGGAATCTGTTACTCTTTTGAATTTCGGCTAAAATTAAACCTATTTACTTTACATGCATTTTAAAATAATTATATTCGTGTTATTTGAAAAAGAACTACATGACATATGCGGCGATTTATTACGAGACGCTGGTGACTGCTAATACTTTCGTTAACGTATTAAAATGATTTTTGCTTGTAAAGGGCGTAGTAGCAGCCGGTAGCACCTCGCCCCCTACAGTGCGTGAGCTCATAGTCATTCCGGAGCTACCTGATTCTATACATTTGCAGCACGCTATGCAACAGGTAAACGATTAATAAAACATAATATTCATAGTTATAAGCTTTTCGGTTAGAGGGCTTAGACAGTCCAATAACAGCCAGTTCTACACTGCATCCTTTGGAAGAATCAATATCTCTTCTCACCTTCCTTTACTTCCAATATACTTATAATTTCTTAATTGGTTACCCGAAGTGCCCAGTTAAAGGCAATGGCTTGGCCCCGTTTACGTAATTGGAAAAAAATATTGAGAGAGAGTGTAATGTAAAAATGTATCTATGTATGTAAGTGGAGGGGAGGGGAGAGGAGGGGGTATCTAGGTTGATAATTATCAATAAGAACAACATATAGTTGTGGATGGAGAAGTAACTCTAGCCTCAAAACCTCTTTTCTAAGGAGATGCCTGTGTCAAGCAGTGGACTAGTAAAGGCTGTTGATGATGATGATGAAGTAACTCTAGCAACTGAGGACCTTAGAACTTGTTGTAGTTATATTCGTAATAAAAAAAGTATCATGAACTTTAATGCGCTTAAATCATGATAATTTGTAATAAGCTGAATTCTTTAGCCCTTCAATATACGTTTAGATAAGGTGGAGAGAGGTGGTTATTAGGAATGGCTTAATTTGGTGGGCGGAGATCTGAAAGCCAATTACCGTAATAAAAGTTCGGGTAATCCTCAATATCTTCGCTACTTGCGAGCAGATTTCAATCATTATGTTTTTTATGGAATTTGTTGCACTCAAGGTTGGTTATTTTAAAACTGACAAAAATATCAGGCTAGGGAGATTTCAGAAGGCCAATTTTCCTAATAAAAGTTCGGTCTCAAGTAATAAAGGTATTTTCGTAGTAAAATAGTAAAGTATTACTAAGATTAGCCGCATACCGATTCAATTTATCAAACAAGACGATATAATCACATCACAGTCAACTTGAATTTTTATTACTTTACTACGAAAATACCATTACTTTTCTTTTAGATTTTACATACATAAAATATAATTATGTCTAGAATCTGTTAAAAGTCCACCATACCACCAGTACCACCACCATATACCTGGTTCCCCGGCTATTAGTACCCGGCGAAGGCGTGCGGTTTTAGTCGGTTCGAGTCCGACATGCCACCGATAGGTGGTATCCGAGGGGACTTCCGCACGGGAAAAAAAAAAAAAAAGTACCACCACCATGAAAGGTATTCTGTTATAAATTGTAATTTTTTGCGCCACTCTCTGCAGGTAACAAGTACCGTGGTGGAGGTGAACGGAGACAGTTCAGGTCACTCCAGTCCAACTGCAGAAGGCCAGCACACCTACATCACTGTGACCAGTGAGACACTTGGTAAGTACATAAAAACTATACATTTTTTACACTTAATATAGTTATTATATATTTAGACTACACGACTTGCTGTTTTATTTAGATTAAACGTGCACGCTATTGTTAAGTCGGTTACAAGAAAAAGTGTGGTGTAAGAAGGCAATTCGTATAGGTAAATTTCAAATATATTTAAATGACTACTAGAATTTTACATTTATCATAGAATCTATCTTGACAATGTATAGTATCGGCCGTTCCGATTTTCAAGAATAATTCGTTTGACATTTCCAGAATCTGACATTTGTCTGAGAGAGATAAAAAACTTCTACAGTACAGTATGTAAATGACAAGAAAACCTCCAAGTCCAACGAAATAGGCTGTTTGTGGGGATTGTAAAATAGGGTGGGGGATTTAGGTTCAGGATTGAGTTAAAAACAAAACGGTTTCCTATTTTTAGTTCTTTCAGTCACAATAATGCGAGCCATCCACCACATAGAATCTGTTTTTAAGAACATGAAATTATAACGAATTAATGCAGCGTTATTTTAAGTTTCATTCGAATAAACATTTGAATTATATTTTTGTGAGGGTTGATGTCATTTGAAACAAACCAATTAAACTCTAGACTACTCTGAAACCTTTTCGCATTGGTTATCCTGTACCTGTTACAGAAAGAATTTATCCATTACTAGCTGACTCGCGCAACTTCGTCTGCGTCTCTCAATAGTACTAAATTTTCTCCGTTTTTGAAACATTCTTCATTGGTGCTCCGCTCCTATTGGTCTTAGCGTGATGATATATAGCCTATAGCCTTCCTCGATAAATGGGCTATCTAACACTGAAAGAATTTTTTAAATCGGACCAGTAGTTCCTAAGATTAGCGCGTTCAAACAAACAAACAAACAAACTCTTCAGCTTTATAATATTAGTATAGATAGGTTTTTTGAGACTCGTTCTATACATACGTTAGATTAAATTATGAAAGGTTCTATAGATTAAAAAAAAAACGTGACGATTAGTCGCCTGTACGTACATAAAGAACGTAGTATGTTATCAGAAACCTGAATATTTTATTTTAAAATTGCTTATTATTAAATAGTTTACATTAAACTCCTACAGCCTGTAGCTTGCTCGAAAGATAGTATTAAAAGCATGGACGGGCCTGTTGGTCTAGTGGTTAGTGACCAGGATCACCAAAGGTCGTGGGTCCGATTCCCAGCCAGGACAAATAATTGTGTGATGAGCCCTAGCATTTGTTTTGTTACTGGGTGTGTAATGTATCTACAATTTGTACGTATTTAGAAATAAATATGTTTATCAGTAGTCTGGTTACCATAGTACAGGATCTGCCTGGTTTGGGATCAGATTGTCGTGTGTGAGATGTGTGAAGATTATTATTGAAAATTTTGGTTTGTGTTTTTAATTTTCTTTTTTTGTTTTTTTTTTTTGTATGTCTAGTCTAGTCTAGTCCTAGTAAAGCATGTGTATTTCTCGCACATATTTTGTTTCTAAGCACTTTTTTTATTTGTGTATTTATTTGGCGCCGACGTGTAGTGCAAGACACTTGGAGCCAAGCAGTCATTCCACAGGTGCAGCTTGAGGAGATAAGTGATTACGAAAGCAAGTTTATTTTTATTTTTATACTGCTTTTATATATTTTTATATTAACAGGAGATATCGCCGATGCCAACGTAACTCAGAGGTGTTTGCTTAATCATCTGCATTTGTATTGCTTACGTAACTTGCTTCGTGTTCCGTGATAGGTATTTTTAATGGTCATGGTATGGTTATGGTTATAATAAGAATACGGAATGTCATGCCCCCTATTCATCCCGTGGGTGTTGTAAGAGCAGGCTACAGCACTGCAAAGAGAAGGAATACTTGAAAAAACCCTATACCAACCCGTCTGGCCTGGTAAAATAGGCCAAAATCTCCTTTCTAAGGAGAGGCCTATGTCCAGCAGTGGACTATTAAAGGCTATTGATGATGATGAATGGTTATGAAGAAGGCGTGGCTATAGAGAATAAAAATGCTTCTGACGTAATAAAATTCCGTTATAAAGTTGGTTACATAGGTGGGCTGAAATGAAATTGAAATTGACATTTGACTGAAGTGGAATGTAATACTATTTAACAACGCCTATACATATTCCATGTGAGCGGTTATTTTTGTCTGATCTTTAATCTCTCATGAACTCTTTAAAGAAGAGAATTGGTTTTTATATACCTACCCATTACTTTCGAGTCCTTCAAACTACTTTGGCAATGAAATATAGTTGATTTATATAAAAAAATATGTGAAAAGGTTTCCCTGCTGAAGGTGCATTTGCATGTTCTGCAACCAATCCATGGAACGACTTATCGTCTGCGGTATTGCCGGACTGATACGACCTTCAAGAAAAGAGCGTATTCCTTGCTAAAAGGTCGGCAACGCGTTTGTGACTCCTGAGTTGCAGACGTTCATGGGCGGCGATCGTCACTTTCCATCAGGTGATCCGTCTGCTCGTCTTACATAAAAAAAATGTACTTCTAAACTGCTTCTTATAACTTCATGTCAATTTGTAGGCTTTGGTTTTTATGGTTGAATTTTACAAAGAGAATCCCGCCAATTTCAGCAACATTGTTAGCGTAAAATACATTGAGCTTTAATCAACTTCCTTTAAAATGTATATTAGCTCTGTCAAATTTAAGTTCAATTTGTCAATTGCCAAATTATTATTTTTTATAGTCAAAGTCACTAATTTTCCTATAAAAGTAATATCCTTATGTGGCTATACTTGTCCTGGGACACAAACATAGTTGGCTTAGCTTGTGCATGTCAAAGCACAGCCTGTACTGTAGCTTGTGCATAGCATGTACCGTAGGTCCTAGAACATAAGGTACAAAATACCATAAAAAGTATTGTTTGCCAAGATTTGCAAGAAGTTCAGGATTCCACAAAAACGAGTTGTAATATCTCTGAACTCTAATTTGTAGAATTGGTATTGCCACTAGTGAAACACTGCCGCCTTGGTCAAGAAGAAACTCACAGCATCTTCTTCCTCTAGAACAGTAGAAAATTAAATGTTACCCCACAAGCAATTTATATGCCTAAACATGTCAAGGAAGATATATACTTTCAATAATAAATAAAAACATGTTTGCAAAATGCAAAACTGTACTAGATTATTTCAACAGGATCTGACATCTACCAAATATTGTCCCTACAGAAAACTTATTGGAATCTGTTAAAGTTACTTATGTTTTGAAGCGGCTAGGGTCTGACCAGGTTGTCGGAGACTTCCTTCTTAAGGTATACCCTAGTTCTTTCTTATAGACCCAAATCTGGTGAACACCGCGTGGTTATGTCGGTTTGAGTCTTGTGAGTCTTGTAGACCATTTCCATGGTGATGTGATAACACGTGTTGGTCCTACGTGATATTTATTTGATACTGAAAACGGAAACACTGTTCGCATTTTAAGAACTCAGAAATGAGTTAAATATATGTATACCTTAATATTTAATCTCATACAGAAGCTCACGATACTTTGTCAATATAAAACTCTTATTCATTCAACTATTGTTGGAAATAAATCCAAAAATATATCCCTTCGTTTCCACTTCACTTATTAAAGTGGTTCATAACAAGAAACCTTTGATGGACAACAAACAGAGTGATTATCTATCACCCTCTGACATCAGAGAACTGATTATCTCTACCTGTCAACATTGTCCTCCATTATATTCACCCTACTTTGTGATTCGTAATTCTACCTGATTCTAACTCAATCTTGAACTCTATACCCTTAACATAAATGCTCACTAATTTAAGTTGCGGAAGGGTATGGTGCGTGCGGGTGCGCAAAATATTGTATGAAATTTTAGTTAGGCTTCGTTCTTGAAAAATATGAATTGTAAAATAATAAAAAAGCGTATACCTCAAAGGCCGGAAACGCACACACTTGAATGTTGAGTTACAGAGAGTTGGTGGTCATGGGCGGCGGTAGTCACTTTCCATCAGGTAACCAGTCTGCCCCCTCTGTATCATAAAAATTAATACTGTATGAAAATTTATTATTATTATTTGTTATGACGTTTTGATGTTGTTAAAAGCAAGGTAAAAAACTCACAGCCACATTTAAAATACTAGTTAGTATTTGAATGTTTGAATATTTATCATAACAAAAAAAAAGTTGCTAGTATATTTTTATATTCTCATATTACCAATCAGTGAATTAATTGCAACTCCAATTTGGCCACGCTACCGGACTTAAGTCTCTAATAAAGCATAATTGGGCCTGCCCTTGCGTATTATCTACCTGAACGATTATTATCAATGGGTGCACATGCAGTTAGGGATCATCCCTATTATATCTGTACACCTGCTTGGTTACCTTTGACGTGACGCGTGCCAAACGTCGCGACGCTCATATACAAAGCGCGTATGTACCGGGTGCTTTGCTCTTATGTACATTTTTTGTATTTATATACTCTGTATATGTCTGTCTGGATGGTTCGAGGGCTCGTACGCAGTTTATTGGACTTTATTGCTTCTGACTCGGATTTTGTAGGACTTTTTTAAATTGTTCGCTCACATGGAACACGGTTTTATAACTTGTAGGAAGCTTGAGATACTTGATTCAGGGTTGATAAATCTGTGGTTGTTGCTTTTATCCTTTTTAATTTTTTTTAGACGTTTATAATGGTTTTTTTATTTAAGAAGAAAATATTGCGCCTGGGGCAAGTATGGACTTTAGCATCTGCTGATGGGGTCGCGTTTAAAACCGAAACCTAACAGAGCTTAGTTTTTAACAAAAACTCATTCTGATATAATTAGTCTATTATCGCAATACTAATCATAACTACTCCAAGCCTTAGTTTTCTCTGTAGCACCAGTGTTAACCATTTCTTACTAAAAATGTGTATTAAATTAGCTATCAATTGTTTTAATTGGTGTTGTTTTTTTATTATATAAGACGCTATTCTATATTAATAAAAATTGGTTTGTGTACGCTTAAAAAACTTAAAAAGTTCTGCACCGATTAATATATATATATATATATATATGTATATATGAAAGAGGGATTAAGCGCTGTGGCCGATGACGGCCTATAAAAATAACAAAACACCATTCATTTTCTTAATTCTTAATTCAATGTACTTTATTAACTTATCTGACATATTTACAATAAAAATGAGAAAAAAAAACCTAGGGAGGGTCACCCTTACTACCTAGCTATAAAAATAGCTTAAGATATATTCTCAGACCTACTGTGACACGAGATTTAATAAATATTAGACACTCCGGTTTTACTGCTTAATTACAAATCTGAATTTTTTGTTCTTCAGTAATAATATTCCCGTACTTAATAGGTTTAGATTTAATAAGAATCTTTTTATAAAAATGTTATTCATTGGACAGCACACTGATAAAAATATAGGATATAATCGTCTAAGTACTTTATGAACCGATTTTCAGTTAATAATGACCTTTGGACCTTAAATAATTAGCTAAGCAAGTGTCAACCATAACAGCTCTAATATTGTTTATTTATAAGATCAACCTACCGAATATCATATTTCAGTAAAATCAAACGAAAGCTCGCAATTATATGGCTAACGTCTATATTACATCGTTAAGCTCAGGTGGGGTGAGGTGGAACGGGAGCGGGACGGTTATATGCGTTAGAGTGAGACGGGAGTCTGTGAGGCTGGTAATCGGGATGTTGTTCTGGGAAGTGTAGGTCCAGAGGCGAGTTGCCTGGGAGATCTCTAGCGGCATGGAGGTGCCCCGGTACCGTACGTTTTACCCCTGTGAGTACCTACCTTCTTGTCTAACCTTTGTGTTGCTGGTATTCGAAGGGGGCGGTCCATTCATCCTCTTGCTTAGCTACTAACGTATTAAAATATTTTTTAACATTTTGGGGTAAATTGTGGCGTATATAACGCTGTTATTTTTTAATAAATGTGAATGTTAATTGTTCTAATGTGAATTGTTTTTGTTCTTCAGGCGAAGGCAGCAACGGCCCTAACTATCATATGCAGTATGTTACGGAGCCTCAAGAGATTTACACGCAAGGTCACCAAACCCACATGTAAGTCTGTTTTTTATTTAATACGGCTGACATTATATTCAGACCACAAATAATTTAACACTTTATCTTAATTGTTAAAATTTAAATAATACATTAGATCTCATCCCTTTTTTTCGCTTAAGAAAATACATTATAATAATGCAATTAGGTATTGTGACAGAAATCTTCCTAACCTTGTGACGACAGTAAGTATTAGGTACCTATAAAATTGTTTTGTCTGTAAAATAATATTTCGGATACTATCACTTAAAAGAAATATGAATATATCATGGTTGCTTAGATATTTTTTAAATGTAGGTATAGGAATTTATTAAATTTATTATAACTCTTAACATTTTAATTAAGTAAATATATTCTCATGCCTGAATAATTTTCCGTAATGTAATCCAATGCCCGCAATTCACTTCAAACTAGAATAATTGTTTTTACATCTAAAATATATACTATATTTTTAAATGTCTATAATATGTATGTATTTCATCGTCAACAGGCTTTAATAGTCCACTGTTGGACATAGGCCTCTCCTTAAAAAGAAGGTATTTAGAAATATAGCAAAAATATATTAATATTGCCCCCTATTCCGTTTTAGGCATTGATTGTTTAGACACTCACTCGGAGGCTATAAATAAATTATTACGTAACTAGGACTACAATTAGAGTAGTCGGCGAAATGTGAACGTTTACTACACCTATGTCTACCCCTTTCGGGGATAAGGTTGTTAATGTATGTATGTATTTTCAACATTTCGTATTGTTCGTGCAGGGAGACTCTTCGCTCGTACCCTGTGTACGGAGTGGCGACGGTAGGCGACGGCGCGACGGCTGAAGGTACTTCGGCCGACAGCGGCTGGGGCGGGGCCTCCTCCGCGGACTACACGGCGTATGGCGTCGTTGTGAGTACCTTTTTTTATATAATTTCACAGGTTACTAAGAAATATAAATTTTGCAAGCTGTCCTTCAGTTTCTTACGACACCATTTTGAACAAAAGAGTTTGAACATTTCTGTTTTGTTCCCTGTTAACTTATTTACGATCATACCCGCTTTGAATTTAGTGTTATTTTTTAATTACTAGCAAAATAATTAGTATACGGTACATAATTTAAACTAAAGTTTTAAAGTAAATATCAGAGATATTCCAATACTGAAATATTCTTTGTAATATGAGATTTAAATAAAACATAGAAAAACGATTTCTCCTAGTAATATTCTGTCTATTTGAAAGAAACTAGATGCTAATCCATTCAGACGTGCGTTAAAAACAAATTCAAAAAACTTACAAACAAGCAGACAGACTGTATCTAAAAACACTGATTGGTGTTAATGTACGAGTTTTATCTTTTATTAATATGTACAAATAAAATAATGTCAGAAAAATGTCATCTCCGCTTATATTAGTTGACACATTATTGGCAACACCGTTTAATCATACAAAATAACGCAATTAATTACATTGCTCCTTAAATAAAACTAAGTAAAACATTAAAAATAATAGGTCTTTACCTATGAAATTGCCGTTTTGTATGCAATAAGTGCTGCTCCTTCACGACAACGCGCGACCCCATACTGCGCAACAGACAGTCTCCAAGCTGCAAGAGCTGGGGTTGGAAGCTCTCCCTCATCCGCCATACTCACCAGACCTTGCACCTACCGACTATTACTTGTTCCAAAATTTAGACAACTTTTTAGTAGGTAAAAAATTCAATTCCCGAGAGGCAGTACAAAATGCCTTTGAAGAGTTTGTTGTCTTCCGTCCAGCTGATTTTTACAAGAAGGGCATCAATAAACTGCCAATGCGTTGGCAAAAATGCGTCGATTGCATGGGTGATTACTTCGAATAACAGAAATAAAAAAGTTTGAAAAAATAAGTACTTTCACTTATTGCATACAAAACGGCAATTTCATAGGTAAAGACCTAATTCTTACAAGGCATCCAGATATTTACTTTATTATTCCCTGTCATGAAGGTAAAAAATATGTTCAAATTTGGATATTAGGATTTTTATATTTTTTAAAGTACAAAGCGTTTAAAATAACCATACCTGACACAATTATTGAAGTATATAACAAAAGAGATACAATATACATGTTAATATATATAAGTATATATATGATACATGTGACATTTTATTAACAATAACGAGCTAATTTATATTCGACATTTCAACCATTCATTTTTATTATATAAAAAAAAAAACAAGTAGTTTTTAACTCGGGTTCCAAACGACATTATTATATTTTAGTTTGTAGTAGATGTATGTATTATAAATTATTTTAAATGAGGTTTTAATAGGCACCTTAAAGGCCGGTAACGCGCCTGTGACTCCTTAGTCGCAGGCGTTTATTGGTAGCGGTAGTCACTTTCCATCAGATGACCCGTTTGACCCTATATCATAAAAAAACCTTTAATATGTGTTCGTTTTTTTTTTTATTATTCTGTGATTGTTTTTGTACTCACATCCTCGAGCGGTGTCTTTTTATTTAAGCAAGGTATGTTTGAGTTTCGAGCATGGGTAAGAGTAATAGCTTTATATTTAAAATTATTGTAATCAAAAATATATAAAAAAAACATCTCAAAAATATCTATGTCACGCTATAATAATACACTTTCCTAGAATACTGGGATAGAAAACAAACATTAAACATTAAAAGAGCATTTGGTAATTAAATTAATCATGATAAGGGTAGGTCTCAGAGCACTACCTTGGCCCATGCCTAAATGTGTCTAGAATTCTCAAGCTCACTAAATACTCAGTTTGTAAAGGTAGAAGCAACTCGCTTCTGCTTTTACAAACTGAAAGTCTTTAAGTTAACTTGCCATTAATTTTAAAAGATATAGGAAGCATCCAACAGATTCCTTAGCTTTATAAGTAGGATGACGTTGTTAACAAGATCGAACGCTTTACTGAAATCGAAATACGCTGTATCTACTGGGCCATCCTCAAAGTTACATATTGAGTAAATTGTGTGGTTAGTTCAAGTGGAGCAGGCAGTCTAAACAGTTATTATTATTTTTAATTTAGAAAGGAAAGATGTATTTATAAAAATATAAATAAAATATAAGAAAAAAATCAGAAATCTAATTACAGTAGCACAGACGCCGCCTAATTTGGGACTAGACGGCCGTACTGATTAAATATAGAAGGTGCCAAGAAGAGCAGCACACCAGAACTATGCGCTATTCCACTGAATTTAAGAGTTCTAGAAATGTTTAGAAAAAAATCGAGTTGATAATTTATTAACCGCTTAGTTAACTTGTCTTTCTGAACCAAATAGATTATTTTTTTAGCATTCGCTGTATTAGAAAGTGCCGATGGATGGTGCGGATGAGAACTAGTGATATTTGCATAGCCCTATCCTAATTATTATTTCAAGGAAAACATCGTTTTTCTTGATGGAATGATTCGTTTTGCACCGCGTTAGTTAACAAATTTATAGTAAAATTATACCCATACAGGTAACTCACTACAGGTAGCAAAGTCGCACAGAATGATCTTCATTGGCTTATTTTCAATAATTGTTAAAAGCCAATTGTATTTAAACGTAGTGGCCGAATCATAATGAGCATGCCGTGGGCTCTAAAAGTGATTGCAAATCAAAATCAAGCGTATTATAAAGATGAAATAAATGACTACTTCAGCCCTGATGTAGTCAGAAACGTTTCTTTAAATCCCCGTTTTCCTCATGGACGATGGATAGTTGTGTCATCGAAGAATGTGTTCCTAATGACACAGCTATGCACCACTAAGCACAACGGATTTACTATAACCATTCCTTTAAGCAAAACTACAGGAGGAAATAAATAGGATTATTACTAACCTCTTCAGATATTGATAATTATGTATATTATTGATTATTGTGTATTATTGATATCAAATGCTTACGATAACCATAACGATGAATCTTTGTACACCGATTATAATTAGTTGTGTATCTGCCAATGGGAATAATTTAAAAAAATATTCCTCATGACACAACTAGTTGTGCATTACCCTTGGCCTTGACTTATATAGAAGCGCAAAGACGGCACACCGTATGGTTTTGGTCGGTTCGAGTCCGACACACCGCCCATCGGTGACGGTCCGAGGGGGTTTCCACACGTTAAAAAAAAATAAGGAGTTGTTTGACTTATATGCTACAAAGTAACTTTTAATATTAGTAAGTAATGATTAACATTAATGATTCCGTGTGGTGACGGATTAAGAATACAGAGTGTCACCAACCCTATTCATCCCGTGGGTGTCGTAAGAGCCGACTAAGGGAAAAAACTACGCAGGACAACAGCACTGCAGAGAGAAGGAAAACTTGACACAAACCCTATACCAACCCGACTGGCCAGCGTGGTATAGTAGGCCAAAACCTCCTTTCTAAGGAGAGGCTTATGTCCAGCAGTGGCCTATTAAAGGCTGTTGATGATGATGATGAATGATTAACATGTCTCTCAGAAGCTGAAAGTCCCATGTCACTATTGAAAAAGTGACACGGTTCCGGAATAATCCGAAACAAAACATTTTATTTAGGAAAATTTTTTACTTTCGGACAAGATTTCTTGTACTGTTTTGATCGTCCATCTAGTAATTGATCGTCCATCTAGTAATTTATAGCTCAATACACAATCATTCGACTTTAGAAAGATTAAAAAAAGAAAGCTTTGAAATTCCAATGGATAGCTTCAAATATCCGATTTGTATCCATAATTGGCCTACTTGTGTAATACTACCACAGCAATAGGGTCTGTCAAGTCAAATAGTTATCTTTTTAGTAATCATATCATATATGTTAATCGTTATCAACACGACAGACGCCGTACATTTTTGTTTGAAAACAATGGCGTGATGTCGAACCTAGCTATTGTCAAATCATTTATATTTACAATAATAATACACGACTGGTGTTATTCTGAAACACATATATCTTGAATACATATATGTTTGAAACTCCTTGATTTGAAACTCAATACCTACATGCTTCTTCAAAAAGCTGCTATATTAAACACGGTCAGAATCTTAAGAACGTTTTTGAAAATAGACGAACAATGACTATGACTAAAATACTACCAGCAAAAGCTGAGAAAGAACAAATTCGACATAGTAATAATAATAATATTTTCGGACATCTGACACACAAAGTTAAAGTTGATTTGAAGGTATAAAATCAATAAAAACATTAAATTGATAATGGAGGATAATTCAGATTCATCTTTATCAGAGGATGATGCAGGCAATAATTTATTTGAAACCTAGGAAACTATCCTATGTGGTTCCTTTTTCAGTTTAGTCCATTTTAGTATCACAAGTACATATTACAATCATTATCGTTACATTACTGAATCAAATCCAATTATATTTATTTGGTAAACGTGGTTAAGATGATAAATACAAAACATGGTCGTAATCAAAACATCTCTGAATACCTTGCCGGTTCGAAGGACCAGTAACGCCAATAATAAATCACCAAACGTACTTCGTAGATTCTTTACAAATTGTTAAAATATGTCGAAATATACACGTCGTTATATGTTTGGAAGAAAAGCCTTATAAAACGTGCAGTTATTTAAAAAAAGTCTTATGTACATCACTTTAATTCCGGCGTGACACTACAATAAAAAAAAACCTTATTATTATTAAAGCGAATTTCAAATTATGAAATCCTTAATTTTTTTTAAAAAAACCTACATTCAAAAAGGGGTTCTTACGACACTGTGCGTTTGTAGAGTAACAATGTGATTGATAGGTGGCCGCTGATGAGGCGGAAGCTCCCGCTTCTCCGGACACGCCCGCAGGCCCGCAAGTGCCGCGCATGCCGCCTGCCACTGTGCAGTGGCTGCTCGACAACTACGAGACTGCCGAAGGTGACGTATCATGTAACTATACACACATTACTATTTTAATATACGCAGCTTTTCCTTAGATTCGTACAGTGTTTATGTGCATTTTTTGGAGATTTTATGGAGTCTTGAGATCGTCACTTATTTAACAATCCGGCGCCCGACCAGCACCTACTCGCCTCGTGACGTTTAAAGTTTTATATATTAACTAGCTGACCCGGCAAACGTTGTATTGCAAAACAAAAAAAAATTAGGGATGGGTCACCCTTACCATTAAGGGGTATGAAAAATAGATGTTGGCCGATTCTCAGAACTACCCGATGTGCACACAAAATTTCATGAGAATCGGTCAAGCCGTTTCGGAGGAGTACGGGAACGAACATTGTGACACGAGAATGATAAAATAAAATAATAACCATTGATTACAATAATTGTAACCTCGGTGCTCCTACTTTCAAGATTTCTACACCTCCTAAAGGTTGGCTGGTAGAGAATGCTAAGGGCATTAAGGCCGCTGATGTACATAAGTGCCATAGAGATGTAAAAAAAAACTTAATGTGGACTTAACATCACGTTTACTCCGACTGAACCCCGGGCGTACAACTAATAAGCTTGCCTTTTTTTCCTCTTGTCTTATTTCGCTTTGAAAGCCCTTTCCTTGTTTGTTGTTAAAATAACATACAAAATAAAAAAAAACATGATTTGAAGTGATGAAGCTCGTTCACCGTTTACGTAATACGTTGATATGTGACGTTGATTCCGTGGGGGATCCTCCCGTTGAGTACGAGACGTATATTCGTCAGCCGTGCGACATAAATCCACTAGGGCAACGAGTGACTGGCGGTCCTGGTGGGGTGTCAAAGACCCAAGAAAATTTTAATTATTTTTGTATTGAAGAACTGCATGTATTGATGGCGTAGCAAAATAGCCTTGAAATTACTATTTTGTATTTTATTAGTTTTTCTTATATTATCTTGATTGATACAAATCAATTTATGAAATTAGATAAAGCATTTTATTTTTTATTTTATCGCAAAATATGCATGCACCGCAGTTATTGTATGTTCGTTTTTCTGGTAGACGAATGCAATGTAACCTTTGAAAAAGTAGTTTAATAATGAATAAATCTTTTATTATTACTTGGAACAAAATATATTTAAAGATGTGGGCTCAACACATGCCTTTGTGATACAGGCGTGTCTCTGCCTCGCTCGACTCTATACGCGCACTATCTGCGTCACTGCGCTACTCACCGCCTCGAGCCCGTCAATGCAGCTTCCTTTGGCAAGCTCATACGTTCAGTGTTCGTCGGGTTGAGGACCCGTCGTCTTGGCACCCGCGGGAACTCGAAGTACCACTACTATGGGATCAGAGCCAAGCCGGGCGTTGACCAAGATCATGACGTGAGGGAGGAAGCACAAGATCAACCTGAGAATGGTGATGATAAAGCAGATTTACCGGATCAGCAGGTAATTGTTTCTAAATTTTTGCGAATTTTTGTACATACTACGTCAATCATTGATTATTCAATTTCAAATCTTTCGAACATCGATTCCAGACGGCAGACTTACATTATTGCGATTAGGTCGCGATTTACAAATCTAACACTTATCTATTTAATCTTTAATGTATCACAGTCATCTATTTTGTTCTTTCGTCTGCTGAGCTGATAGTGTGATAATTCACAATGATTATTCAAACAGTACCGAACATGCTATCAGTGTTATACGTGGGGCATACTGAAAGTCTCAGGATTTGCCACTTACAATAAAAAAATGAAAAAACATTTAAGGAATTTTGAAAATGGAACTGAGAATTTGTTACTTTTTAATTTGCTAAACTGTCATTTGTTTTTTCATTGTGACGTCCTGTCGAAAATTGTGTGTCAAAATCAAAATGAATGTAACTCGTGAAGATTTTCATTCAATGATTTTTATGATTTTCGTTTTTGCTTAAGTCAACAAGAGAGTTGCCAGAGACTTCAATTGGCATTTAGTGATGAAGCACCATGCCGCAATTCTGTGTATTCGTAGTTTGGAGAATTTAGACGTAGACGTGATCATCTCCATGACGAGGTATGTGAAGGTCAGCCGGCGACTGCAGTTACATACTCTATTATTGACACCGTACGACAACTTATTGTAACTGTCAAAAAAATTACTTGATAGCAAATTTGTGCTTTGTTAGGCATTGAAATGAGCCAAGTGCAAAACATTTTAGATGTGCACCTGAAGGTTGGGAGGCTTTGCACTCGATGGATACCGCATAACTTAACGGAGGACCAGAAACGGCTACGTGTTTTTAAAAACGTTTAACGGAAGACAGTAATTGGCTGTCTATAATATCGTAACAGATGACGAAACCTTGGTGTACTGCTTTGAATCCAAAAGAAAAAGCCAGACGGCAAAGTGTGGGTCTTACCTTTTGAAGATTTGACGGCGAAAGTTAAGAAAAGCATTGGTAAAAAAATAGTTGCTTCTTTTTTCGGCAAATCAGGACTTACATTACACTACAGTATCGCTTGAAGATCAGAGGACAGTGACTGCAGATTGGTACGTTAACATTTGCTTGCCCAGAATCTTAGAAAAAGTTCGCGAAAAGCGTCCTCGAATCAATGTCCTCCTTCACCACGATAACGCATCCTCACATACCGCTAAGGTAACAGGAGCCTATTTGAAGGCTTCAAATGTGGAACCGATGACACTTCCGCCTTACAGCCTGGACCTCGTACCCCTCTAGTCTTATTTATCAGAATCCAGAAACTTTCAGTATGCCCTAAGTAGAACATTTTTAGTTTCCAGAAGTTTTATTACAGTTTTAGTACAGTCCACTTGAAGAAAATAGCCATTTGATCCTATCTCTGTCTCTCTCAATATTTCTTGAGAAAAATAAAATGAAATACAAGAATTAAAGCCTTGGATTTTAAGATTTCAAATAAGCTAAGTTATCACGATCATGTGTATCATTGTTTTCACATCATTTTGCAATTCATTTCTTCTTATTTGTCCAATATTTAAATGTTGTTCGAGATAAAAAAAAGGCATACTAAAGGGCTGTATATAATTTAATTATACTTTTCAAAGGAATAAAAGAAGACATTCAAAGGCAGTCGACTATATTAGCGTCGCTAGGCTTCGCTAGAGCTTCTAGTGCACCGAGTTATTTTTATTAATATAAACCGGCATGAAACACATAAGGTCTCAGTGTCAGAATGACTCGTATCTTTCGGTGACAGTGCTAGGTCAGTTATTCCTGGATTTGGACAGTCAATGCTATGTCATCCTATATGACAACATTATACAAGGTGTTACAGAAAAGTGTAGACATATTTAAGGGTCGTAAAAGAGACGCCGGGATAGTTAGCGCTCCTTGGCGAGACGATTTTAAAAATTAAACACAATGTTTGCAATTGATATGAAAGCTTGTTCTCATACGCGAGGTAAAGACTTTTTCATGTAGAATTTACAGCTATTTATAACCTACATTGCTTTTATATGTTCTACGTAATGTAACAGTATCGTATATAGTCTATTTCTTTTGTAGCTAATCCACTTGAAATCTTATATTCCATTAATATTACCAAGCCTTTCGTCTCTTTACGGCAACAGACTATGATATTTCTTTGATGAATGTATGTGGGTACTTATATATCGAAAGTTTCCCCCAACGTCTGGTAAATAGATTAGGGAGTTTAAATGTGTACAGCCTCGAAGTAAAATAAGGGTCCGGGCTCAGACGTTTAGGGTCGCTACGTCTGGGGACAAATCATGTACTATATTATATACATATCGTCCGTCTGGTAATAGTACCTATTTATACAGGTAATACTGTTTGATCAGTCTCACGGCCGCGTTCGGACGATTTAAGCGTTTTCAAGTGGTTAAGGGGAAAATACTTTTTTTAAATGTGATTTAAACAATATCGTGATTAAGGATGTACTCATTTATGGTATTCAATTAATTTTCTTTTACTCCCACGTTTTCGTTTAATTTATTCGCATCATCTCTGTGATTTTTGTGAATGATGAGAGTTTTTATTAAGGAGTGCATTAAAATTTAAGTGGATTGAATTGTACTTTTTGTCATCTTTAATTTATAAAAAGGCGGGTTAATTACACCATTTATAACTTATGAAAGACTAAACCAGTTTTGTGTAGTGTTTATGATATTTGCTTTTTTTTATTTTTCTCTGTTCCGAATATATGATGAATAATATAATGAAATGAACTATAAAAATAATTTAAAAAATCACGAAAAATAAACTATGAAGAAAGAATGATCTATTTGTTTTGATTTGTCATCTTGAAAAATGCTACTTTTTATTCTGGCCTATAAAGCCTGCTGTAGTTTGGCAGAGAATATAACTTATTTTTTAAATTTTCAAAATTAATTCTTCGCAAATCTTTAACTGACTATATCTACTGAAATAAAAAGGACTATTTGCGTTTAATAATAAATATTACCTTTACAATTTACCGCTCTGAACAATTCATTTTTACTTTCTTAAAAATGAGCCTAGGTTTCATTCAAGTCTGTAACTTAAAGATTCTACTTTGAGTGAGACGGAGAGAGTTATACACTTGGAATCCCAGTGGCCCATGCCAGGCTCGACCGAAACCACGGCCTCACAGAAAATCGGTGTTAAGCAGTTCTTTCGTTGCTTTCACCGAGTGAGTTAGGATACTGGAGACTCATGAGTTGCAGGTGTCCATCAAATTCAAATTCAAATTCAAATTATTTATTTCGGTGGCCATTTACCATCAGGTGACCTAGTACTTTTTTTCAGTACAGTCAGGCACAGTTAAGTTCTTAAGCAAAATGTTGACACAAAAAATAAAAATAATATTTCGGACATCTGACACACAACGCCATCTAGTACATACATTAAGCTAAACTAGATTGAGTAATAAAATACCTAAAACTTTTTTTATGTAAATACATACATATTATACATAGAAAACAACCAAACTCAGAAACGAATATTTGCAAATCATCAAATATTTGGTCCGACCCGGGAGTTGAACCCGAGACCTCAGTACAGCAGAGTGAAAATGAATGGTCGGAGTACAAAAGTGTTTGAAAAAACATAGTCAAACAACTTTCTCGTTGTGAAAATATGTAAAAGTAAAAAAAAACTTTATTTAACTCGTTGAAAATCTTACTTTCTCAATCAGATCAGAATACAATCTATGTTTTGAGACTGATTGAATTAACATCTAATAACTTGTGTTTACAAAATACATTAAATTAGCTTTTATATAAAAGACTGAAATTGTCAGTTTCGATGGTTATTATCTTGCCGATATTTGAAAAAAATTAAATGTTATCTTTTCATCAAGGAGGGTAGACCTCGTGAACGTACCCGGGCCACAAGCCCTACGGCGAATCAACATCGGCAGTACTTGGGAGCCGTTTCTCCGCCTGAACCACCACCGCTGTCCATCGTGGACCTTCCCGAGGACGTGCCGCACGAAGCTTTAGAAGCTTTGAGGAGGCATCATAGGTATTGTAGTTAAATCATTAGGTATATATTTATTTTTGTTCTTTTCTACTGAATGGTTAGGTTTATGCAGATTTAAAAAAAAAACATAAATGCTTCTACGATGTAAAGTCTGTACAAAAAGCTGCATGAGCAAATCCAGATGCAAACGTCCTGAGCAATTATTGCCCTATTCAACTGTTTTTTTTTTGTTTTTTTATTATAATCTTTTATTAGTTGACTTTACTGGTAAGAGAAAGTGGTCCTTCGAGCCGTAACCGCATATTTTCTTGATTGGTTTCTTATTTTATACAATTACGAAGCAACTAACGTGTTTTTATTTTAAATAGAAGTCGATCGCACCGAGTCGGCGACTTTTCTAAAAGTTTGTATTGTAAGGTATCGTTTTTTCGATTCTATCGAAAGTACTATGATATCGATGAGCACCTCGATCATCGATATCGATTAATTTAATCATCTCAATATAACTAAAATAACTGATGAAATCGATAAAGGTTATGAAACCAAAATAGGATAGTTTTGGGTTCTCACCTGCCGAAGTGACACGTATTGATACTAGAGTGTGGCATGATCAGGGAGCACGGGGCGGAGTTCCTGGAGGCGGTGGCGGCGCTGGACATCTGCGCCGTGGAGCGCGCTCGCCGCGCCTTCTGGCGCCGGCCGCCGCCCTCGCTGTGCCGCCGCATGCTGTGCCGCCTGGCCGCGCGCCGCGACGTGGCCGCCTGGCTGCGCCTGGCCGAGCTGCAGCTCTACCAGCGCGCCGTCGAGCTGCTGCTGCCCGACGTGCTGCGCCCCATCCCGCCGCAGCTCACGCAGGTAACACACCGTCGGTAGTGGATCGTCTCACTATACGGTCGGTATCCCTGAGCCGGCACCACCGTTAGCTGTATTGTTGCAGTCGATCCGCAACTTTGCGAAGAGTCTGGAGGGAGCGCTGGCGGCGGGCGCGGGGGGCGCGCCGGGCGTGGCTGCGCGTGCGCAGGGCGCGGCCGCGGCGGCGCTGGCGGCGGCGCTGCGCCGCTACACGTCGCTCAACCACCTCGCGCAGGCCGCGCGCGCCGTGCTCACCAACCACCACCAGATACATCAGGTACTGTTCTATTCCCCTGTACATTCACTCTAATGCCAAACAACAAAATTCTTTCGTTTCTAGAAACGGAAAGTATGTACGTGATATTGATTAAACAAAAGTTATCGTTACATAAATTGCCAAATAAATTTTACAAAAATTTGACAACCATTACCAGATTTTTAGTAAAACATGAAAGTATATCATACGGAAACAAATTCAAGTCAAATTAATAAAATATTTCTTTGTGGTGTCAGATGTTAGCAGATCTGAACCGCGTGGACTTCCGCGTGGTGCGCGAACAAGCCGCATGGGCCTGTTCCTGTGCCAGTGCTGCCACTGCACACAAACTGGAGGCAGATTTCAAGGTATTTATCTTTTACTCTTATCTTTGGGTATCGTTAATGATCGTGTAATTGTAATTGAAACGACACTCAATTTTTTAATGTGTAACATCTTTCTTTTTGCGTTCTTGCTAGCTGTAGGAGTGATCGGGTTAAACGGGACGAAAGTGTGTAACAGGAAGCTGTGGAAGCTTGCGTTATTTAATTTGATAAATGATTATGTGTGGTGCTTGATTTGGTCGTGAGATGTTTATGACCACTGTTAGCCTCGTTCCAGTTTTTATATGTCGTTTTACTAGGGTTATTGTAATTCCCGTTTTTACGTTTTCTGTGATGTTCTATACTAAAAGAGTCAAAGAATGATAACGTAAGACATGAGCTAACGAGTAAATTTGCACAAGGTTTCTGAGTGTCTCCGAGAGTCGTGCCTGTTATTCTAGTGGTTAGTGGCCCTGACTGCTAAGCCGGAGGTCGTGGGTTCGATTCCCACCGTGGATAAACACGGTTATTTGTTCCTCGTGTGGGTGTAATCGATGTATAATATATAAGTACTCGTGCGGCTATCGTCAGGCCACGCTGGGCCGCGGCGCGTCGCTGGAGCAGTGGGCGGGGTGGCTGGAGGGCTGCGTGCGCGGGGCGCTGGCGCCGCACGAGCGCCGCGCCGACTACGGGGCCCGCGCGCGCCGCCTGCTGCTGGACTGGTCCTTCTACTCCTCGCTCGTCATCCGCGAGCTCACGCTGCGCTCCGCCGCCTCGTTCGGCTCCTTCCACCTCATCCGCCTGCTGTACGACGAGTACGTGTCCTACCTCATCGAGCGCAAGGTGGCCGCGCACCACAACGTGCCCTGCATCGCCGTCATGCAGCGCGTGCTCGTACGTATCTCTAGTTTGTGCGATACTTTAGGGTTCCGTACCTCGAAACGAAAACACGGCACCTTATAGGATCACTTTGTTTTCCGTCTTATCTGTCTGTCGAGACCCTTTATATACCCTTTATAATATATGTCGGTATCGAATTAAAACAGACCCCTTGAAGCTGTAAAATAATTCTCTGCTGTAAAAGTCTTAAATTAACGTAGAAAAAACAAACGACAATCGACACTCTCACGAGAATCAAAATTCATAAAATACTTCCCGTTGACCTCTATGAATTTTAATTAAACTAAATAATTAAACTCTGTTTAATTTAACTCTGAAATTTGGCAAGTAACGTCATCTTATATTAAAAGTACAAGTAAAAATCTGAAAACTATACATTTGTATATAAAGCACAAAAATTATAATCTTTATTTAAAGTACGTAATCAATCAGCGAGGTACAATTTCTCTTATAAAACTTATAGGTTGTAAAAACTAAATTTCGAGCAAAGATCGGCAAAAACTGCGAGATTCGATTCCTGAACTATTTATAATATGTACCTGAAACTGTGTACAGAATGATCGGCGGACAAGTCCGACTCGCGCTTGTCTGGATTTTTAATAAATTGACCATTTTGTACTTTTATATTTTTTCGCTCAATTTACTCGACTACATTGGCCAATAAAAATTTACATAATTTGTCAAAAATTTTACTATATCGAATAAACTAAACGTACAAGCAAATTCTATATTCGTGTCTTTAGGAACAACCAGAAGAGGAAGAAATCGTTCCTGAAGAGCCTTTGCGCGCGGACCCCGATGATGATGATCAAGATTGGGAATGGGACGACGAAGAGGAAGAAGATGAAAGACCAGAAAGCAAGAGACCCCGCCTCCCGGAATAACTTACCTTGTAGTGCAAAGGTAGGCTACGTGCAATAGTCTGGATACTCTACATTTTTTTTTATCAATTCATGAGTAAAAAAATCTTATCAATAGATTTATTTAAACATATCTGAGATATGTAAATTTGTTTTTGACCAGTGTGAATATGTCAGACCAATTCTGTTTACGTATGGCAACACTACACAGTAACGTCTAGTGTTGCTATTTTTATTGCGTGTATATATATTTTGTATAGTTTACTATAAGTACGTATAGTTTTCGGACTCGTAATTATTGATGCAACTGTTTTTTTTTTTCAAACACCTTCAAATAAACATTTTTTATATCTCCAAAGGGAAGGAACGAAATGTTGCACGTGGAATTAAAAAAAAAAACGATGTGTTTTACTGGTAACACAAGCTATGGCTTCAATGCCATTTTATCATTTGTATATAGCTCTGGCAGTTAAAATTCGAATATACATTTTTATCTATTCTATTTTATTACTATACACAAGTGTCAACTCTGTCTGATTAATTTTTGAACTAATCAGAGAAACGATTCCTTTATAATAGTAAGAAATTGTATACGTATATACATGGAAACTACAGACAAATAAGTCTTGGAACACTTTATCACCCTATTACGATCAGAAATTGGTGAACGTATACCGTATAGTATAACTTAAAATAAATAATATACCCCTCCCTCAAAACCCCTTTCATCGACTAATAAAGGCAACCCGTTAACTTTCAAGCAAAAAAAGAAATCACGATCGGTATATCCGTTTAGAAGATTTCATGCCACTGATATACACATATACGAACTTGAAACTTAAACACCACTGTTTTTGCGTCGGGGGTTAAAATGAGAACAGGGGAATTTAACCATGATTGTCTATTTATATTTTATATAATAAGTATATTTGTATGAATACCACTTGCAGTAGTCGTACGTATATGTAGGATTGTATTGATGTTTATATAATATGATCTCGGAGGTTCAGACTTGTTTTGTAACAGCATATGACGCTGTAGACATGTGGATATATATTTGGAGTGGATATCGACAGGTTCCGAATGTAGTTTTGTAGTCATACATATTACTTGATGTGTTTATAATAATCGTACATTGCGTTGTGATCAGGAGCTGGTGTCGATTCTTTTGTTGCAAACTACTTTCGTATAATGAAAATAATATATAAATATTTCATAAAAATAATTGTTTAGTTGTTAACATGTTGTGTCACGATCACTTATCGCAATTTAAAATAAAAAGTAAGAATTAAAACTTCAGTGGAACTTTATCCTTTTATACGTAAGATTTTATCTAGCCTTAATGGCCTAGTAGTTTATAATTCTAACTGTTGGGCCAGAGGTCATACGTTTTCCACCCAAGACAAGTAATTGTGTAATAAGAACGGTAATTTTTTCTAAGTGTAATTTATCTATCATATAATATTTCGAACATCTGACACACAACGCCAACTAGTTTCAAACTACTTGGCTTGTACTATTAAAGCTAGATTGACTGATAGAATACTTATATACTTTTTTTTTGTAAATACATACATATTATGTATGTATTTAGAAATACTTAAGTATGTTTATCAGCAGTCTGGCCACCATAATACAGGCTCAGTCTAGTTTAGGATCAGACTGCAGTGTAACCGTGTGTAAGATGTATCAAGTTTATTATTATTATTCAATAGAATCGCCACCATCTCATGTAGGTTTAGTGCCCGACGATATCTATTCATTAATAATAATTATTTATTTAACAATATATGAATGTATTAACTACTGTAGGCGTTCTTTTCTCATGTGCATACATTCCCAATAGTATAAACGGACATAACACATTTAATAGGTTAGCACTGTCTATTTCTTATATTTATTTTAGTGTATTTCTAAATATTAAAATGACTTTAAGGATAAATATTTCGTAGGGAATATATTTTCATTGCCGTAAGACACAATTTTTAAATAATTAAGGTAGTCTTATACACTATCCTAAATAACACAAACAGGTCTTCTATTGCACCATTTAAAATTAAATATAATGTGTATAATCTAGTGATGTACCTTTTTTTTGGATGTAATGATCTGTCAGTGTATGGACATCACTACTTGCCGAACGATGGTTGTCTATGGTAGTTTTATAATGCATGGTATGTGTGTACAATATGTACATGTAAATATTTATGCTGTATGTCGCATTTTTATTATTAAGGGTTTTTGGTAAAACACAGTACCAAAGTAAAAACATTGTCAGGCTAAAAAAAACATTTATTTAGATCGAATATTATGTTTATTTACAAAAATTGAGTATTAATATTTTTGAATAATGGCAAACCAAAGAAAGTTTATTTTTCTGCTTTATTATATTTTACTCTTATCTCTCTTATTGATTCGAGTCAGACCTAGAAAAATATTAAATCTTATCAAAATTATTGTACTCTTTGTCGAGTAATTTATTTTTTCGTACACCGAATCAACATTATTTCCACACAATAACACTATTTATATACACTCTTTATAAATTATTATCAAAAAAAAACTGTCGTCCTTTGAATGTATATTTTACATCGTACTGTTTGAACTGTAATCAAAATGTTAGTCGAGTTGTATAGATGTTACCCTATGTATGGCCTAAGTCAATAAGTTGTATGTTAGATGTGTAAACGTAAGCATATATATAAGCGTAATTAGTACGCGACTCTCGTCACTGTTTCTGCAATACCAAAGTGCGTTGCAATTTAACTATCAGTTAAACACTTACAAATTGTTTCATTTTATAAACGTATTTGGTGTTTGCCAACTCAAATGACTGGATCACTGAGCCCTGTCTGTCCATTCTTTTGTTGTAACTTTAAAATAACGTCTCTGGAGTAGATTTAGTTCAACAGGTATATTGAACTGGTTCTGGTAACTGTAATTTCAATAAGATTGCTTGGTAATGTTACTGTCAATTGTACACTAATACTTTGTCTTCTTTGTGGCTTCTCAGCGTTATTTCTCACTTGGGCTTTTAAGACGGCCAAACCGAATTTAACGGTTGTCTGGTTTAAGATATTTATTTCTCAAAATGTTTGTTTCTTTTTTGTCATCAATTTTATGCGTGAGTGATAAGTCGCTTTAGTTGGCAAACATGACTGCTGTGAAGTCAGGCCGAACCGTGCAATATGGCTTTAGCCGTTTTCTATAATACTGGAAGTATAATTAGACTTTTCCGTTTTGTACGTTCCCGCTTCATGCAAATTTGAGTGTGTTTTGTACTATTTAATAATAATGTCAATAGTGATGCAGATCGGCCTTCGAATGTTGCCTTACGACATTTTGTACCTCTGGTTGCTACGTTATTTGGTATACGCGCTGATAGGTTGTGTTGCACAGCGAATAAATTATATCCAACCTGATGTTGTGAACCTTTTCAATATTACTGTAGTCGTGTAACTTTGTCGTATTGACTGTTTGTGACCCAATATTTATATAACATTATATTTTATCAGTTCAGTGACAATAGTCCAACTGTGCCGTTTGGGTATTTTTTTTTTAAATGGGTAGTTGAACCCTCACTCGGCATACCAGTGCCTAAAAAATAAAAATTCCATACCATCTAATTGCCTTTATCGATTAGGAATCCTACAAAATTTTATAATTTTAGTAATTTATAATCGAAACGTTAATTTATATTTTTCCATATATATTATATATATTGCGGAATTGCACTATAATGTAGATGTTAAATGTAATAATTGTCGGTGTGAATATCATTCGAGATGAAGCAATTTTTGCTGTAGGCATACTCGAGTGACGTTTGCGAATAAATGTTTGTACTTAATGGAGAACTGGCTAAATGTAACCGTTTAAATGTTAAGATATTTGTATGGAGTGTCTCGAGGACATACAGGCGGACTGTAGCTAAAATTCTTCACCCCCAACCCACTTAGTTCACCTTATACTACTTTTTTTTATAAAAGACAAAATTTAAAACCTAAAAACATTTAGTGTATCTATTCTTTAAAAAATAAGTCTGTATCAAGGCTAAAAGATGAGACAATATAAAAATGTGCCTACTACTCGGCTGAGAGCTTCGTGGAAGTAAACTGGCGTGACTGACTTCTCTTATGTCGGCTTTTGTGTACAACTTCCTGTGTATTTAATAATAATTATTATATTTATGATATATTTAGGCAGCATTTTACAGAAACTAAACTATAAAAAATGCATATTCATGACCACAAATATTTGCACACTGCGTTTCGTGACTTAGCAATCCGTGACGACTGTGCTACTAAAGTCGTCGAAATGGGACTTAAGTTCAAGCGACTAATACCACTGGGCATTGTATTAAAAGTATTAATTTGTTTAACATCATAAAATAAGTACGAAGAATTCTCACAAAACCTATGCTTGCCATAGAACTTTTCCATAAAAGTAGTTCGAGTATGATAGTTAACTGTTCACAAGCAAAAATGCAGAAAATCAATTTCAAAAACATGTGTTTTTTTTTCAAACCAAATTATTTTTCAAGTGGAATATGATGTACTCCTATATTATAATATCTTCACAAAAACAAGTTTTATCTCATCTTTGCATTACCGGCCTACTTCTATTTTTTTGGAAGTATATTGACTTAATGTCCCATGTCCCCGTGATGGGGTAGACGGCGTCCACAGTTATCCTCCATCGCGTTCGGTCCTGAACTTCGCACTTGAAGTCACTCCACTTACAGATTCTCCTCATCTGCGACAGTCGTATTTTTTTAGAAAGTGTTAAGATAAGTGTAGCACCGTCCCGCGGTGAGGCCGAGTAGTATTTTTTTGGGAAAATGTCAATTGACAGTATAAATTACGTTTAGCTACAGTAGTTGTCTGATACATGAGCTTATAAACATTTTATACCGAGTCTAAATAAGGTCTATCTATTCGTTCCGTTTTCCGTGTATTTTCAACGACACCACTGAACTAAACCACTTGGTTGTCGTTTACAATATTTTTTTTGGTAACGTTCTTAAT